AGAGTCTTATCGTGCTGATAACGTGTTGTGAAAACTTAGAAACTTTATTAATCACTGGAATGTATATATAGAGTACATAGAGAATCTAGGTTAAGAGTCCATATATGATATGTGTTATAACATAAATAATATTTTTAAAATAATAAAAGAAGAAATGTAGGAAATATAGAAAGTTAATAATGAAATAGCATGCAAGCTTTGATTTGATCTTTCATGAAAGAAGCGAAAACCAGAAAAGATTCTGTGGGGAAACTCTTTGTTTTCTTTATCTTCTTCTCTCTGTTATCTCTACTTCTTCGCTTTCTTCAATTAATAAGATCTCACCCATATCTTCGTCTTCAACTACACAATCACAACACTCTCTCTTCTCTCTCTCCTTTCTCTTTCCCACTTCCATAGTCATTGTCTCTGGATCTATTCTTCATAATTGTTCATGATCCCCCAAAGGTGTGTTCTTTTGCTCTTAGATATGCTCAATTCCTGGTATTTCCTTTCGAATCGTTTGTTTGTTTACACATTATCTAAATCGGATTTCTGAAAAGTGAATCGCTTTTCCACTGAAAAATTCCACCTTTTTCAATTGGGTGTTTCATCTATTTGTTTAATAGAATCTCCACTTCAGCGTCTACAACCACGAAGAATGTTGAAACTCAAAGAATCATGAAATTCCCCGTCTCTAGAGATGTTTACAAGAATCTGGGTTTTTAACGATTGAGTGTTTCGTTATGTTTCAAGGCTGTTTACAGCATTACTATAGTGAAACACGTTTCATGATTTCATCTTGCAATTTACCCCATAACAATCGTCTGGATTCATGTGCTTATAAGACATATATGGGGAAACTCTCTGTTCTGGATTTGTATGCTTTTTCTGTTTTCCTGTCTTTTGATTAGTTTAGTCAGAAGGATTAGTAAAAATCTAAACCAGACATGGAGCAATAAGAGTCTTAAGGCTGGTTCAATGACAAACAATTAGGACAGGCTGTTTAGTAATATTTTTATATTCTATTGCTAAGATCACATGGCTGGGGTTTCTTCTTTATAACTTGTTGGAGTCTGCTTTTCTCTTTTGGAGTTTTGCAATAAACTAATCACTAAATCATTTTTCTGCAATGTTTTCAGCTCACGGTCCGTGCATCATCATTGACCAAGATTCGAAGAAAAGGTTTTGCCCACAAAGAGTATTTAATATAGAATAAAGAAATCTGTGTGAAAGCTCTTTGCTTTGACCAAATGTGTTGGTAAAGCATTTACATTGGGGATCTGGTTTTGATACAAACAGAGGAGTCTTTTTTGTCTTTTTTTTCGGGTCTTTGAACAATCTCTCTGCGATCAGATTCATATTGTATGCTAGCATTTACCAATGGGGGGTTGTGTGTCGAAGACTACTTGGAGCAATGAGGAGCCTATCCATCGACCATGTCTCGGGATGGGATGCTGTGGGAGCAAAATGGGGAGGAAAATGTTTTCAGACCATATCGTTTCGCTTCACAACTTGGTTTCCATACCGAATCGGATCACCAACAATGGAAAAAGCAGGAGTTCTTGCATTTTCACTCAACAAGGACGCAAGGGTATTAATCAGGACGCAATGATCGTGTGGGAAGTGAGTTTCTTCTTTTCTGCTTCTTCCTCATTGATGGTTATTAGAGCTTTGAGTGTCCCCACTAAGCAGGATTTGGTGTACTTTTTTGTAGGATTTTATGTCGAAAGATGTGACATTTTGCGGTGTTTTTGATGGACATGGTCCTCATGGTCATCTTGTTTCTCGTAAAGTGAGAGAATCGTTGCCTGTAAAGCTACTGTCTTTCCTGAATTCAATACAGTCAAAACAAAACGGATCCACGGGAACTCATACAGGCAAATCAGATAGCCAAGAGGCTGACAAGGAAGAATCTAGAGAGGAGGATAAGTTGAATTTCTTATGGGAAGAAGCTTTCTTGAAATCATTCAATGCTATGGATAAGGAACTGCGATCCCATCCTAATCTGGAATGTTTCTGCAGTGGCAGCACCGCTGTTACAATCATTAAACAGGTAATCTTGAGTACAAAAGATCTCTTTGTTTTCGCTTCAAAATCGGTTTTCCTCGGGCTTTCCTTTGTGTTCCATCTATTGGTTCTGATGTGTTTTGACTGTTTCAGGGGTCAAATTTATTTATGGGTAACATTGGGGATTCTCGGGCAATACTTGGTACCAAAGATAGCAACGATTCCATGATTGCAGTACAGCTAACAGTTGACTTGAAGCCTGACTTACCAAGTAACATGCTTTAACAACATTTTTGCGATATTTGATTACATCTCTATTTTTTATCTGCATTTTGCCTAGTTTTTGATATGCTGTTACTGGTTTGGTTCTGATATAGGGGAAGCAGAGAGGATCAAACAGTGTAAAGGTCGGGTCTTTGCGCTGGAAGACGAACCAGAGGTTTCACGAGTCTGGCTACCATTTGATAATGCTCCGGGATTAGCCATGGCTAGGGCGTTTGGTGATTTTTGTCTGAAAGAGTATGGTGTGATTTCGATACCTGAGTTCACTCACCGAGTTCTTACAGATAGAGATCAGTTCATTGTGTTGGCCTCAGATGGAGTAAAGCACTGAACTTTTCCAGGTTTCTGAGGGTCGATATTTTTCAGGATGAATTGCTCTTACTGATGATTCCAAGCGTCCTTTTTGATAGGTATGGGATGTGCTAAGCAACGAAGAAGTTGTTGAAGTCGTAGCATCGGCTTCAAGCCGGGCATCAGCGGCTAGGCTTGTGGTGGATTCAGCTGCACGCGAATGGAAACTAAAGTACCCGACTTCGAAAATGGACGATTGTGCAGTTGTGTGTTTGTTTCTAGACGGGAAAATGGACTCGGGTTCCTCAGATTACGAAGAACAAAGTTTCTCTTCAGCTACAAACGCAGTAGAATCAGACGAAAGCCAGAGAACAGAACCGTGTCTTCAGAGAAACGTCACAGTCAGATCATCATCAACGAATCAAGGACACAACAGTTACGGTAATGTGAATGCAGAGACTGGTGATGCAGAAAAGGAGAAAACGACGGAAGGAGAACAGAACTGGTCGGGACTAGAAGGCGTCACTCGAGTGAATTCGCTTGTTCAGCTTCCGCGATTCTCTGGAGAAAAACCGAAGACTTGATTGAGACGTGGCTTTTGATTGTTTTTAAGAACTGATTTTGTCCCTCCACAAAAAGAAAAAATAGTCTTCTGGTTGCATCAGTTCATAAAGCATATGTAAATGTCTTAGGTCTATGGTTTTTACTTCAAAATATGTGCATGATGTTCATAACTTTTAAAATATTCGGAACTTTGTGAGAAGAAGAAAATGGTTTTGCAACCTAAATAGGTCCCACCGAGACTTGAACTCGGGTTACTGGATTCAGAGTCCAATGTCCTAACCGCTAGACCATGGGACCATTTGATACCCCTAGCTCCAGATAGTTTACAAAAGTATCACTTTTTGTTTTCCTTAGAACTCAAAACACACATCTTGCTTCACTTTCAAATTATTTAATAATAAATATGTAGATAAGAAAGAAAAAAAAAGAAGAAAACCAGCACCACAAACTGTATTAGTCTTATAACACTATGGGACTAACGTATAGCTTGATAATTAGTCAAATGGAAAGAAAGGTCATGCCGCCGATAAAACAAAAACAGAAAACCAAAGAAGGATCCATGAGGCTTCTCATTAGACGCTGCAGATAATCCATCCAAGACTTGCGGGGAGTTTTCTTAAATAAGAGCCGCCTGACAAAAGGCTTAACATCAAATACTTTAAACATCTTGTCCCTCTCTCCTGTTTCGGTCAAGAAAATGGGACATTTCTCTGCTGCGACACTTGACAACATGAAAAACAAAAAGCAAATTATTAAACATCTAAATATTGTCAGATTCAAACACAGAAGCTTATGTGAAAACTAACGAGCTGAGAGCGCCGCTGGCCTTTGTGTTGCCTCTTATATTAGTGAGAATGACAGATCCAGCATGGAAACTTTGCTTGAATGCTTTAGCTTCAACAGATGCAGCTTGACCAATACGACTATCCATGACCAATATAACAAGATTTGGTTTCTGTTTGAGATGAAAAAGACACATGTTTGTTAGCACCTTCCCAAAAACCGAACAACAAAATCTAAGAGACCAAGCATGGAAACAAACACACCATTATTTTCGCAATTTGACTCATTTCTTCAAACAATGAATAATATTGTTTATGGCGGCTATTGGTGTCTACAATTATGAGATCACGATTTTTGCTCTTGAACTTTTCAATTCCTTTCATCGCTACCTTTGCAGGGTTTAACTCCGTGTAGCTGAAAAATAAAAACAAACCGTCCAATGTTGGTTGCGTTTTAGAAAATTGTTTAGCTAGAAAAGCAAAGGGTTTTCGATGCCCTAGTTTTTTGTACCTTCCGTAAACTGGGACTTTAGCTTTCGCAGCCACATGGTTTAGTCGATCCAATGCACCGGGGGTGAAAGTATCCGCACAGACCAAAGCTGGCTTGAAGCTCATTCTTCGGTGGTAACGAGCATACTTGACACACACGGTTTCTTTTTCACAACCATGTAATCCGATGAGCATAACTACGCTACATTCACTCCTTTGATGGACAGGTCCAGATTTTCCCGGATCTAACATCTTACATAGCTCACTGAAGATAGCCTAATAAATTGAAATTTAACCCAGATTATAGCCAAAATTATAAAACACAGATTTTTCGAGAATAATAGCACTCACTTGCTGGATGATTTTTCCATCTTTGCAACCAGCAGGAAGGTCGTTAATGAATTTCTGGATGTTTATCTCCATATTGTTCACGAGCAGTGTAGAAAAATCGGCATCAAGCAGAGCCCGTGAGATGTTTATCAAGCAAATTTTGAGAGTGATCTCATCTAAGACAGTGGCTTTGCGCATCCGTTGCATGGAGCGGCTTATCTGATCACTTAGATAATCAAACGCCATCTTCTTGTTCCCTTGAATTGTAGAGACACAGAAGAGAAAAATCCTTTATAAATATATAGCGAGAGAGAGAGAGAGTGAAAGAGAAAAATTATCTAAGGTAGCATGTAAAAAGAGATTACTCTAATTAAGATCATCAAACCCCATCTTCTGTATATACCTATTTTTACCAAGAAATACAAGAGTAAGATAAATAATAGCACGAATGTTGGAAGAGGCCGATTCATCAAAGGGATAAATATCATCAAGCTATGACGATGAATCATGCAGAAAGATAAATAATTGCTTCAAAAGTAGGAGAAAAAGATCGCCATTCCAAAGGGTTTGTCGAACAATCAGCCGAAATTTTTCAAAGCTCGTTGAAAATTCACTTGAAGGTGTGAAAAAGCGACAAAACGAGAAAAGCAACGAAAATTCAACACAGATAAAGAGTTAATAGATACTTATATTACCTGCAATGAAAAAACTTCTCCACTCGCGAATTGCAGAAAAAGAAGAAGAAGAAGAAGATGAACGCGTGGATCCAAGAAACAAAAGATGCGGAAAAAAGGGGACCGGTTGAATAACAAGAGTTTGGTATAATGTTTATAACTTTAGAAAAATCTGTGCATGATGTTCATAACTTTAGAAAAATTCGTTACTTTGTGAGAGGAAAATGGTCAACCTAAAAAGGTCCCACCGACTTGAACTCGGGTTACTGGATTCAGAGTCCAATGTCCTAACCGCTAGACCATGGGACCATTTGATATCCTAATCTCCAGATAATTTTAAAACCTAAAGTTAATATTCGAAAACTATATGAAAATGTCGCTGCCACTCCGGTAGCCTGAGGAAATTACCGATGCGACGACTTTCCCGGAAGCCCTTTTCTGTTGCTGTCCTGAACCGGCCGCGTAGTTCTTCACAGTGTTTCTGTCTATACAAAAATGGTGGCTTTTTGTCGGATGATTCAGAGCGCTTGCCTTTGTCAAGCTCGGGGACGATTGTTAGATGTGTGTTCAGTAGCAGTTCGCTCCCTCCTCCCGAATGGATAGAACCCTTTAACGATGTCTCCGATTTGGTGAAATCAACTGGTAATCTCCAGCCATCTCCATGGGTAAGCCAAATTCTCAACCTCCTAGATGGCTCGGATTCCATGGAATCGAATCTGGACGGTTTCTGCCGTAAGTTCCTTATAAAGCTATCGCCCAATTTTGTTGCGTTTGTGTTGAAATCCGATGAGATTCGCGAAATACCCGGTGTTGCTTGGCGTTTCTTCTGTTGGGCTGGTAAGCAGAAGAAGTATACGCATAAGCTCGAGTGTTATGTCTCCTTGGTTGATGTTTTGGCTCTGGCGAAAGATGTGGACAGGATTAGGTTTGTCTGTAGTGAAATCAGGAGATTTGAGTTTCCTATGAATGTTTCTGCGGCGAATTCTTTGATTAAGAGTTTTGGAAAGCTTGGAATGGTGGAGGAATTGTTGTGGGTTTGGCGCAAAATGAAAGAGAATGGGATTGAGCCTACTTTGTATACTTATAACTTCTTGATGAACGGATTAGTGAGCTCGATGTTCATTGATTCCGCAGAGCGTGTTTTCGAGGTTATGGAAGGTGGCAGGATCAAACCAGATGTTGTGACGTATAACACTATGATCAAGGGTTACTGTAAAGCAGGGCAGACACAGAAAGCTATGGAGAAGCTTAGAGATTTGGAGACGAGAGGCCTTGAGGCTGATAAGATTACGTATATGACAATGATCCAGGCATGTTATGCAGATAGCGACTTTAGTTCTTGCGTGGCTTTGTATCAAGAAATGGATGAGAAGGGGATTCAAGTCCCGCCTCATGCGTTTAGTCTAGTGATTGGAGGACTTTGCAAGGAAGGGAAGTTGAATGAAGGGCATGCTGTTTTCGAGAACATGGTCCGTAAAGGGTCTAAACCAAACGTAGCTATATACACTGTTTTGATAGATGGTTATGCGAAATACGGAAGTGTTGAGGACGCGATAGGGCTTTTACAGAGGATGATAAACGAAGGGTTTGAACCTGACGTGGTAACTTATTCAGTTGTTGTTAATGGTTTGTGTAAAAATGGCAGAGTGGAAGAGGCGTTGCACTGTTTCGACACTTGCCGGTTTAAAGGTTTGGCTATCAATTCGATGTTTTATTCCAGTCTTATTGACGGTTTAGGAAAAGCGGGTCGAGTAGACGAAGCAGAGAGGCTTTTCGAAGAGATGTCTGAAAAGGGATGCACTAGGGATTCATATTGTTACAATGCACTGATCGATGCGTTCACAAAGTCTGGAAAAGTCGATGAAGCGTTGGGGCTGTTTAAGAGAATGGAGGAAGAAGAAGGTTGTGATCAAACGGTATATACATACACGATACTCATAAGCGGAATGTTTAAAGAACATAGAAACGAAGAGGCGTTAGAGCTTTGGGACATGATGATCGACAAAGGTATTACACCGACCGCAGCTTGCTTCAGGGCTTTATCGACTGGGCTTTGTTTGTCGGGAAAAGTGGCAAGAGCGTGTAAGATATTGGATGAGTTAGCTCCAATGGGTGTGATTCTCGACGCAGCTTGTGAAGATATGATCAATACACTGTGTAAAGCTGGTCGGATTAAGGAAGCCTGTAAATTGGCTGATGGGATTACTGAGAGAGGAAGAGAAGTGCCTGGGAGGATCCGTACTGTTATGATCAATGCTTTGAGGAAAGTGGGAAAATCAGATTTAGCTATGAAGTTAATGCATAGCAAAATTGGGATTGGTTATGAGAGGATGGGTAGTGTTAAAAGGCGTGTCAAGTTTAGGACTTTACTTGAAAACTTTGATCCTGACTTTTAAAGCCTTTAATTATTTGTTTGCGTTTCAGTTTAACGCTTATGAGAGGATGTGTAGTGTTAAAAGGCCTGTCAAGTTCAGGACTTTATTTTAAAACGTTGACCTTTAATTGTTTGTCCAAGTCTAAATTTCTTTTTTGTTGTTTAGTTTTCATTCAAACATATAAGTGTTCGTCCAAAACTGGACCACCCAAATTACATAGAGCAAATTTTGCCAAGGAATCTATAAGGAGGAGAAGAGAGTTAGATGAGGACTTCGCAGTCCGAGAATACGTGGAGGTCAGAAACCTCAATCGTATAGACTTGGAAATTTTCCTGTTTAATAGCTGTTGAAATATTGCTGAACACAAACAAAGCGAGCACCCTTTTAAAATGCCTTCGATTTCTCTCGCGCGCACGATGCCATTGATTTTGTTTTCTCTCTCTAACTACAAAGTACCCATTCGTTGAAACCATTTTCTTCCCATTTTCGATTTCTGTCAAAATTCAACGACCTCAAATCTCCAAAAAGTCGTTCTTGATCTACAAACAAACGATCTCAAACATGGCACGACACGATCCTAATCCATTTGCTGATGAAGAGATCAATCCTTTCGCGGTAAAGATCTCTGTTTCTTGAATGATCTCTGTTCAAATGACTGATCTTTCTGTATATCTATCATACCCGGTTTGATCTTGATTTTGCAAATGTTGTAGAACCATACAAGTGTTCCTCCTGCAAGCAACTCCTATCTCAAACCGCTTCCACCGGAACCTTATGATCGTGGTGCAACAGTCGATATCCCTTTGGATTCCGGCAAGGTGCCATATCTTCAATACCTTCTGCATTTACCTTTTCATGAAACGGACAAATCTCATTTTCGCTGTTTTTGTTTAAAGGATCTTCGAGCTAAAGAGATGGAACTCCAAGCGAAGGAGAACGAATTGAAGCGGAAAGAGCAGGTAATTTCTGGTAATCCAAGCAAATCTCGAGACCTAAACATTCCATATGCATTGTATTAAACGGTCTTCTTCTTCTCACTGTAATGCAGGAGCTTAAAAGAAGAGAAGATGCAATAGCGCGATGTAGATAATCTTATATATATATATATATCTGTTTTTTTTTTAAACATCTTCGAATGATCTTTATAGGTCTTTTAGCTAACCTGATATACGGTTGTTTTGGCAGCTGGAGTTGTCATTGAGGAGAAGAATTGGCCCGAGTTTTTCCCTCTAATTCATCACGACATTCCAAATGAGATTCCGATTCATTTACAGAAGATCCAATACGTCGCATTCACCACATTATTAGGTACGTAAAACCCGCCTTAGACCGCTGCAACAAATCCAGAATCTGTCCAGACAAAAGTTCAAAGATTAAAATTAATTATACGATGCAGGTTTAGTAGGATGTCTATTGTGGAATATTGTGGCAGTAACTGTAGCTTGGATCAAAGGAGAAGGTGACTGTTTCTACCCAAATGATCAGATTCCTATTGTTGTTTCCTCTGATAATGTTGATTCATCTAATGTAATACTTTTTTTTTTGTAATCAGGTCCCACTATATGGCTTCTCTCAATCATCTACTTCATTGCTGGGGTCCCTGGTGCTTACATCTTATGGTACCGTCCTCTCTACCGAGCTACGAGGTAAAATCAACTCTCTAAGTATACATGGTAAAAAGATCTCATATATATAATAAAGGAGTTAATAATACAATGTTGCGTACCTATTGCAGAACTGATAGTGCCCTGAAGTTTGGAACCTTTTTCTTGTTTTACGTGGTAAGATAAATCGCATTCCCATTGGTAGATTACCTCTGCATCGATCAATGTTTCTTCAGGAAGCTATGACACACTAAGCTTTGGATGTTATACACTGTCTTGCACTTTTCAGTTTCACATTGCATTCTGCGGCTTTGCTGCAGTTGCTCCACCAGTCATCTTTCAAGGAAAGTCTCTCACGTAAGAGTTTTCTTCTGTCTAAAAACATCTGAATCAACCTTCTTTTTTTACCTTATTTGAAGGAAACTTTTGAATCTTTGATAAACTCCATCTGATTCCATGTATTGTTGGTTTTGTGGACAGAGGTTTCTTGCCAGCACTTGAGCTTCTAACTAGTAATGTTGCGGTCGGGGTTAGTACCTTAACTAAGCATACACAAGTACTCAAATTCGTCTTGTGACAGTCTTACCAAAATTTCTTCTTTTTTCTTACACTCACAGATACTGTATTTCATTGGGGCGGGGTTCTTCTGCATCGAAACACTTCTCAATATCTGGGTTATTCAGGTTTCTGAACTTGTTTTACTCCAGAATTTATCAACACTGTAAATCACTTCAATCTGTCTATTTTTCCTAACCCATGAAGTGCATTACTCAATTTTCAGCAAGTATATGCATACTTCCGAGGGAGTGGCAAAGCTGCAGAGATGAAGCGCGAAGCTACAAAATCGACCTTAATGCGTGCATTATGAAGACAACACTTATCACTGGAAAATGTATCAGTGGTGGCTTGAAGTCAAATCTTGAATCCTTCACACAACATTTGACAAAAATCCCTTTTCTCTGAAAAGTCGTCTAGGCCGGAAATTTTTTGTTGTTGAATTACTTTGTAAAGACTTAATCGAGCAAAGGCAATACTGTGTGGTTTAAATTTGTCAAAACTCATTTCTTCATGAATGCTAAGGCAAGATCCCTCGGTACCTGCTGTGTGAATTTTCTTTTGCAGGTTCACCGATCAGATCAGTAAGAACTGCTTCAATGTTCATATGAACATCCTCCCGATCAGTCCTCCGTTCAAATTCATCTGCTTCGATCTGTCTCTCGATATCATCAAGTCCTGTTAAAATGCTATCTTTGTCGCTGTCAGCTATAAGCCCCTGCAATTGAAAAAAAAAAAAACATCCTGACTTACAAATTCGCATTGTTTAAGAGAAACCAAACTACTTATCAAGCGGCCATTATAATCTAAAACATATTTTGATTATAAATTAAAACAGAGAAGAAGCTTCCAAATTTCAAAATCACTTACGAAGTAGAGGATCTCTGGAATCAACTCAAAAATTCCAAATTACAAATAGATGAAACGAGTAGAAATTAGGACAAAGCTAATACCTGGTGAGCGAGCATTGTAGCATGAGCTTTGCTTCCCATAATGTCGTGTTTGTAGAGAACCTTGTCAAAGGAAATTGATTGACTCAGTGAACTTCTCCACCTTTTCTGTGACACTCTGCTCGACCGTGTCCTCCTTTTTTCCTTATCCACCACTGCTTCCGCCGTCGCTCTAGCGACCTCAATCTCTTTCCTCCTCTTTCTCTTCTCTTTCTCCTCCTTCTTCGTCTCGCTCCAACTGAGATTTCTCGCTATTACATTGATATCACGCCGAGGAAAACGTAATAGAGCCTTACTGTTGTTGCTCGCGAGAATCGACGAGCATAAAAACAGCTGCTTCGCCCTAATCGCTCCCGCCATTTCCGTTCCTTCTCATACCTCTTTCGCCATTGATGTCAAAAGCAGGTCTTTGGGTTTGTCCCACATCGTAAAACAGGGATAATTTAGAAGGGGAAGCTACACTATAAATAAGAGTCTTCAGCCAAATTGTGGGCCCACAGCAAATTGTTGGGCCTGATATTAGGCCCTATTTTTTTTTAACAAGTCTCCGACTTTCTTAAATAAGTCACCGATTTATCTTTAAAATCGGATATCCGCCTAATCTGACCGCCGAGCCTAAAATCGGTTTTTTAGGTTATCCCTCTTGCCATGGTTGGGTTTTCTGCTAAACCACCTAAAACCCTTGAAGAAGAGCTAGCAGTCGAAATAATTGATCAAGACTCTAAAGTAAAAGACACTCTCGATTTCCCTTCAATCGATTCCTTTCTGGATTTCGATTCCTGCAACCGCTTGGGGAATAATCGGAATATTGAGGAGTTTAGCATAGAGGATACCGACTTTGATTTTTTTGAGGCGGAGATGGAGATTCCTCAAGAAGGTGTCACTGTTAGCGAGGAAATGCGTCTGGAGAATCATAACACGGTTATGTCTGAGTCTGTTGAGGTAAAATCCGAGCTTTGTGGTGAGATTTCTGAAGAAACTGTAGTGAATTCGGCTAGGTCTGAGTCGATGATTAAAGTAAAGCCCGAGCCTTGTGGTGGCATGTCTGAAGAAATTGGAGTGAGTTCGATTAAGTCTGAGTCGATGATTGAGGCAGAGCGCAAGATTTTTGATGACATGTCTGCAAATTCTAACGGTGTAGCTGAACCAGCTGTGAAAGAGTCAGAACCCGTTGTTTCTGACGACGCTAGGCCAATGGAAGGTGAGACTGCGCCTGTTGCTTGTGCCACCATGAATTTGAATGAATCTGTGTTGAAGAAAACAGATGAGAATTTGGCTTTTTCTATTGAAGTGGCGTTAGAGAAGGTTAAGTTGACCATGTGTGATGATGAGAAGACTGATGGGACTAAGGGGAAAACTAATTCTGCCAAGTCTGAGAGCGAAACCTCGAGCACTTCTTCAAACACTAGTGATAGTAGTAGCAGTGAAGAAGAGGAGAGTGACGAGGATGAGAGTGAAGAGGAGGAAAATAAGAAGGAAAAGAAGTTTGGCAATCAAATGGTCGTGGGGAAAGAAGATGATGTGGCAGGGGAACTTGAAGAGGGTGAGATAGAGTGTGCAGATGAGGATGACAAAAATGCAGCCGAAGATGATGATGATTCAGATGATGATGATGATGATGAAGTGAATGAGATGATTGCTTGGAGCGATGATGAGGATGAGGACCTCGGTTTGCAAACCAAAGAACCTATACGGTCAAAGAATGAGCTCAAGGTACCCATGCTTCAGCTTTTCACATTCATAGCAATTAGTAGTTTTTTTGTTTTGGGTATCTAAGCCGTACGGTAACTGTTTCGAACTCCAATAGCCAAGCTTTGTCAACTTGAAATAAGTGTGCAATCCATTATCTTTGTAGAGTAAGAAGTAAGATCTATTTTTTTTTTTTTGTAGAGTATTGATTAAAAATTGCAACAAGAAACAACGTACCATCGTCTGGCTATTTGGCATCTTTACGCATAGAAGCCTTACATTAGTCTTTTTTTCTTCGTTTTTAACCATTGCAGGAGCTTCCTCCAGTTCCAGCTGTGGATGTCACTTTGGAACCGCATCATGTCACGCTTCCTGTTGGAGTTGTTCTCTCGGTATCATAACCTTTACTTGAATGCTAGTGCTTCTCTGGTTGTGTTGTCTTGGTTATCCGCTGCTAAAAGTAAACCCTTTGTGATTTGTGATATTACAGGTAATGAGCACACAAGTAATAGTTGAGGGGATGGAAAAGCATAGTCCTTTGACTGAAGGTTCTATCTTATGGATAACTGAAAGAAGAACGCCACTAGGACTGGTGGATGAGATATTTGGACCCGTAAAGTGCCCTTACTATATCGTGAGGTTCAATTCAGAGAGCGAAGTGCCAGAAGGGATTATTCAAGGTACACCTGTCTCATTCGTCGCGGATTACGCTCAGCATATTCTCAATATCAAGGAACTGCAGAAGAAAGGTTACGATGCATCTGGAGATAACGACGAGGAGATATCAGAAGACCTTGAGTTCTCAGATGATGAAAAAGAAGCTGAATACAGAAGAATGCGAAAGATGGAAAAGAGAGGGATGGGGAATGACCAAAAAAATGGTAACGCAAGAAACAAGAAGAAGAAAAACCGAGATCCTGGAAGGGCTACAAGCAGTTACTCAGGGGAATGGACAGAAAACCATGGATCTAGTTCTCGATCATCAACCCGTTCTGATCCTCCAATGGGTGGTCCAGTTTCGAATCATAATCCACGTCCTCAAATGGATGGTTGTCCTCCAAATGGTGGAGCATGGAGACCCCAGAGTAATCACCAGAACCCATATCAGCTTCCTCCTATACCTAATCAGATGGGAATGCCCAATCTAGCTCCAATGCAGATATCTTTAATGCCAATGCAAAATCAAAATCAGATGATGTTCCAACCGCAGTTTAATGGTGGCCAGATGTCGATGCCAGGTGGATCTGGGGGCTTAAACTTCTTTCCAGGTCAGGCTTCAACGCCATGGCCTGCATTAGTTGGTCAGAACTGTTTCAACCAACAACCGTTTGGGATGGGTCGCGGTATTCAGCATCCTCAATTACAAATGAGCTGAATTTTAATCTGTTTGCTCCCCAAGACTATCAAATGCACCAGCTCCAGCCCCAAATGCACCGACCACAGTCTCCAATGAACCCACAGTTCCAACCCCACCCACAGTACCAGGTGCTGAACCACCCCCCTCAGTCTCCAATGAACCCGCAGTTCCAAATGCAACCACAATCTGAAACTCGTCCACAGTCGCAGTCCCCAACTAACCAGCAATCCTCTGTGCGACCTCAGTCTCAGGGTTTTAGCACCGGACAGTCTTTTGAACGGGGAAGGGGCCACCGTGGCCGTGGTAGGGGTGGGGGCCGGGGTCGCTTTGGACGTGGGCGAGGCCGTGGTCGGCAACAATCTGGATGAATCTGTTTTGTGAAGCATTTTGACGTGTGTCAAAAGCAGGTTTTGTTTACTTTTGTATGTCAGTTTTTTTTGTTAAACCAAACAATTCATTAGCTATGATTTATGATCTTTTTTTCCACGCATTCTCTAATTGCTAACAGTAAACGAAATCAAGACTGATCTTCTTACCAAAGTCGTCAAACTGACTATAGTCACACTATTGGTAATGGAGATATCCGTGCTCTGTGAAAGACAATGACTCGGTGTTAAAACCAAGACCTGGTGCTGAGAAGTTGCAAGAGCTTGTTTAGACATTGTTGTCTGAAGAATTTAGGAGAAAGCAGTGTTCTTGAGGTTATCTATTGGTGATGCAAAATGGCATGTTGTGTATTGTTTTTTGTTTGGTCATATAGATATTTTTCCAAAATTCAATGAATCATGGAAATAGAACAACAATATATTTAAATAAAGAAAAAAAATATAGAACAAAAAGTATACAAAACTAGGATAACAAAAAAAAGTTCCGAGGATTAGGGGTAAATATTGGGCTTTTAACGGCCTAGAAAAAAGACCCAATTAGTTATTCCAACAACATAAAAAGTTCGCCGTTGCCGGGGATCGAACCCGGGTCACCCGCGTGACAGGCGGGAATACTTACCTACCACTATACTACAACGACTTTGTTGCTTGATATTACCAAAACCTTAGCTTTGATTGTTGATCTTAGTACAGTGCTGTAACGCCAATTGACGTTGTTAATGCGCGTTTTCTCGACCAACGCCGAAAGCTCCAACTCCATGTCCTCCTCGTACGCGTCGAACTGCACTAGATTGATCTCTCTCACGAAACAGTTGAGTTCTTACGCGAACCAAGGAAACCATGAGCAAGCTCTCAGTCTCTTTCGCCAAATGCACTCTTCTTTCTCCTTACCTCTCGACGCACATGTCTTTTCACTCGCCCTCAAATCGTGCGCCGCAGCCTTCCGTCCTGTTCTCGGCGCATCGGTCCATGCCCACACCTTAAAATCGAATTTTCTCTCCAACCCATTTGTGGGATGCGCGCTACTCGATATGTATGGTAAATGCGTGTCTGTTTCTCACGCACGTAAACTGTTCGACGAAATTCCTCATAGGAATGCGGTTGTGTGGAACGCGATGATTTCAAATTACACACATTGTGGGAAGATCCGGGAAGCGGTGGAGTTGTATGAAGCGATGGATGTTATGCCAAATGAGTCTTCTTTCAACGCCATCATAAAGGGTTTAGTGGGTACTGAAGATGGGTCTTATAAGGCAATCGAATTCTATAGGAAGATGATAGAATTTAGATTCAAGCCTAATTTGATTACTCTTCTTGCTCTAGTATCTGCTTGTTCAGTCATTGGGGCTTTCCGGTTAATAAAAGAGATTCATTCATATGCCTTTAGGAATCTGATTGAGCCGCAACTACAATTTAAAAGCGGGTTAGTAGAGGCATACGGAAGGTGCGGATGCATTGGTTATGTGAAATTGGTGTTTGAGAGCTTGATTGATAGAGATGTGGTTGCTTGGAGTAGCTTGATATCTGCTTATGCACTTCACGGTGACGCGGAATCAGCTCTCCAAACATTTCAAGAAATGGAATCTGCTAAAGTACCACCTGATGACATAGCGTTCCTGAACGTGCTCAAGGCTTGTAGCCACGCTGGCTTAGCCGATGAGGCTCTTGTTTACTTCAAGAGAATGCATGAGGTTTACGGTTTGCGTGCAAGCAAAGACCATTACTCGTGTTTGGTGGATGTCTTAAGCCGAGTAGGGAGGTTTGAAGAAGCTTACAAACTGATTCAAGGTATGTCTGAGAAGCCAACGGCCAAGACATGGGGAGCTTTGCTTGGAGCTTGTAGGAACTACGGCGAGGTTGAGCTCGCAGAGATTGCTGCAAATGAATTGTGGAAGATAGAGCCAGAGAATCCGGCGAATTATGTGTTGTTGGGGAAGATATATATGAGCGTTGGAAGACAAGAAGAGGCAGAGAGGCTTAGAACGGAAATGAAGGAGAGAGGAGTGAAGGTTTCGCCTGGTAGTAGCTGGTGTTTGTTCAAAGATTGACATATTACCATTGTTCATGAAATTTTTGTAAGGTCGTACACATCTCAAAATCAAGATTGTGCAATTCACTGATATGCTTTGATTCCAAAGAAATAATATATTCCAAAGAAGTATGTATGTATTTTTTTGTAAATTTGGACTGAAATGCTTTCCCTATTTTTATAATAATAATAAAAAAACTACTTCGAAACAGTAACCAGATAAGAAATATGAACAAGAAGAACACGAAAATTAGCACAAAATTGGATTTCAAGTTGATAGGGCCGGGCATATTTGATAGAAAATTTCCATTAAGGTAAACAGAAATTCCTTGTGATTTGGTAACCAAAAAAAAAAGGAAAAATTTCTTAAGCAAGTGACCAGCGCCCAATATCAAACCAACTTGATATATACACTATATAACATATAAGTTGAGCCGGTTCAAACGATCAATCAATGGGGCAATTTTGACTTTTGCAAAGAGAGGCTAGGGTTTTGACCAGCGACAGTTATCTATATAACAGCCGCGTGAACCTCTCTTGCTATTCATAATCTCTCTCTTATCTTTTCCGTCCCTTACAATTATAGATCTTTAGATTTGTGTTGTTCCGTTATGGTCCGCAGAAGCCTCCCGGGCTAATCTGATTACAATTCATGAGGAACTAAGCCCCAAAGCTTCTGCTAGATTCTTTTTGCCGTTTGTGTTGCAGGCTCGCCTTGTTCTGTAGGCTTTTCTGTGTCAAAAAAGCGGCTAAATCTCTTTGGGAATTTTTTTTTTTTTTTTGGGATGAGTTTGCTTGGTGGCTATGATTATAAAATTACCCGCGCTTCTGAGATTCATTGTGGTCAATGAAGCATATACGGTAAAACATGGTTGAATTTCTTACTATGAGCCCAAAGTTTTTGGCAGTGATGATTAATTCTAACAGCTTGATACGCCAGTTCTGCTTCAGATAATTCTTGATTGAAAAAGCTGTATTCATATCTGAGCCTAAATCTTAAATCTTCTTACTTTGTTTTCTTACCTGGTTTTTTATTTGGGAATTTGGATAGTCAATGAGGATCTAATCCAGTAGTATGAGGTGCATTGGAGCCGAGACCCTGTTTACAGGGAGAACCCCTTGGCAGAAGCTGCAATTTCTTTGATTTCAATGGATTTTACTGAGACTTTCCCATTTACTATTCATCCTTTGTTTTATTCGATCATTCTGTTGCATGAGTTTAAACTATACACTTGCACTTGTATATTTGTGCTTGTAGTCTGAAAAAACTCAGAAATTGTCAGTGTTCTCATCAGCTTCATCTCATCTAACCATGAGACTGGAGTTAAACAAGTACACTACATTACTCTCTTCGATATATACATTTGAGTTTTGTTTTGGTTTGTTGTTTCAGTTTCTTTTCGTAGTACTCTTACCTGGTTCTGCATTGAGTATATAGAATGTTTTATTTATTCACGAGATTGGAGATCTAATCGCAAACACAACATTGTGGAATGGATGTTTGGTGGAATGAATATGCTCTGTTGGTTTTAATGCTTCTTGAGGCTTATGAATGGTGGTTTTGTGTTTGCCTGCCAAAGTTTAATCATTTGGATGTTACAAGTTATTGGATGGGAAGAGGGTTTCGTACGAATGATGCTTTTGTGTTTGTCCTAATAACAGTTGAATCAATTAGCTTGTTACCTCAGGTTCTCCTATGAAAAAGGGGCTATCATATTATGCGAGGTTTATTTATTACAATGAAGTTGTCTCTGCTACATTTAGTTCTTGGACGAGAGAGGTGCTGCTAGGTTTCGAGCTTTTTGATGTTCTCTTGTAGAATCAATTCAAAGGCATCCATTTTCTTCGTCTCCAGTGCTATTCCAATCTCAACTCCATTACTGCCGTCTTTGGACTCTGAGAATGCGATAGAACCACCTACTTCTATGTGCACCAGCTCCATTTTGCAAGGCTTTCCTAACCCGAAATCCATATCATACAGTCCCAATTTCGGAGCCCCTGCAATTGAAGTTGGAAAACGGGACATGACCCATTTACGTACTCCTTGTCCCCAAGTTGGTGCTGTTTTCAATAGGTCGCTTGCTAACATGTCTTTGATCGTCGCCGTGATTGTTTCTGAAGCAGCCAACACGCCTTTTTCTCCTAACAAATCTCGTTTCTTGACAGATACGATACCAGGAGCCATACAGTTGCCAAAGTATGTGGATGGTATCGGTTCTGTGTACTTGAGACGATTCCTGCAATCCACATTAATCATCAAGTGAAAGACTTCGTCTTTGTCTTCCTCCTTACCTTCTGTTTCACTGTCTTGAACAAGTGTCGTGATCAAGCTCACCCAAGTGAAAGCTAGAGTCACCACGAAGGTCGAAACAGGGGATGGAATCGTAGACTGTTTTGTAACCCAATGCTTGAGATTGTCTATCTGATTCCGGGTAATTGTGAAAGTAGCTCTGACCATGTTCGCAGGAGGATCATGTGAGCCGTGCTTTCCAGAGTTTTGGCTCCAAAACCTCTCCAAATGTCCTGCGGCTACCTCGCCTGGATCCTTGATCATGGTTCTGCAGCTGTGAATTGGTGGAGAGGGTAGAATAAGCGTGGCAGGATCACTGCCGTTGGATTTGGTCAATGACATCCAATACTTCATGAAATGAGTGAAGGTTACTCCATCTCCTGCAACATGTGTAGAGGTGTTTCCTATACAGACTCCTTTTCCAGGGAAGACCGTGACTTGGATCACCATTATTGGCCGCGTCTGAATTCCTTCCGGAGAGACATGAGGAGTAGGTAACTTGGGCAAGAAGTCATGCAACACTCTGATATCCTTCGGGGAATCGGCTATCAAATCGTCGAAATCAGTGCCAATAGACTCTGCGACTGTGAAAAGAAGAGAGTCTTCGCCATCGTTGAAGCACAAGTAGGGAGGGTCCGGACGTGGTGGGGTGATTAGGTTGCCGGCATAAGGGAAAAATTGTTGGAGAGTGATGGAGAGTGATTGTTTGAGGTTAGGGACAAAGTCTTTGAGGAAACTTTCGGTTGAGTTTGAGTAAGAGAAGAAGAAGAGAGACTCGCCGAGTGGGAGAGTGAGCCACGGGGCATCGAAGAAGGTAAGAGGAAGAGTTGTAGATGGAACCGTACCGTTTGGGGGAGAGATGTGACTCGTCTCAATGATGTTAAGAGGTTGAAGATGAGCCATGGTGTGGTTATGGTTTTTGAGGCAATGAGTTTTGTTTTATAAAGGAAAGAGTTTTGACTATACAATATTGACTTGTACCCACCGGGCAAGTGAAGTTGCCTTATGTTTGCGTAATTTTATCAGTCGCTCTTTCATTTGCGCCAACCTCCACAACCAACCACCATATGGGCCGAGATATCAAACCTAACATTGTTCGTTGAAGTTTTCAACATTTTATTAACAAAGAGGATGGTGTAGGAGAATTATTGACACTCCATAAGTTGCATGGTCTCGTCATACATATCGGTCATACATATTAGTAGACAAAAGAAACAAGTAAAAAGCTTAATTTCATTAACCTACTAAATTAAAGAAAGCCTTCAACGACTTCAGGTCTCCAATGTGGAAACCCTGACGAACCTCTTTGATGCTCTATACGCCATTTTGATCTCTCTTTCAGAGATTATAGAGACTTATAAACTTCCTTTTGCACAACGAGTCTTGTGACCCGGGCCGGGATATCCGTACTGAAACGGAACCTAATTGGGATAGCGTAAACCGGCTGTTTAATTTGGGCCTAACTTGGGTTCTATGGGATACAAACAGGACCAATGATGTTTTTCTTGGTCCTTTAAAATTCACACGCGAACTCCGAGGCGACAAAATTCTATTTAGTCATTGAATTCGGTCCGACAAAATCAAACCGCGATTCAAATGCGTATGTGGTTTGGTTTCTGATTTGGTTTGGTTTTAAATAAAGTAAAAATTGTAAAGTGGTTTTTGTATGAGACAATGGTTTTCAAGAGAAGAGAAACTAGAGGGACTGTATTTTTACTTGTTGTTTAATTAACAAAGAGGAAGGAAGCGGTCAAAATCAGTGGACGACGACGACTTCTTATCATTTAACATCTCAAAAATCTCTTCTTCGAACATCAAATCCAATTCGGATCAAATCCCGAAAACATGGCTTCTCACTCTTCGACTCTCTTCTCTTCTTCTCCTACCTTCGCTCCCTTCTCCTCTCATCGTCTCCATCATTCTCCCAATCTCTCTACTGTCCGATTTTCCCGTCCTCTCAGGAGTAAACCCAATTTCACTTTGCGATGCTCAGTCTCGATCGAGAAAGAAGTCCCCGAAACGGAACGACCTTTCACTTTCCTTAGAGAATCTGATGATGCCACTCAATCTTCTTCAACTTCTTCCGTCAGGGCTCGTTTCGAGACTATGATTAGGGCTGCTCAAGACAGCGTTTGCGAGGCCATTGAAGCTGTTGAAGGCGGCCCTAAGTTCAAAGAAGATGTTTGGTCTCGACCTGGTGGAGGCGGCGGAATCAGCCGTGTTTTGCAGGACGGGAATGTCTTTGAGAAAGCCGGGGTTAATGTCTCTGTTGTTTATGGTGTTATGCCTCCCGAAGCTTACAGAGCCGCCAAAGGCTCAGCTTCCGATCAGAAACCCGGCCCAGTTCCGTTCTTCGCCGCCGGAGTCAGCTCGGTACTGATCTCTCCCTTCAATTTTGCGATTTTGGGTTTTCATTTTTCGTCGCATTAGCAAAATCAAGTTTTCTTTTTGAATCTAGGTTTTGCATCCCAAGAACCCTTTTGCCCCAACTCTGCATTTCAACTATCGCTATTTCGAGACGGATGCTCCAAAGGGTATAAGCAAACTTCTTCGTTGGAGGGTAAAACTATAATCTTTTGTTTGGACACAGCTTGATTTGTTATTTTTCCTCAAACGCGCAGATGTTCCTGGAGCTCCGAGGCAATGGTGGTTCGGTGGTGGCACTGATTTTACACCAGCTTACATCTTCGAAGAGGATGTCAAGCATTTCCATTCGGTCTTGGCCTTTTCCCTTGTTCTAAAGATAGGAGCTTTTTGATCATTGAGTTTTTGCTCATTTATAAAATTCTTTTTCTTTTGTAGATTCAAAAGCAAGCCTGTGACAAATTCGACCCTTCCTTCTATCCCCGGTTCAAGAAGTGGTGTGATGACTACTTTTACATCAAGGTGTGTGTTGTTATGTGAGATCAAGGCCTTAGTTTCTAAAGATAAAGATAATTGACGTAAAATCCGAGAGGGTAGAAACAGCTCAGAAACTTTGATAAGCCTATTGTTTGTGTGAGGGCTTTGAGAATGTTATCTTTGCTTGCAGCACCGTGATGAGAGACGAGGACTTGGAGGGATATTTTTTGACGATCTTAATGACTATGATCAGGAAATGCTTCTGTCATTTTCCACTGGTAATGTACTAATTGTCAAATCCTTAATGAACATTGAAAAACGATATTATTATCGGGTTAGTTTCTTGGTAGACTAATTAGTTTAGTGATTGGGATTCACAGAATGTGCAAACTCAGTGGTACCGGCTTATATACCTATAGTAGAGAAAAGGAAAGACATGGAATTTACAGAGCAGCACAAGGCATGGCAACAGTTGCGAAGAGGGAGATATGTCGAATTCAACTTGGTATTATAATCAGACACTAGCTTTTATTGTTGATATTTCGTCTTGAACCTTGTTCTCTAATGTGTTTGTAATGATTGGAAAGGTATATGACCGTGGAACGACATTTGGTCTGAAGACAGGAGGGAGGATAGAGAGTATTCTTGTCTCTCTTCCGCTGTCAGCAAGATGGGAGTATGACCATGTAAGAAGTTCCTTTCTCATTTGTGAAGACACCAATTCTTTAACTCTTTCGGATATCACAATGTAATAACCGTGTTTGTGAGTGCAGAAACCGGAAGAGGGGACTGAGGAGTGGAAGCTGTTGGATGCTTGTATCAACCCGAAGGAGTGGATCTAGCTCGTGTCCTCTTTGAAACGAGTGTGTTTATTTCCATTGTTTCTTGTTAGTTTTGAGCAGCTGCTTTAGAGGATTAGAATACCGATGAGATGGAGAAAGGGAGTTTGTAAGGTGCTGTGCCAATGTTAACATGCGTCTGAAATGCTGTCGTTACGTTTTCTTTCTTTGCAATGGCAACGAATATAGCAGCGTTTAAAAAAGTTTCAACTGAGTAGCTTACCAATGCAGATATTTGACAAGTGACACATGTTTTGGAATCACTCTCGAAAAAATACATTCTTAAATTATTGACACAAAACAGAACGCAAGATAAGACTGTTGTTTCTACTTCCAAAATCGACTGTGATTCATCCCTCAAAACTCATCCCTATACGCCACATTGTTCTGAGACCTCATTACAGTTAAAGGTGTTGGAAGGTTCATGTGAGCGAAGGTTCCATTTGATATGTATCCAAGGCAGCGTTTGAGCTTGAGAGTGGAAATCCTCCATTACGTTATGTATGATCCTAATATTCTGCAGAAACAAAGTCGTATTTAACCTTCCATATTTTTCATATATTACTAAACTCCATGTGCTTTTTTATTTTTCACTGAATGGTACTTGCAAGCATTCCAAACAAGACATAGATCCAGAGCACACATAAATTAAAACATTTTAAATAATAACATTTATGACGTTAGCAACAATTTCCCATATTGATTTATGCTGTATTACTGTTCAATCTTCAAGTTTGAAAGAAACAAAAGTACAAAAATTACATAACACTTGTTTTTTTTATATAATTTTCTTAATGCTGGTTAATACTTTAATCTATAAATAGTGCAAAATTTGAACACCATTTAATGTCAAAACACTATTCAGAGCCAGGATTAACATCCTTACAAATTGTTAAAAAAAAAAAAAAAAGGATGCGCTTGTCTTATTTAGAAAAAGAACTAAATAATGAAATTCAACAATTATTTTTTGTTATACTTTTATTGTTTTTGTCTTATTATTGAAACATGTAAAGTTGCGGCAAAGAATTTATCGACCGTTGCACAAACACCTTTTGCGTGTTACGCTCGCCACGGCCCACATGGCCCGTGGGGCCTATTTAGATAACTTTCGTATCTATCAAGCAAATTCCAAAAACTACCCCTGTTTATAGCTCCATATAAAAATCTCGTCTAAACAGTACATAAAACACTTTAAGAAAAAATCATATGTAGGGAGAATAAGAAAAAATCATATGTAGGGAGAAAAATCAGCTGATAATATTCTTGGTAGTTTTGAATATGGGAATTTCTGTATTAAATAAAAAACCGTAATTAAAGGGAAATCTGCTAATCCAAAAATCTACCAATCGAAAATCCATAGTGAGGCGAAAAACGTAATTGAATGAATTAAACAGTGTTAATGCTGCCATGTCATCCGCCGCTTAAATCTCCCAGGGTTATCTCGGTAAATGGCCAGAAGCTGTGTGGTTCTCTAAACAACACACGTGGAAACATGCTATTGGCTAGAGAGTGATGTTTAATGATAAAAGACCCATTATAGAAGAATACATGCTTCCTTGAAATGGTTCTGTGACTTGAAAATCGAGAAGGCGGAGCATAAGAAAGAGGAAAGAAACGGCACCGAGTTAGTCTGTGTCTGGGTTCTTTGCGCATCTGTCGCCGAGGTTGGTAATTTCCGAGTCTCTGTGTCTGCGTTCTCTTTTTCTTTTATTTTTTCTGGTGAGGATGAAACTAATATGCTTGAGCAAAGAGGTTGGACTTTAGAGTGGAAACTTTGAACTGATAATCTGTGTATTTTCTCATTTTCTATATTTTGGGTGGAGATAAGCTTTAAAAGAGTGAAAATGGAGATGGAGTCATCAAAATGGTGGTGGATTGGAAATCACAACACGACAAATTTCTCTCCATGGCTTCATTCTACTCTCTCCGGTAACTTCTTCTCTTTCTTGGATTTGAGAGAACAAAAAAAGAAACTTCTTTTTCCTTATTTTTTCTCTGCTAATGTCAAAACCCAACTGATAATTTTGGTATATCGTATGGGGGTCTATGGTTTTCAAAAGGTATGATCTTTTGCTTGTTGAATTTGGGACATTAGTGGAGAAGATGGATTCCCTTTTCGTTTCGAATCTTTGGTAATGATGTTCTGAGGACATTTGAGTAGCGATAAATGTGTTTGATTTTTATTGAGATTTTGACATGGTGAATTTTGATTTGTAATGGAAGAAATTGATGAAGAGACAGAGGATATCAAATCTGTGATTATGTATTTCTGAGACCTATGACTAGTGACAAAAGTGTTCAACTTAATTGAGATCTTGACATGGTGAATTTATTAATTTATTTTGTAATTGAAGAATTGGATGAAAAGACAAAGGAAATGCTGAGAGTGATTGATGAAGATGCGGATTCTTTCGCCGCACGAGCTGAGATGTATTACAAGAGAAGGCCTGAGCTTGTAGCTATGGTGGAAGAGTTCTACCGTTCACATCGCTCGTTGGCCGAGAGGTACGACTTGTTGAGACCCTCTTCTGTGCACAAACATGGCTCTGAGAGTCATGAGAAATCATCAACTTGTGATGAGTCTTCTTGGTCCGAGGCTTGTGAGATTCATGAGGAGTACGCAGAGTCTGAAGTAGATGATGGTGAAATCAAATGGGCCGATGAAGGTGAACTAGATGGCATTGTTGAGGAAACAGAGTCATCTCAAGTCGATTATGGTGGGGCTAATGGAAATTTTGAGATGATGAAGGAAATAGAGAGGCTGAGAGAGGAGAATAAGGTTTACAGTGAAATGGTGAGAGAGAAAGATGAAGAGAAGAGAGAAGCTATAAGGCAGATGAGTTTAGCAATACAAATGCTTAAAGAAGAGAACTCAGGTCTCAAGAAATGTGTTTCCACTGTTGTTGCAAGGCGTAACAAGGAAGGTGGCGATTCTCAAAGGAAGCAACAGATGTGGAAGCCATTCGAGTTTAAGAAGATTAAGCTTGACGGTTTTTTGGGGAGAGTAGTAGGTAACTGGGTCCTCCCAAAGACGGATTCTACTTCCAGAGAGCTCATGACTCTTTAAAAGAAAACAGATAGATCTGTGTGATCAAGAAACTGCGCAACTTTCTTTAATAATCTTTGTACTCTGTGAAAGGTAGGGTATACTCAAGTAGTTAGTGTTAAGGCTTCTTCATATGATTATAGTTATAGCTAAGTCCATGCATCTTTGTTTTACATTTTTCTGTAGTTCTTTTTTCTTTTATTTAAGAGATCTTTAGTTTATTGTTTTTTTTCTTTTGGAAATCATTTTTTTTGTTCTTTATATTGTAAGTTTTTGTTTGTTTTGCTGTCTAAATGGTTACAGACACAGTAAGTTTGTTTTAGAGTTTTTGACCAATTATTGTTAGATTTTAATGATATTCGTTTACATATTTTATATATATATCAAGATGGATGTGGTTTGTGTCGAAGATATATGATAAGTCTTGATTAGAAAGAACAAAAAAAGACGAGCAAAGTGACTATCATTTGCATCTCTACTTATAATTATATTTTTAATTCTATCTTATATTAATCATAGTGGAGATTATTTTAGACGATATCATGGTAAATTGTGCGGCAATGGTTAGTCTTCTTTCCTTTATAACTACTCTATTACATCTTAATGACTAATTCAAACCAAAATCCCTTTTTAAAACATAGTACTACTAACTTGAGCTGCAACTGCAAGTGTTAGACTTTTTACTTCTTAATTACTCTGTTATTATCGAGGACTAATTCACAAACATGCACATACACGGAAAACAAGTGGGGTCAAAACGTAAAAGTTGAATAAAGTCAGTGGTCTTTTTGCGAAATTTGATGTAATCTAAGAAATTTATTACATCAAGTTGCAGAGATTTGGAGCTACTCTTCTTGTGTTTTCTTTTCCGTTGTAGACTTGGCGAATGGCAGCACAGTCTGTCATCTTTATGTTTTTACCATTGTGTTTCCTATTAATTACGACTCTAACCTCATTTCACATTGACCCATTTTTGCCCTTATTTCCTGTCCATGCTAGTTGTCACTGAAAACGACCTCTCGTTACGGATAAAAATTCCATGGTCAACTCGTATAGTCGTATTTTTCAGTTTATTTAAAAACATCTATAAGTTTTTTCGATTCTGTCAACGTTGCCAATTTTTTCTTTATTATTTCACAAAATTGAGAACAAAAAAACAAAGACCAATACAGTTTCCTCCGAAATCTAGATATATTGTCAAATGTCAACTACCCAAGGTCCCAAGTATAGAAAAACAAGTTTATTTTGTGTTTGGATCTTTGATTTGGACCTTCAATTAGAGACCTTATTTATTAGTATCAGGTGGAACTGAACTGAAATAAACAAATTAAGGTAAACTAACTGACAAAAAAATTTTGAATTTGAATGCGGAGAGAGTGAAAACATTGACAGCTATTTAAACAAAAAAAAAAAAAAAAAAACAATTCCAGCTTATTCACACACTCCATACTAAAAATTATTTTTAAAAAATAGAATAAAACGCGGGTAAAAGGAAGGATAATATAGTAAATTCAGCATAACGATCCCTTAATCAGACAAAACAATCCGAAGTGTTCCCTCGCATCCCACAGGCTTGCCTTCCTTTTTTGTACAGCTGTTTTAAATGGCAATCTCGTTATATAGCAATAACAACGAGCCCAGATTTAGCCAGTTTTTAGTTTAACCCAACTTTGCCATCCAGAAATTCCCCACTTTTTTCTTCATAATTTATTCTCTTTATTTTATTTTCAAGAAAGTAAATAAATATTGAGGAAGAAACCTGTAGAGAGGAGAAGAAGACGACGAAGTCAAGAGAGAGAGAAAGAGAAGAGACGGCGACAACAATGGCGGAGGAGACGAAGGAGAATGAAGAGAGGGTGAAGCTGTTCGTCGGACAAGTTCCGAAGCACATGACGGAGACTCAGCTCCTCGCATTGTTTCAGGAATTCTCCATCGTCGACGAAGTCAACATCATTAAGGACAAGATAACGCGAGCTTCCCGAGGTTTTTTTTTTCTAAAGTCTTCCTCTGTTTTCTCCGTATTGTAGTTTGGATTATTTTTCAGAACTTTCCTCTGTCTCTCTGATCTGAGAATACTTCAAAAGGCTTTTTAATCTCTCCATTTCTCCTTCATTTTTGGATTCTAAAAACCCCAATTTCTCCAATTTTTTTTTTTTTTAAATGCTTCCTCTGTTTTCTCCGTCGTCCTCGTTAATTTGGACTCTTTTTGATTTGGGAGCTTCCCCTGTTTTTTTTCCTATGATTTCTGATAACCCTAATTTCTCTCTCCTCGAATTTGGTAGGATGTTGTTTTCTGATATGTCCTTCAAGAGAAGAAGCAGACAAGGTGGTCAATGGTTGCCATAACAAGAAGACATTGCCTGGAGTAAGTTTTAATTTCTGACATTTTACATTCTTTCCATTTTTGAAACTGTTTTGCTTGGACTTTTTCTGATGCTCGAATGATGTTTCTGTTCCTTAAGATAGTTGATTTTAGTTGCACAAATTATCAAGCCGGTTGGAATTTCGAGATTGCTTTTTATCCCTTTTTTGTCTATCGATCTGCACTGTACTTTTTTTTCTTTCCCCTGTTAATTCTAGATTTGGTTATTTCAGAGTTTTGCATGTTGTCTTTATACTGCATAGATTATGAATCTGATTTGGTTGATCAAAATCTGCCCGACCGGAACATTAATTGGTCGAATATGATGACATGGGTTTAAAACGCTCTCCTCATGATTTCTTCATACCCAAGAAAACACATTGATACTGTAGGTGATCTGTACGGATCACTTAACGTGCAAGATGCAAAAAGCTGGAAAATCTGTGCATTGAACTGATAGGAACCCGTAGAGAGCAAGAGAAAACTTTTGCTTCAGTTTGTTGACTTCTTATTGAATTGATTGATCGCTGCTGTAAAATAATCTGTTAAGCCCTCTTGGGTGAGCCATCTTGATAATAGGGCAAAGGAAAAAATATGGTCTGTATATCATATCCTTGTTTCTTTCGATCTTTCCTTGGTCATTCACTTTCTTCTGTTATTTTCAGGCATCTAGTCCGTTGCAAGTTAAGTATGCGGATGGCGAGGTTGAAAGGTTAGGTACGCAAAATGTGCTTAAACATAAGCAGAAAAAGATATTTTCTTTCTTTCTGAAACGATTGGCCCCATTTTGGTATTTTGTATCACATCAGTGTGATGGATGTTCTTGACTGTTCTTGCATTAATCCAGAGCACAAACTTTTCGTCGGTATGCTTCCAAAGAATGTCTCTGAAGCTGAAGTCTTATCCTTATTCTCCAAGTACGGAACCATAAAGGATGTCCAGATTCTACGAGGGTCTCTACAAACTAGCAAAGGTATATCCATCATTTGATTGTTCTTCTTAACAATTAATTAAGCTCTCTATATAAATAGCAAACCTTAAGAGTAACTTTTAGGTTTCTTTTGAGTTTTCTTAGGCTGTGTTTTTCTGAAGTATGAGTCTAAAGAACAAGCGGTCGCTGCTATGGAAGCCATCAATGGAAAACATATAATGGAGGTGTGTGCTAATTACTACAACTTACGAACATTCTTATACAAGTTTATAAAGATATAGATGGAGAGTGTGACAATATCTTTTTCATTTGTTAGGGTTCGAATGTTCCTTTGGTTGTGAAATGGGCAGACACAGAAAAGGAAAGACAAGCCCGAAGACTTCAAAAAGCACAATCGCATGCCTCCAGACTCGCTAACTCTGATCCACAAAACCCCTCGCTGTTTGGAGCCTTACCCATGAGTTATATACCTCCTTATAATGGATATGGCTATCATGTAAGTTCTGCTTTTCTCTCATTTTTGTAGTAGTACAAGTTCTTGACTGTTTTATCATAAAATCTAGCAACGACATTGATTTTACTAAATATTTATCACCCTTATCAGTTGAGAAAACTATTTTATGCAAAACAACGATTTGGAGATTTAAAAAGTTTTCGTTTTTCTTTTTCAAAGTTTTATATTTGATACTAGTCTTAAAATATATATACTCTGTAACAGGCACCTAGAACTTATGGGTACATGCTACCACCTATCCAGACTCAACCTGCAATTCACAATGTGATTTCACCGAACCAAGGTGACACTAGCTCGTTGCAGGGAGCAGCTTTGACCGAGTCTGTTCCACCGCGTTTAGCCGCCCGTAGAAACTTCCCGATGGCTCTTGGGAATTACAGTTATCATGGTCTGCAATATCCCATGGCGTTTCCTAGAGGAATGATCAGTACTCGCCTTCCTCTATCCACGGCACCACCTGGCCTTTCTAGCAACGGCGCATCAACACCTTCCTCTCTTCAAGCTGAAGGTTTAGTCCTAAACCAGAACATATATAAGAACAATTTGATGCTTATTATAGTTTCTAGTCGTTACTAATGCGACTGATGATACCTACAAAATTTTTGCTGGTGTTCAGGACCAGCGGGTGCAAATCTATTTATCTATAACATACCTCGGGAATTCGGGGATCAAGAACTCGCGGTTGCGTTTCAACCGTTCGGTAAGGTTGTAAGCGCCAAGGTTTTTGTAGACAAGGCCACTGGTGTAAGCAAATGTTTTGGTAAGCAAATTAATGTCACTAAAGCCACCTTATTTTTCCCAAGACTCGAATTAGCGGTTAAATTAGAGCATCATCCTTTTCTGTTGCCACAGGATTCATCAGCTATGACTCACAAGAAGCTGCTCAAAACGCTATTACCACGATGAACGGTCGCCAATTAAGCGGTAAGAAATTGAAGGTCCAGGTTAAGAGAGACAACGGCCAACAACAACAGACTAACAAAAACGGTTTATTAAACCCGTAAACACACCTGACCTGATCTTTACCGTTAAGAGTTGCGGGGCAGGCGGGCCGGTTAAAGGCAGTCCGGTTTAGACATTAAAGATTTTGAGGGTGGATCTTTGAATGTGGTGGTTGAACTGGAGTACAAAAATTGTTGGCCGTTATTAACATTTTGCCTATTTGAAAAATATCCCAAGTCTCATGTGGGCAGGTTCAGAAGTTCTCTCAATCACTCAAAATTGATGTAACTTGCTGCAAAAGGGTTCTACTCCACTCACTTTTCTTTTCCTGTTTATCTCTTTCTTTTAAATTCTCGTCATTAAAATTTGTAACTTATGATTATTAACCACTATAAATTCTTTTAATTAATCTTTGTAAAAAATAAATATACCGTTCTGGAATTTCTATAGTACTTTTGAAAAGACGTTTATAGTTCGTGTCTTTGTGAGACACAAAAAGTTAAAAATTAAAAGTAATAGTTGTCGGAAAAAAAAGAAGTAATAGTTTGAAATTTTCCTTTTAAGTTTTGTTGGTCCTGTAACGACGCCGGTTTGGACATGTGAGCCCATATGAAATTAAAAGCATTCATGGGCCCAATAGTAATAACCCGTGATCTTCACGTGTTCACTTTCTTCTTCCATCGAAACCTAGTCTCTCCGTCTGACGAAGCTCTGGACGAACGGAAGGCACAGAGTTCGGACAAAATCTTTAAGTTCAGACTACAAGATGGTAGCTAAAGCTAATGATGCTGTGAGTAGAGATCTTGACGTGGACAAAATCCCTTTTAGACCATCCCTTGAAGCTAAACTTAAAGAATTGGTGCATAACATTTGCTTACACGAGATCAAGCTATGCTCTGCCGCTGCAAAAGAATTTGTTAAGTTACTCAAGGGAGAAACTGGCGGCAATCTGCTGCGGCTATATTTCCACAACTCACCAAACTTTGCTGAGCTTCTAGAGGCATGGAAGCTTCGACATGATCGCAAACAAGGACCATCCTATATATTTAAGCTTATCCATACGATTTTGAGTCATCCAGAGGGAAAAGGTGGATCAATTGCTATTGAAACTGCTATTGACCGGTTTTCTAGGTTACTTTTTAGGCAAAGACTGGATGACATTTACAAAGCATTGAACAGCAATGAGGGAAAACAAGTAAAAGCTGCACTTTTACTCTTGGCTTCGATAGTTAGGCGTGGTCGAGGCATAGCATCAGAAGTAGCTGGCAAATTTGATAATTTTAAGGGTTTGGCAAAACTGGGAGCGTATAAAACGCAAGGGTCGCGCAAGCTTAACATCAAACACTACTCAACGAGGAAGGCCTTTGTTGCGTTTGCAATATCTTTCCTAGAAGTTGGATTGCTAGGGTTTGTTTTCCGGCAGAAGGAAATGTATTCTATAGTCCTACAAGGCCTTGGGACAGATTCTGAAGACACTGTGGCTTCTGTCTTGTCAACCTTGAAGGATAAGATCCTTGTTAAAGAATCATCATCGCTTCCTCCTCCTCCTCCTCGAAGAATTAGTGTTCTTTTCGGAATCAAAACACTAAAGCAGCTAGCTAGCATTTCAGTAAGAGAGGATGGTGGGATTGTCAATGAGTTGGCCCATGATGTTCTTCTTCAAGTTTGTACAGAGCCCTGTTATGGTTTGATGCCAGATGCGAACAGAAACCTGGGAGGCGATCCAAGAAGACTACTAGAGCTCATGAAGAGTTTGAGAGCAACAGAATATTGTTATCACCTGGATTTGCTTCTAGCCATTGTTAGGGGTAGACCGTATTTTGCTTCAGCTTTCTTGGACGAATTTCCATACAATGTGGAAAATCTTGCATCACCATCCTGGTTAGCGTTATTCTGAAGTCCCGTCAACTTTTTTTCCGCTTCATTCATTGTTTCTGCATCGTAGTAACTCAAGTCATTGCAGGGTTTCTTCAATTTCCTTGGCAGCAAATTTGGTATCGTCAGTAAGAACTTCATGTTCCTTTGGCTTTCTTAGTCCGGATCAACCTCCATCCGCGGGTTCTGATGTTGAGACTATCATGAAATGCATATGTCCCCGACCATTTAGACGGTCATTGTTCACCAAAAGGATGCTTCATTCTGATATTCTTGTGAAACATGGGACCTTGAGATTTCTCTTAGAGACGCTGAGGCTGTTGGATTCTTTTGTTTCTGCTTGGAAACTTTGCTCGTCTCATAGCTGCTCTGCCGAGCAAATTCAGACTTCTCTTGAGCGGGATTTCATGGGTGAGGTGAGAAGCTTTTTTCCAGATTTTGAAGTACTGAAACAGTCTCTGGGCGGAACAACAGAGCTATCTTGCAAGAGAAAAGCAGTGTTAGATAGTGAATCAGAAGGTAGAAAAAAACGCTTTAAGAATGATGTTTTGGAAGAAGATATCGTCATTGGTGGGGTAACTTGTGATAAGGATCTCTTTTTGGCGGAGGATGCTGTGATGACTGATCAGGCAGATGCTGAAAAAGAATTTCTTGGGATTGTTTCAGAAATTTGGGGCTCAGAGTTTTGTTCAAAGCCTATCGACTCGCTCGAAGAAGCAGAGATGTTCTTTCAGATAAAGCTCCTGGAGGTCCTCAGGATTTATGTGGTACGTCTATTTTTTCACATCATTAAAACTTTTTTTTTTCTCACTTAGTCATATCTAATACTAACAGGGTGTCTTATTGTTATGCACTGTACTTAATGATATAGTTTGTTTTGGTATTGGCTAATATGTCTACGCATTAGTAGTGGCTTAGACGTTCTTCATCTCTACTTGACAAACTCCGGTATTTATAAGCTACATGTTTTCCATCTCTGCAGCGTTCTGTGCCTAATGGGCTTGAAGGATCGTTTAAATTCTTCATGGACCTTCTGATCAGCTCTTCAAATTTCCCATCTGAATTTCGGAGAACTCTCTTGTCTTTCCTAAATGAGTACATCAGTTGGACACCAAATTCCCAAAGTGAGAGAATTCCTTCAAATATGTTCAAACATCTGAAGGTATTCATGGATTTGTTACTCGACGATGAGGTGAAGGATCTAGCGTACGATTTAGCACTGGTAGCTATGAGCAGCACCGGTGCATTTGACCAAAATCCAAGTGAAATTGGTGCATGGTTCCGATTTCTACCATTTCTTGACAAGATTAAACGACCTCTTAAAATTCAGGAGGCTATCCAGAGCATGTCAAAAGCTGTCATCTCCTTTTTATGTGAAGCAGTTAAGACTGTTGGAGATCGTTTATTCAAGCAATGGGACATTGTCAGAATCAGCTTGTCCCATTTTAAAGGTATATAGGTATTTTTTGTGCCCTCAAAATTCAACTGTTTGGTATAGATTGCGCGTGTTTGCTCTTTTTTATTGACTCTGCGTATCTTCTATGGGCTTGTTGCAGGTGTATCAATTGGTTTTAGCCCCCTAACTGTTTGTATTCTGCAAAGCTGTGTGAGGCTACTAAATTCTGAATCTAAGGCATACTCTTTACCAGAGAAGTCAGAAATATCTCTGTACGTCTGCAGCACAATGAAATATCTTTTGCAAACTCAGGTAATATATACATCTGCATGCAATATCTTTATACTTTAGCTTACATTCCCCGCTTAAGATACCAATTCTATAAATTATAAATATTGTAGGTAGATTTCAGACCACTCTCATGTTTGGTTCAGTCAGTTTTGTCTGAGGTGGTTGATGGATCTAAAGATTGTTTATGTGAATGGAGGCCATTGAGAATGTTACTGCTTTTCTCACAATCTTTGTCAGAGAAAAAACCTTTCATCTCGCATCCCACAAGGACAGTAAGTCTACTTGCTGACACTTGTTTTGCAGACACTCTTGATGAGATCAAAGGACTGGTGAGAAGTATTTCTCCGGATCAGGATGAATTTGCAGGGGTCGTTAAAGCGTTTACTTCTGCGTTGGTCTGCGCAACACCTGAATCGATTTTGGAGAATTTTGACTCTGTGATGGCTGTTTCTTGGGATCTCCACGGAACATCATTCTCATTTTTACATTCCATCTCCTTTCTTGACGAAAACTTCCTCGGAAACCTTTTAAAGCTATCGCCTGACTTATTTTCAGAAGTTACTTCTGAGTCAAGGAATCTCCGTGAAGGAACAGTAGATTGTGAGATTGATTTTGCTGACCACTCATCATCCATAACTGAAGAAATCAAAAGTAAGACTGACTTCTTTTTAGAGCAGATGCCTTTTCCTGCATTGCTTGACGCAGTTATGAGGATGGATATATCTTGCTTAGTGGAGTTTCCAAGAATATCAGAGCTACTTCTGCTAAAAGTCTTGCAACCTAAAAGTGATAGCATTGATTCAGACATCCGATTGATACTAAACTGGCTCTCCCAAATACGATCATCTTACAAGGCTCAGCCAGCTCCGGTACTCTGTCATCTCTCTGAGATCTGCTTACGTCTCATGAAGCACTTGCTCTCTCAAATATCAACTTCGGACAAGTTGCTTGCTCCTTTTGCAAAGTGGAAGCATCATCAAGTGGCCCAGACAGTTCTTTGCCACCCAGTTATGATGTCACTGTTGGAGAGTCCCTTGGATTGTGGCACATTACCTCGATTGCAGAATGTTGACATTTTTTCAGAAACGTCTCTGATCAGTGAAATAGATCAACACATCCTTGACCTATTGGTTTCTAATTGTGAGCACTTTTTGTTTGTTGAGAGACACATTGTAGCAAATAACTCAATTATGGCCATCAAGGACTTGGTCGAAAGGCTTCTCTTGGTATTCAAAGGCAAGTTTGAGATTACATGTGTTGGCTCTCAAAGTTACGCTCCGCTTCTGCAACCATCACAACTTATTCATGCTTTGCTGAGATTTATATCACCTGTTAAACTTTTCTATCTTGCCCGTTCCATGCTGAGTAAAACCGAGTTGTCTAGCCCAAATTCGAGTATGGTTCTCAGTTTGGGGTTGGATATTGCTGGTGGAGCTTTTGAAATGCTCATGTTGTATTCACACGAGCCGGCTGCTAAGAGAAGGGTATATGATTTGCTTTGGGAATTAGAAGAAAATAATTATGACAGTAACCTCATTGAGGAAGTATATAGCGTGGCATGCAAGTTTTCTACCTCTTTAGGTTTGGTTTCGGCAGATAACTATTTGCTTAAAGTAGTTGGTGCCATTTTCAGAGCAAAACATAGTGTTAACCCATTGACCCTGATAATTTCAAAGATTACTGGAAGAACTCCTAAAGACTTGATTATCCATTGCATTAATCAGGCAAACATGACTAGAGCCAAGATAGTGTTCTATCTTGTGGAGTCAAGTCCCTTGCATATGTCAGTCTTTGGACACTTTTTCTTTAGTAAGCAACAGGATGAAATTGGGCTTACGAATGATCAGTTTATCATGCTTCTCCCTGCTGTGCTATCGTATCTGGCATCACTTACTGCAAAACTTGAGAAGCCATGTCGTAGATGTTTGGATATAACTTCAGTTTATTCAAATATACTAATAAATGGTTTTCTTCAGTGGCCCAAGTTTTTGTCTGAGTGCATCTTTGAAGAGAAGTATGAAGAGATTCTTCCGTCGGCGACTACAGAGGATATCGACACTATGTTTAATGCGAGTCTTCTTGGGAAGGCAGTACGTATGTTACAGTATCACTTTGCCTTGACTGAAAGTCCAACTAAAACAGAAGATCTCTTGAAGATATTCGATTTCATGTTGGATTACGAGACAAAAGAAGTGGATGTACAGTCTGTAGATGATATGTTTAATGTTGCTATCCGTGTAGTTGCAAAAGCAGAAATTTCAAGGATCTGTTTGTTTCCTGAGGATAGCAGTAGTATGTTTCATTTAGGTACTTGTGTGAAGGAAAGTTGTCCAGAAATGGGATCGAACAGAGAGAGTTTGTTACTAAATGCTTTAGTTAATAGTTGGCAATCTGCTGTCAAGAGATCTGATGCTTCTTTTAAAAGGAACTCCGAAGACAAATGTTGGTTCCTCTGCAACAGCCTTGAAAACTTCATTTTGACAAGTATTCTAAGGTTTTTGCGTGACGTGTGTGAGAGGCTTGTTCACTTGGATTCCCTTCCTTTCCTGGAGAGACTGATGGAATCAGTTCTTCTGTATAGATTTGAGGACTCAAAGACATTGAAGATGTTGAGGGAAATTCTCTCCTTATTGTCTAGAGGAAAGTACTCGTATGCACCATATCTCCAACTCCTAAGATCTCACTCTCAGTTTACACCGACCATCAGCTCTCTATCCTCACATACAGGTGACTCATTCAGGCCTGTCTCAAGCATTCTGAAACATCTTATAATCATCCCAAGTCCAAATTCTGTCGGAGCTGGAAGTTGTTGTCTCCAAGCACCTGACTATGTGAAGCAGTTGGAAATTGTCAAAATTCTCAGGGTATTGCTCTCCAAATGTGGAAAAGATTCAGGAATCAATCTAAAAGAAGTGCACTTTCTTCTCTTGTCTTCTTATGGTGCAACTATGAGCGAAATCGACTTAGAGCTCTACAAGTTGATGCATGATATCGAGCTGATTGATGAGGAAAACAGAGTGAATGTTTCTGAAACAGATTACTTGTGGGGTAAGGCTGCCTTGAAAATGAGAGAAGGGCTGCTTGCATCATACGGTGGTGAAGCTGATTCAGTGGAAGATATCAGGCAGAGCCTTTTCAAAGAGAATCTTTGTGTTGATCCCAAAATATGTGCTCAAACTGTTTTGTATTTTCCTTATCAACATACTGCAGAGGTATCCGATAACTCTTCTTACTTGTATAATGATGATCCAATGAGCAAGCAGGTACCCTTTTTTAATTTTTATTTTCAGTTGTTAAAAGTTTTCTTGTACTTGCATTTTCAAAAATCGTTCAAGATAATTCCTCCTCCCTGTGTAGATATGCTCACGTGTTATTGAACGATATGATCCGGCTTTCATCCTGCAATTCTCAGAACACTCATTGTACACGGGATATATTGAACCTGTGGAATTCGCCAGTTTAGGCTTGCTTGCAGTTGCGTTTGTGAGCATGTCTTCAGCAGATCTTGGTATGAGAAAATTGGGCTATAATACTCTTGGCAGATTTGTGGAAGCCCTAGAGGTAATACTCATTTTATGTTTAACTTCTCTGTATTCATGCCCTGTTTTGACTTTCTACTGAATGATAATACCTCAGAATCTAATTATCATATTTCTTTGTTTAACTAAAATGTTTTTTTGGTGTAGTGCTGTACGATGAATGAGCATGTAAAGAACAGACTTGGGCTTCTGCTTTCGTATGTGCAAAATGGAGTTGAGGAACAATGGCAAAGAATCCCAACTGTTTATACTGTTTTTGCTGCTGAGACATCTCTGATACTGTTGGATTCTTCTCACGAACATCATGTTCCCATAGTTAAGTTTTTAAAGACCTCATCTACACTGAAGCTGAGGGTATGTATTTATTCCCTGAAAACTTGTAAACTCTAGTCTTTATCCTTTACACTCTGCCAGCACTCAAAACTGTTTTTTTTATTCTTCTCTTTTGCTAGGGAATACCTTTGTTTCATGATTTTTTCTTGAGCAGCGCTGTTGGATCACAGAGGCTCTGGATACTTCGCCTAGTGTGCGTGGGCTTGAAATCAGAAGATGATGCTCAAATTTATGTTAGAAACTCTGTCCTTGAAATAGTGATGAGTTTTTTCTCAACTCCTCTTGCCGATGATGAAACTAAAGGACTAATCCTAGAGGTGATACTTTCTTTCCTTAATGTCACTTAGTGTTTCTTGCATCTTTATAAGGTTGGTCTCAAGGATATATTTATTTGGTCTTTTCTGTATCTTGGGGTATCTTTACTTCACCTTGGAGCTCGTAATCCAACACGATCTTGCTTTAACTTTTCAGGTTGTGAGAAAGTCAGTCAAATTCCATAAGTTGGCCCGGCATCTAGTTGTAAATTGTCATCTCCTGCCATGGTGTTCATCATTCATCTCAATGTTTACTAGAAAACCCATTGGAGATGAATATTCGCCCTTTCTAGTTGTCTTAGAGGTGTGTACAATACTAGTCCATTAGTCTGGTTTGCATCAAGATTCTTCTTGTGTAGAATATTGTATTCGTTATCCCATTGAAATTTACATTGTGATATTGTTGTTGTATCAGGTCATAACTAATGCACTCGCCTCGAGAAACGTTACAGAGTGGTTGCAAAGATTTGCCCTCGAAGGGCTAATGGAAATCTCATCGCGTTTATACAGACTTTTAGGTGGTGGATTGGTTTCAATACGAGAAAATGGTACTTGTGTTGATTTGATTTTGCAGATACTATCTCCTACTCTAAAGATGTCACAGAAACGAGAAATGCACCAGCCACATTTTACCATCACAATCGAGGGGATATTCCAAATCTTTGAGGCTGTTGCTAATTGCGGTTCTCCTCAATGCGAAGCTAATGCAGAGCGTGGGCTTGACACTATATTAATGAGCAGCCCGCCACTTGACATTATATGCATGGTATCCCTCTCTCTCTCTCTCTCTCCCTCGTCCAATTTTTGTTTTGAACAGTTCAAAAATGTTTTGGTATATTTTCAGGACGTGGGCAAGCTGAGAAGGTTTCTTTTGTGGGGAACCTCCACAGCCTTGAAGATTGACCTTAAAAAGGGGTCTAAGCCTAGTGAGTCTCATCAAGACTCTAAAACACGCACTGAAGAAGGACAAGAAGAGACTATGGTAGCAAAGTTTCTACGCTGGCTATTGGTTTCAGTGATTCTTGGAAAGCTTTATTCTGAAGCTCATGATTCGGACTCGACAGTCTTGAGTGAAAAAAAGCCAGAAACTTTGCTAACGTTATTAGAAAATTACAAGATTAGGAACCTCGGAGACAGCATGACAAAGTCGGAGCACGTGATAGGGGAAGTAATCTTACATCTCCAAAAGCTTGTGTGTACAAACTACAGGGTTTTTCTTCCCACAGTTGTATTTGCACTTTCTCTCATGTTTCTTCACAATGGCCTCGGTGATTACAAGCTCATCAAATCTTTGTGTTCTAGAATTAGTATTCCTCCAGAGGCCTGGAGATGGTAAATGATTCATCTGTTGTTTGTTCATCATTTCGAAAACTTTGATTGTTTATCACTCCAAACCCTTACCATGAATCCTTCTCGATCCATAGGTCATATCATCAGGCGTGGAAGGATCTTTCGTCGGAACCAGCCACCGATGTGGAAAAGATGGATGTACTCCATGCGTGTCAAGACCTTTTGCTGATATTCTCTGATATGCTTGAAGAAACGCCACAGGAGGTGTTGCTTCGTGAAAGCTTTGACATGTCCCGTATATTTGAATGGGAAAGAGGTTTAGTTGAGACCTAGTCGTTGTATTTTGTGTATCAGCCAAATCAAATAAGTTTTGTTGATCAATGACTTACTTAAGTTGTTGTTATTGATTCGTTTTCAATGTTTGTTTTATCAATGATTGATGTTACTTGCGTCAGAGTCAATATAAAATCAGTTTATCTTGCAGAGCAATCAACAAGTGCCAAGCTTGGCCATTTGCAGTAACTTTCTCCGAATATGAGACCAGCTAGCCCAACCCAAGAAAAAAAAACAGAAACTATTACACAGAGGTAATGCATGTAACCATCGATCTACGACTGAAACTTGGAATTCATGACTCAGTCGATTCTCCACAACATTCACCCACAATCCCTTTTTTTTTAAATCCCCTGCCATCGATGAAGCTACCGCGCTACCGTGTCCCACTTTCTTAGAAACCCTAATCGCCCAATTCTAAGAGATATAGTTTGATTTGCTTTGTCAATGGTATGTAAACTTTCATTTGTAAGGCCTGAATGGCGATTTGTATTTTTCGTCCTACGTTAAACTATGTTGATCTTTCAATAAAAATTATATATTCATTTATACGTTAGACGAAACTAATATGTACATCTAAAGGTTATCAAATTAATTTTATCCACCCCTAACATATCTCTCCTTTACTATAATGTACAAAAAAAAAATTTTGAGCCATACAAAACTAGATAGCATTTAGATAAGGATGGTATGGTTGATGCGAGATAACCCAAATATACTGTAAAAAAAAAAAAAAACACAACAAAAACTTTGGTGTAAAGAAAAGAAACCACAAAAAAATCTTTGGTGATTTTATGCAGATTTTGGCTCACCCATTCTTAATTAGGCTCTCTTCTCTTTTTTTTTTTTTCTTTTTGTTTTTCGCAAAGACAGCCTGTTGGTAACAACCTTCCTTTTGTAATATTTTTACAAACAAACTCATTTTTAATGAAATTCAAATATTTTTCAAAAAAAAAAAACAACAAAAACAACGAAGATTAAAAAGTAACTGTAAAATAATTTCAATCAGCTATGTAAAACTGTATAATAAATTCAATCAACTATTTTACGTATTATAGTTTCGGTCCGGTCGATAGAAAACTATATAATTCATATTGTTTATCCCCAAAGAAAGGTCATAAAAAACATAGTAGAACAGAATTGCCGCGCATATTTAAAACGCTTAGTTTAATGTAGAGAGTAGAGACCACTTAAATTATAGCACCAAAAAAAAAAAAAAAATCGTTGAATAACGACCAGCATACATGGCAACACCAATAGACACACGCAGCGTAAAGAGTGGGCATTTTCGTAATTTACAATATTCTTTTAACACTTGGCAGTTGGGCATTCGTAATGAACTGTCTCTTACCACTTGGCAGTTGGACACCATGGCCGGAAAGGAAACGCATTGAAGAGATTCGTCTGGATTTAAACACTCATCATTTTGCTTACCAAAACAAGAGAGCTCTCGAGACAACAGAAACAAATTTACTTTGCTCATAAAATGGAGACGAATCTGAGTGATTTTCACTACAGTCTTCCTCCACCGCAAAATCTTAATCTTCAGAATCTGTGTTTTCTTATCTTCATCAAAAAATCATCATCATGGCTTCTCCCAACTCGTACCAATACCCATCTTCTTCTGCTTACCAACCGCAACAGGCCACCTTCGATACCCGAGAGGATTTTCCGGGACCTAGAGCTGGCCATACTCTCACCGCGATTTCCCACCGCCTATTTCTCTTCGGCGGTTCTTCTACAGTCGCGAGCAATGGCGCCGATATCAGTGAGATTTTGGGTTTTCGTAATTCCTAGGGTTTTTTTTTTTTTTTTGGGAATTCGGAATTCTCTCTGATGATATATATATTTATGGATTTGTTTGTGGTTTTGTGTGTTTTTTCTAGGTTTCCAAGGTATTACCAATTCGGTGCATTGTTTTAGTATTTTCACCAGGAAGTGGACAAGGTAATTGAGGATATCTATCATTTGGTGTTGAAGGATTTGTTGATGTTTCGTATTAATTAGGGTTGGTTTTTGTTTTTGTTAATTTATAACTGGGGATGCTCTAATTAAATATTGGTTTAATGGTGGTGGATCTTTCTTGTAATATTCCGTGATTGTGCAGGATTCATCCGGAAGGTATTCCTCCGTCTCCCAGGGCTTATCATGCAGCGGTCGCATGTGACGACATGGTCGTTATTCAGGTGATTGAAATGATTCCATGTTACTTTTATTGTTGTCAATAGCGTTTTTCCATGGTTTATAGTGTTCATGTAGTGTAACTAGTTTACAGGTGAAGAAGAGCTAGCTAGGGCCATTTTTTGGTTTAATTGTTATAGTCTAGACCCTATATATATATATATATATATATATGAATGATCATGTTGTTGACACATGAATGAGCATGTTGTTGTTTCCGTTGGCAGGGTGGGATTGGTCCAGCTGGGCTTTGTTCAGGAGAACTTATCGTTCTTAAGACGACTAATGATCAGTTCAGGTGGCAAATGTGAGTTCATCTATATATGGATGTCTTTTTTTTATATGATATCTAGTTTTGTTAATTAATTATGAGTGTTTTTACGCACCTAATGTATGTATATGTTTAGCGTGGAAATTGGAGGGGAGGCTCCAGGCCCTCGCTATGGCCATGTTATGGCTATAGCTGACAGCACCCTGCTTATATATGGCGGAACAAATGGTACGAATAGCGTTTTTTTCTTTCCAGAACAAATCCCTAATCATCTACCCAGCTAGGGTTTATGATACGGTTGTGAACTTTTACGTATATGGCATTTAGTAATCATGTTGGCAAACATAATTTCCTTCTTTCTTCAACCATATTGCATGTGGTTATCTTTATTGTATATTATGTCTTAACATCCTAAAACAAGGTTGTTCCTTTTTTTGTTTTTGGTGTCTTTGGAGTAGGAAATAGAATTCTCTCAGATACCTGGGCATTTCATGCCGCTAAAAAGCCGAATTTCTGGGAGAAATTAACCCCATTTGGCTATCGGCCAAAAGGGATCATGTTAGTAATTTGATTGATCTAAGTAACTTCTGTGTTTCATTTGGTTTTTAAGTTTAACTCTTATTCATATAATTCGTTTAATATTGTGCTATAAGGTATGCTTCTGCTAGTACTCGAAGACAAGATCGTTATTTTACGCTCTGCGGCGGAAGAGACTGCTATGGCGAGGTATAATTTCTCTTCTGTCTATCCGGTAACAATGTCCAAAGAGTCAAGTGTCAGAGATTTTCTTGTTAACTATACTAACCAGCCTTTTCTTTTTCCGTTTTTCAATTAATTCCCTTGATGATACCTGGCGTATATTCACATAAATGCTTGCTTTTGCAGTCACTGGGAGATGCTTACGGGCTACAAAAGCTTAACAATGGTTTTTGGATGTGGACTCGGTTTCCCGGCGTAGCTCATTCCCGGAGATATCAACATACAGCGGTCAGAACAAAAATCTTGCCACACTTGCGATACAATACATATATAATATATGGCTTCGAATTCGCATGTCATGGTCGAATCCTAAAATTAAGTTTTGATCGTCCTTCTTATCAGGTTTTTGTAGGCTCAAGATTGCATATCATTGGGGGTGTCCATAATGGGACTCGCCTAATCGATGGTGAAGCAGCTATTGCAGGTAATATCCAACGGCTGTTTTCTAAGTACTTTCAATATTTCATGTGACTCTCTCTATCTTTTCTGCTTTTGCATTTGTTTCCCAATATCATTTGTTGTTGGAGCTTTAACCAATGGCCACATGCAGGTTGAGTTCTCATTATTTATGAATAGAGAAACTGAGTTTACATCCTTTATACAGTAGTGGATGATGTTATATATGTATATAATTTGTGGGTTTTGTTTTTTTGTACGTAGTGCTTGATACGGAGACTGGTGAATGGTTGGATAGAAATGGACCTGTGACTTCTAATCTTAGCAGCAATGGGCAATATCGTTATCAACTTATGCGGCGTTGTAGCCATGCTGCTGTAGCCGTTGGAAACCGCATATTTATGCATGGTGGAATTAGAGAAGGTTAATCTAAATTACCAACACTAAAGAAATTTCTTTTCGCCTTTAATTTTCTGCATACTTTAGCACTGGTCAATTTAGATTCTTTTGAGTAACAATTTTTTTTTTTTGTTTGTTTAACAATTGTTCTCGTCTAGGTGTAATGCTCGAAGATTTTCTAGTCGCTGAAATATCGCAGCCTTCAAGTTTTGAAACAGCAAACGCATCTTCTAGGAGGAGAAGGTCTATCCGACTTTCTTACACTCTTTTGGTCTGTGCTTAATTAACCCTTATTTAGTTCTTTCAAACATTACAAATCCTTCTTTCTTCCATAATGATATATCAGCTCGAGCCAAAGTTCATTGGATGGATCCGCGGAGGCTCATCTAAACTTACCAAGTCTAGAAACTGCTTTTTATGCTACTGCTGCTGAAGGATTTGATCCAAATGTATGTTAATTCTTTTTTTCACTCAGTCCTCTCTTTCTTTTTTTTTCTTTTTTTGCTTCATAAAGAATGTTTTGTTGTTGTTTCATACTGTACCGATGTGTACAAATAAATAAGTTAAATGATTTCATGGCGGATTGTGTTTGGTCATGTAGATTTGATTAGTGATATATATATATAATTGCACCTACTAATATACTCACACATATAGCTTTACAATCTCGTATTATATAGGTTGCGAGTTCAAGTGAGAGGGTTGGAAACCAAGGTGGCTTGGTGAGACAGCCACGCTTGGATCGGTTTCAGAGCCCGCGGACGACTGACGTAAGGAGAGCTAGTTATACGCCAGAGTTCATGAGAGCTGTTCAAGACTTGGTTAAAGAGGTATATATATGGTTTTTTTCTCCATATATATATATATATATTCCCATCTTCATGCACTTACGATGTTCGGTTTGCAGGTCATCTTAACATTGTTGAAACCTAAAGAGTGGGAACCTCCTGCAACAAGAGAATTTTTCTTGAGTTATGCCCAAGTGGCTGGATTGTGCAGTGTTGCCAAGGGAATAATCGAGCAAGAACCAACACTCCTGCAGCTCAATGCTCCCATCAAAATTTTTGGGGATCTCCATGGACAGTTCCGAGACCTAATGCGCTTGTTCTCTGAGTATGGATCTCCTTCAATAAAAGGAGATATCGCGTAAGTTATAGCAAATAGATATACCTTCCTAACTGATATATCATATATGGCTAGGTTGTTGTGAGTTTTGCCTCATGAATATATAGTCACTGAAAATTTGTATTTATCTGCCTTCAGGTACATTGATTATTTGTTTTTGGGAGACTATGTTGACAGAGGGACACACAGCCTGGAGACCATTATGTTGCTGATTGCATTGAAGGCAAGATATCTAGCTTTCTTAACATCACATACTAGCTATCTTTTTTTTCTTTCAGTGAACGCTTTTTGTTATTTATTTATCATAACTAATGTTTGTGACGTCTCGCTTGTGCAGATCGAGTATCCGGGGAACATCCACTTGATTCGTGGAAATCATGAGGCTGAAGTGACGAATCAAAATTACGGTTTCAAACAAGAATGCATACAAAGAATGGTACGTGTCGTCTGTTCACAGAAGAATGAATATAATTTCTACTTTTATCAATCTTGTTCGTAATAAATCTTGCATGCTGTGTTACTTTACTTTACCAGGGGGAGCACAATGGGTCACAAGCATGGTCAACGATAAATGATCTTTTCGATTATCTTCCGCTTGCTGCACTAATCAACAAGAAAATTCTGTGTATGCACGGTGGGATCGGGTCGTCAGTCTTTACCGTGGAACAGATTGCAAATATCAAGAGGCCCGTTAAACCGGATGACTACCACGTACCCGTTGTTGTCAAAGACTTGTTATGGTAAAACAAAATCCTTTCTCTCTTTTTTTTTTGTTTCCCTTTCTGTTTGTTACTTCTTCCCCAAGATTTTATAACATGTATCTTTTTCCTTACGTACGTAATACAGGTCTGATCCTACAGCGAATGATAGCGTTTTGGGCGTTGGAGGAAATCCCAGAGGAGATTGTATTGTCTCGTTTGGGGTAAGAACGCTTTCTACATATATTCTTTTTTTGTGTTTTTAGGATCTTTATTATATATATAATAATAATACTATTTTCGAGCTCGATCGATCACTAAGGCCATGTATGGCGTTGTTATATTATATATGCAGCCTGATGTAGTCAAGGCCTTCTGTGAGAGGAATAACCTAGACATGATTATAAGAGCTCATGAGTGTGTACTGGATGGTTTCGAAAGGTTTGCTCAAGGACAGCTCATTACTGTCTTTTCTGCTACAAATTACTGCGGTACGTGTTCTTCTTTTTTTTTAAAGAAAGAAATGTTAAAAAACAAAACAAAACCCTTTTAAAAACAAAAACCATGAACTTTGATTAACAGGAGTTGCGCAAAATGCTGGAGCAATATTGGTAATTGGTAGAGATTTGCTCATTGTTGCTAAGATGATTCATCCTCTTCCACCTCCCATCTCACCTTCCGAAAGCTCTCCCGAGAATGCATGGATGCCGGTAAAACAAAAATATAATCTTGTTTTTATTTACATGTCCAATGTATATAGCATATGTGCGCATTAGCTAGACGAAGCATGAAACATGTTGTGGTCTCTGAGCTTTTAAGTACTTGTTTTGTAGCTGGACAGCGAGAGGCCACCTACTCCGGTTCGAGGGAGGCCAAAGCCCGACGTTGAGAGTGGCTCAACTTCGTAAAGGAAGAGATTTTGTATAATAGAAGTTGCGGTTAAAGAAATGAACACTTTCATCAGCAAGCAGCAGACTTGTGCAATAGACTCATTATTTTCTCCAGTTTTTTATGTATCTTAATATCTTTTTCAAAACTCTATTTTATTTGGTATTGGTTGGAGACTCAGGTTTCGAACCGGATATTTGTTCACCATTTTAAAAATTTTTTTATAATCATTTGGATATTACAGTATTGATTTCTAATTATTAGTATTGATTCGTAATATTTTTAACTATCATTGATATCTTAACAAAAAGTTTATTATAGTTGTTAGAATGATTTTTGTTTATTCAGAGATTGATTTTTGAGTTCTGAGGCTACAACAATAGTTTTCTTAGAAAAAAAATTATTAGTTTTTTGTTCAGTTCGGTTAATTCAGCTATGCTAAAAATTATAATCAAATTTTAACTAGTTTTTCATTTCGATTTTGGAATTGATTAAGTGTTGTTCGGTTTGGTTACATCTTCTTCTTCACCACTCTAGCTTGTAAAAAGAGTTGGGGAAATATCAAAACTAAAGCGAGCCGAATGGACATGAATATGTTTTACATAAATAAATATGGCAAACCATGTACGTCCCATATTATTCCAGATATGAACCATTTTCATTTGCAGATAATTCTAAGGGTGTTACATCAATATATTTTTTTGGGTCAAGTGTTAACATCAACATTGAAGATTATACATATAAGAAAGCTCCATTAACATCTAAAAAAAAAAGAGAATATTGTGAGTTTTTTTTAATAAGATGTATTAAGGAACCTCGTCCCCATCAAAGTCTTCAAGAAGCTACAACCCCAAAACCATCACATTCATCTTCCCTTTCCGTGCTTGCTTTTCCATTTGGCGTTTTCCCATATTATTAAATTTTAAAATATCTTTTATACTTAATACTATTTATGAGCTTGAAACTTGGAAGCATAGAAATGTTCAAAAAGAAATAAAAAACTTAAAATTGTCATGATTGATTCATGTTTGTAAAAATGTATTACTTATTTATAAATTTGATACTCATTTATCTTCATATGATAGTATATATTTATTTCATTTGAACCGAAATATCATTTTTGCGGGGATAGTATGAAATTATATAATTGAAAGCCATTATTTTCTTTTTAAAAAAACTACATTGGCCAATCGCGTAGAGCCATGGATTTACCATGGTAACAATCTGTTACAAAATTCTCATTTTCTGATGTCGACAATTTCATTTTAGAAAGATCTTCGACACTGTTGTTCCAAGAAAACTGAAGCATCATTTTCAATTTTAATTACGCAAAAAATAGATGGATTTGTGAGGCATACTTCATTCTCACATAAATATACTCCTTATTCCAAAGACATTTCTACACACTAAAGTCACCAACGAATAAACGAATCCTTTTTTCTTTCTCTTTTTTCATTTCAACACACTGAGACACTGTGCCCCTCAAAAATGAAAAAACTATAGCAAAATGAAAAAAAAAAAACATATAATAATTTACCATCGAAAGATCCATAAGAAAGCGTAATTACGAAATTACCCTCGCCACTCGGTGCATTGTGTAGTGGGCCTAGTCTTCTGTGGGCCGGCCTTAAGCGGACACGGCGTCTGTAACGGCGGTACCATGCAGTTATACTGCAGACACAGCGAGCTGCTCACCGGGATTTCCGCCGCCGGGCTAATCTGTATTCCCGTCAAGAAGTTATGCTGCAGATACAGCGTTTGCATGCTCGCCGATAACAATCGCTCCACGAAGCTCGCCGGGACTTCGCCGGTGAATCGATTGCTGTTCAGGTAGAGATTCTCTACGCTTGAGAGAAGCGGAGATATCCCGCCGGAGAATCGATTGTAGCTGAGATCGACGGTTGGGATCGTCACTTGATTCGCCGGCTGAATCGGTCCGTAGAAGAAATTGCGCTGTAACTGTAGGTTAGTGATCGGGAAGGCGAAGATTCGACCAGGGATTCTACCGGTTAACCGGTTTAAGCTGAGATCGAGGTAGTTAAGCTGGTTTAACCGGAGTAAAACTCGGTCCACCGGTCCGGTTAACTGGTTCCAGGCGAGTGATAGGTATTGCAGCGAGGGAGGGAGAGACGCCGGAGAGATTGAGCCGGTGAGGCTGTTGCGTTTGAGATCGATTCTGATTAGGCTCTGTGAGAGAAACGGAGGGATTGATCCGGTCAAGTGATTGTGGCAGAGAATCAGATTAGAGAGCTCAGGTAAGGATCCGATTGACGGCGAAATGGTTCCGGTTAGCTGATTGTAGCTCAAATCGAGGGTTCTGAGACCGCGAACCTCGCCGAGACTCGCTGGAATCTCTCCGGAGATGAAATTCCGGCTGATTGCGAGAAATCGAAGGTTTTTTAACTGCGAGACTGTTGCCGGTAAAGCACCCATGATTCGGCCGGGGACAATGGAGAGCTCCGTGAGAGCAGAGAGTTTGCCTATAGCCGGACTGATCCGACCCGACAAACCGGGTGACCCGGCTCTGGGATCGCCGAGATTGAGAGAAATGACCTTATCGCCGTCGCAGTAGACGCCGGCGAAGCCACAAGGATCAGAGGTGAAATCCCAGGACTGGAAGAAATTGGAACCGGGCAAGTCATCGAGAGATTTGCGAATCGCTTGCAGAGCCAAGAAATCAACAGGGTCGAGAATCGCATCCGCTAAGAATCCGAATCGAAGCAGAAACATCAAACACCAAACCAACTGTGTAAATCTCATCTTCGTCTTCTTCTTCTTCTTCTTCAAACTTAGCCGTTCAGGTTGAAGAAACAGAGACTATATATATACAGAAGGGAAGTACAGAGACAAGCTGTAAAGTAGAGAGAAATGGGTTTATTTTCTGATTTCTCGTGAGAGGAAAGCCAGGTTGTGTGATGGAAATGGTGGAGGTGTTCTCGCTGGAGCTTCCGTGAGAGCTTTAATGGCGGATTATCAAACGATTAAAAAAGAATGAAAAAAAAGGTTTTTCGAGAGAAGAGAAAGAGTAATTAAAATGGCTTGAGAAGGAAGCCAAAACAAGAGATGAATATTCTTCTTCTTCTTCTTCTTCTTCCTCTTTACTCGTTTTGATTTTCTGCTTTTCTTTCTTTGGTGGCTTGTGATGGACGACGGTATGAAAATTTAATAAAATCGGACAAAAAATAAAAATAAGAATGCTAAATTAAGAAAGGTTATACATTTGGGTTGTGTCAGTGAAAACATGAAAAAAGGGGTCTCATTTTTTTTTATCTGTGTTTTTTATGGGGAACAGGTAATTGGTAAAACGGCTGTCCGAGCCTTAGGTTCGGATAAACAGATCAGCAGGTTCGGTGATAGCTCATAGAGGTTCGTCACGTGACTTGTGTGTGCGTCCTTTTTTTACAGTTTCGATTGACAGCTTGGACGAGCGAGAATTCCGTGACACGTCAGCTTTGTGGTTCGATCATAACTTTATTGTATGTACTACCACAATTTTATAAGACAAAATCAGCGTCACAATTTAATTTTGATAAAGTAATAATATTTAACAAGAAAAAAAAAGTAATACTTCTATAAGAAATATGGTTAATGGTCAATGTTACAGATGAAAGCTTAGTCAAAAAAGCATATTGAATCCTCAATATTATATGTGTCCTATTCTAACTAAGCTCAACTGTACTATCTACTTCTAACGAATGCTGCGACCAAAAGTCTAATCATATTCATAGCACTAATTATCTTTAACATAGCAAAGATCATACATAATAATAATACCTACAAGGCTACAATTGATAGTAAAGATGATACTTCGGAAAACAGTTTCGTGTCAATAAATCGAGTAGTCCGAAACATTTATTGTTACATTCCTGGAACCAGTCTCCGGATAATCTTAAGTTTTATTTGGGTAATCTCAAGTTAAGGTCCAAGTCATTTAGAAAAATGTTTGTCCATTGTTTTTACTCATCACCTATCAAAATAAATTTGGGAAATATATAAGTAAAAGCTATGGGACATTTCATTTTAGGTCGTGAGCGAAAAAGAAAGAATAAAAGAAGAGAGAATTGTAAAGTTGTACCAACTGTATAATTTTGACAAAGGTAGCTGGCAAATGGTCCTTCCATTCCGTGGGCTTAAAGAAAGATAAATTGGTAAAAGTTGGAAGACAAGGCATCGAAGATTTTTTTTTTTGTTTTTAATGGTTTTTTAAAAGTACATATGGTAAAAAGGTGAAAACAGAGACATGTTATATATTTCTCTATTTATTACTTACTCATCAATAAACTTGTTGTTTGTATGTAAAATGAGAAAATGTGTGAATCGACGCAAAAAAAAAATGGAAGAGGAGCTTGGACCACAAGTCTTAACAACACACATGCATGAGATAGTCAACATTTATAACACTTGCCCAATTCTAACATTTGTTTCACCACATTACGAAAGCTTCAAAATAGCTCGATACCTGTACAAACATTTGACTTTTGGGTAATTTCTATTTTCATCTCTAGTTTTGATGGTATACATATACATGTATAGATGTAAACCACACATTCCTGAAAACAATTAAATCATAGTCGTAAAAATGATAATACATTTTTAAATAATGGTTTCGTAAGGCTAGTCATTCATATATACCAACCATGCATAAGATTAAAAAGAAACATTAAACTAAAAATGATTTATTGCTCATTCTAAGAGACTAGGGTAGTGGACCAAATTAGGTTTATGAAAAGAAATTTGGTTTTGCAAGAAAGCCAAAGCAGTAAGTTCCAATCACAATGACCAAAAGAAAGAAGTCTATAGCCCAAATAGAATAATATGGTCCCACCACGAGACAATTAACACACTCGTTTTGGGACTCTGTGTTTGTTTGGTTTGCGGTCGAATCCTCTCACCAAAGAAGGTAAGACCACTAGTAAGTAGTAACCGAAATTAGATTTGATATGACTTTTGAATCGGTTTAGTTTTCTTCAGATCCTAGTAGAATAGTGTAAATGATGAATGAGAAACCTTTGTTAGGAGAAATAATAATCTGAAAATGATGAAGAGGGATGAGAATGCTGATAAGATAAAATGATGGCAAGATGGAGAGAACTTTGTTATTGTTACACGCCTCCATGCCTTCAATTTATGTTCATATATAAGTCTCTTTCACTTCACATACTTAAAAAAAAAATAAGAAAAAAAATCTTCATCAAGTGATCACTATAAACACATGGCTTCACATTTTGATTCCAGTTACATAATGATCTATATTTTCCTTTTATTTCATTCCTAGCTCGAGGTTAGGACAACATATTTAATACAAACCTAACAGAACATGACCAATCTATTGTCACAATCATATCCTATAAGCCCTATACCAATAACTAATAATGTGCATAAAACAAACGGTGTAAGATTCATTATTCAAACAAATCATTGTTGATTAATCCACACATAACCACATCTCCTAATACCCTTTTGCCTTACGTCTTAAACCCAAATCATGAACCCACTAGAGTCAATAAATCCCACAGAGGAGTGTCAGTGTCACCGTGTGTTTAGCCTTGAACATTTGCAAAATTAAGAAGAGTGTCGGTCTCATTTATATCCACCTGAGGAATTGTACCTCCAGCTTGGAGGATCTGTTGCTCTAGCTGCAACGGCATTACGTGAAAGAAACAGAGCTATGAGATGTAACAAATGGAGCAGTGAAACATTGCTTTTAAAATGATTCAAGAGCAGAGCAAGTAGGTTTCGGCAAAGCTCAAAACTTACATTAAAGAGATCCTGAAGTTTGGTCTTTAACATCTTATATTCATAATCCACCTGCTGCAAACACCTTAAACACCTGTACCAGATAACAGTATCATAATTTTTGTGTGAATTAGTGGAATAGTTCCTCAGGTACTTTATGTCAGAAATAAACAGATCCAATCACTATTTTGCACAAACAAGCTAAATGATAAACCAGAGCAAAAGTGACTACTTAATATTGAAAAGCACTCACCCTTCACGATTCTGGACGTCGCAACATTCCTTGAAAGATATACACACATTTTTTACCCTCCTTGCACCAACACTGTGTACAAAGCAGAGAATGAGCCATTAAATCAACGTACTCTATCTAATAATGATGCAGAAAGGTGAGGCGCGTCCTCGAGAAAACATGAGTATGGATCAGACGAATAAAAAGGAAATCCAAAACATTCTGTTTATACCTTGAGCTACTTCCCTTCAGTTGGTGCACCCCTGAATCTACCTGTTTGAAATCCACATTCTCTGGCCGCTCCCTAATGTGATAATAAACTCATAAAATGAAACCCATTCATCTAAGGAAAACACCTCAAAAAATGAAGGAGGATTAGAGACAAAGCCCCAAGAAACGTATACTAATAGGGAGAAGACTAAAAGAGTAGGAGAGAACTTACAGGGATGTAGACATGTTATTGATAAGCTTTGCACAGTCGTCAAAGAATAGAGAGACAACCTCAGCTACAAAATCAGGGGTGCCTTCATCTTGCAACTTTCTCAACTCAGAGAACTGATTATCCAGAAATCCCTTCAAAAACATACTATCATCTTAAAAACCTGAAACTTCGAATGTACCTTAAGCTTATCTAACCCTGAAAACTATCTCATAACCCAAGCCTAAACTCAAAGGCAAACTAATTAATCACACAAAATGATCACATCCAAAGGTTTCACACTCGGGATTCTACCCCCCAATGAAGACAATTAATCTAGGGACAAATAAAAATCAAGAAACACAAACAAACGAGTCGAATGAATTCAACAAATCCATAGCCAATGTATTCCATAGAAATGGTTTGGTCAGCAGCACCAACCTGTTGATAGAGAGAAACGATGTAGTCTTGAAATTGTCTCTGCAACTGAGCAACGACGGTGTTCATGGCTTGAGTTTTACCAAATGCGGAGAGAGCTGTTTACAGAGCGAAAGATACCATCATCAAACAATTCACATTTTACATATCACTAGGAAAGCCAGAAACAACAATGGAGAAGATGATTTGTATTTCTGTCGACCTAAATCGGAGATTCTGAGCTTTAAACAGATCAACACTACGCGAAAGTACCCAAAAAAAGAAGTAGACACCAGCTTCGGATTGAATAAGGAGATTCGAAGCTCCGAACGATAACCAAACCGCACAAGAAACGAAATCGGAGTGAAATTCGTCGAAGAAGATAGCTTCAGCGAGCGAGAGATCGATGGAAGGGCGAATCTGATCGGAGCGTCAAATAAATTTCTCGTTCCGTTGACTGATTTTGACTTAAAGTATCTTCGCGAGAGATTAAGGATGGAAACAATAATAATTATGGTAAATATGTAACTAATTAACAGCTTTTAACCCAAATAAAACGTAGCGTTTTTTTTGTGTGTGGCAAATTGACGATTAAAACTTAAAAGGAGATTTGGGATAAAAAGAGTTATCTAGAATCAAAAGAGTTAGCAGAATTAGCGGGATACGTCCAACAAAATTAGCAGAAAGCTACAACTATTTTTGTAAAACCGAAATTTTCAGTTTTTAAACTGAAATATGTATATAAAAAATTTTTATATATAAATATACAATATTTTAAAAAAAAATCATGCACAGCTTGTTTCTTCATCTCATGCTTGTTGGATGATACAACAAATAAATAACCAATTTATATGCAAGAACAACACCTGCAACCTATCTCTCACCTAAACCAAACCGGTTTAACTAATTGAAAACTCTCTACAAATTCTCGCCTTCTTCCTCATGGGCGTATGTATTAGTGTAAAATAAAGACAATTGCATTGAATTTTTCAAAATGGATTCTTGCATCCAAGAACTTCATTTCTCTCACCTCCATATCCCGGTAACCATCAACAACAAGTTTCTTGTACATCCATCAAGTCCAACACCTGCAAATCATTCTCCCCACCACAGTCTCTATCTTTCAAACCTTGATGATATCATCGGAGCGCGTGTCTTCACCCCATCTGTTTATTTCTATCGATCAACCACTGATCCATCTAATAACCGAGATTCTTTGGTACTTAAACGGCTTCAAGATGCTCTTGGTCAGGTCTTAGTTCCGTATTATCCACTCTCCGGTAGGTTAAGGGAAGTGGAAAATGGGAAATTAGAAGTTTTCTTTGGAGAAGAGCAAGGTGCTTTAATGGTGTCGGCGAATTCTTCAATGGCTTTAGCTGATCTCGGAGATCTTACAGTGCCAAACCCAGCTTGGTTACCACTAATATTTCAACACCCAGGAGAAGAAGCGTACAAAATCCTTGAAATGCCGTTGCTTATAGCTCAAGTAACGTTTTTCACCTGTGGTGGATTTAGCCTTGGGATCAGACTCTGCCATTGCATCTGCGATGGTTTTGGAGCTATGCAGTTTCTTGGCTCATGGGCTGCTACCGCAAAGATCGGGAAATTGATTGCAGATCCTGAGCCGGTTTGGGATAGAGAAGCTTTCAGACCAAGAAACCCTCCCATGGTGAAATACCCACATCATGAGTATCTTCCAATGGAAGAAAGATCGAATTTGACAAACTCTTTGTGGGAAACGAAGCCGTTACAGAAATGTTACAGGATAAGCAAAGAGTTTCAGTGTCAGGTTAAAAGCATTGCTCAAGGACAAGACTCAAGCTTAGTTTGCAGCTCGTTTGATGCGATGGCTGCACATATATGGAGATCATGGGTCAAAGCACTTGATGTGAAGCCAATAGAATACGATCTCAGGCTCACGTTTCCAGTCAATCTAAGAACAAAACTTGAAACTCTAAAGTTGAGAAAAGGGTTTTACGGAAATGTGGTGTCTTTAGCTTGCGCAATGAGTACTGTTGACAGTCTTATGAACGATTCTTTTGCCAAGACAACACGTTTGGTTCAAGAGGCAAGAGTTAGGGTTACAGAGGATTACTTGCGGTCCATGGTAGATTACGTGGAGGTGAAACGGCCAAAGAGGTTAGAGTTTGAAGGGAAGCTAATGATAACGCAATGGACCCGGTTTGAAATGTATGAGACTGCAGATTTTGGATGGGGTAAACCGGTTTATGCAGGACCAATTGACTTGAGGCCTACGCCACAGGTTTGTGTGTTGTTGCCTCAAGGAGGAGTTGACTACGGTGGTGGCCAAAGCATGCTGGTTTGCCTTTGCTTGCCTCCGTCTGCTGTTCATAAATTCACTCGGCTTCTAACTTTGAATGATTGTACATAAATAAGTCAACGAAGCGACCCAAAAGTCATAATGAAAACATCATTCAGATATTTATCACATGATTTAGTAAAATATTACCACTCTCTTGATTAAATTTGAGCAACTCTGTGCACCAATAGCTGTTGATTTTTATTCCAACGACTGTGAAATGATAAACTCGAAAACATATCCTCACGCAAACATAAGTCACAGAACTAGTCACCACAGAACGAATTTGAATTCATCAGAATCGCTTACAATAGCACGAGAAACCAACCCAAAAAAAAAAAAGAAAAGAAAAAGAAACATTGGTGATGAAGTTTAAGGCGAAACTGTTGATCTCCACATGGATCCTTCCATCTGTACAACGATTAGGGCTCACAAGAAGGATTAAAAAACAACATGAAACCCTAAATCTTCCATTTTTTTTTTCCACTTAAGGTTTCAACCACGGCCCAACTCCCATCTATAAAAATGTACATATTTTTGACGCAGCTATATCTTAGATAAAAGAAGAAACAGGAGGCAGAAATTATTACCCACCAACTAGGAGCAAATCATTTCACATATTCCAAATCCATGTCTTTATATATTTACAAGCTCCAGAAGCCTTCAGGACTTGGGACAACTATTTACCTGTTCAAACACAAGATTAAGAAGATGGCAAAGAGGTTAGCTTCTCCAACTCCTTGCTTAGAAAATAAACATCATAAAGGTGTGACGAGTATTCACCGTAGAGATTATACAGAGACCCGAGGCTTTGGGTGTGGTTCCGAGAGATTTAATCGCCTACAAAGGAATCCATACCACATACCATCTCGTCTCCTTGTCGTTTCTCTGTGTTGTTGTTGACGTTTAGATGATGTCCATTGGTAACTTCATCTAACTTCTTCAGGTGTTCTTCTGGATCTGCTACTGCTTTACAGTGTTCTTCCCGCAAAGCAAAACCTAAGCTCACAGGAGATTTTCCTATCGAGAGCATCTGATCATTGACATTAAAATCGGCGTGAACAGGTGGTGTGGTCAAACCATTTGTGATGTGCTTTCCCATCCTCGTTTCTTCTAGTGTATAGACTTTGGCTGTTACGGGTTTCTCAATCAACCCATTCTTGTTCTTCTTCTCTATATCCTTATAGATCCCATTCGATGTTGGGTAAAGGGTTAAAGAAGTCTTGAATGAGTTATTCAAGTGATCCGAATCATGGAAATTCTCCATCTGTTTTGATGAACCTAGTTCAATAAAACCAAATGGTTACTCGCTCATGACTTGGAAGGTAAATAACGCTATCAACTTATAAGGTGATGAACAAACTCATAATTAATAAATTACTCGAGAACGGAATATTGACTTACTCTCTTCAGAACTTTCAGCAGACTCGACTGATCCTGGCTTAGAATGACAGTTGATAATGTCTTGGCATATCTTCCCATTAGCTTGATAAGATCCCAATGCCGATGTGTGATAACATTTCATGGAAAACCTATGTCAAACGTTCCATAATTCGAAGCATGAGATTACAACAGGGAACAATAAAGAGGAAATTTTGCTAAGAGAATGCATAGGCTGTGTGAATAAGCACATTGAGAATTCTTGTCCACCTATCGAAGAAATGGGTACTACAAGAATACAGTTGTCCAAAATTTGGGATTACCTGTCATCCAATGTTGCTTTGGTGCTGTGAAAATGGTCAAAAACGGGTAGCAGTTTTTTCTGTTTTATTTCAAGTTCATGGGCTGGGACCTTTTCTATCTCGAACTCTCCACCAGTGGAACTATTATCTTTAGGAGAGTCCATCACGTGAAAAGAAATCTAGTACCACATCAAGGAAGTAAAAAATCAAGAGACAAGTACAGCTACAAGCAAGACACTGCAAGTTTTTGACCAAAAATACCTTCGAATTTTGCCACACTGGTAGCATCCCTGAGGTAACCTTTACCTCAAAGTTAGAAAGATAGCGATGGGATCTTTCAGGGGCCTTCTCAGAACAAGTTTTCAAATACCTATCTTCACCAAAATTGCCATTGATGTCAAGGGAAAGACATGCATCCGCATGGATTGGCAAGTTATTTGACACTGTATCCAAATCGTACTGCTTTTCAGTGATACTTTTGGGAAGTCGTTCCTCTGTTTCCAGCCAGTCAGACCTTCTACATACATCCCACCACTGGATAGGCTCAACTTTGACCCTCAAGTCATCCTCCTGAGCTTGAACATGTGATGCTCTTTGCACCCTCAAACCATTTTCAGGTGATCCTGTGAAAACTGATGGCAGAAGTTCATGCTGCACCACATGGCCTGATGGAGTATAGACTAAGATATGCTCCAACGAGTTAGTCCGGGAGTTCTGTTGAAGGTCATGAGTAACCGATTTGTGAAAAACAGCAGCCACGGCACCCGATGGTACAAATACTTTTCCAGTCGCAGCAGTGGCAGCATTGCTTACTGTGTTAAGCCATCCAAAACTGCTATACTTTATTCTGCTTACTACAGAAAGGGCAACAGCTGGTGGAGGTGATAAAGACTGCTGATTATTTGACAAGGATTGAGTAAACCACCATGGGAAAGAAGAAGCCGGCAGTTGGGCAGGATCCTCACCGTCGCAATTTGAAGGTAGAAACCCAGCATCACTGCCTGACGGGTTTAAAACGAAAATATGGCAAGTACCCTTGGATGAAATTATAGCCAGCCACTGACTGTGATGACTAAAGCATATGTCCTGGACAATCTGTTAAAAAGGGCAGAAAATTTCCAATCAAGAAAAGCTCATATAAAAAAGAATGGATATATGTCAACTTGAAGGTATACTAACAGCCGAAGTGATCCCTCTATGTAGCTTGAAGAGATGCATATGAGAAGATTCCCACTCATAACTTATGTCACCAGGTGCACAATGCGAACGAGATGGCATGATCTGAAAGACATTGATATTGTTCCCACACACTGAAGCAGTAACCAATAGGGTTCCACTAGGATCAAAACAAAGTGCTGAGATAGGACTTGTATGAGCCTTGAACTGTGATACTACGGCTCCAGAAACAAGATCTTTGACAGCAACCTGTTGAACGAACATTCAAAATGTATCACAATCTGACACTGAAACAATCCAAAACACTAGCAAGGGAACAAAGCTCGAAGCAAGTGACTATTGATTAAGAACTTTGATTCAGGAGCCCTAGCAAGAAAGCGAGCGGAAACTTGGTGCTTTGAAGGATCTCTGTAATGACTGCTAGAACAACTCTAGTGAAAGAGAATAGAGTGACTTAAGAATAGCTCACGATGTTCAGATCCAGAATAAAACTAACCATTCCAGCATTCTCTGCATCCGTTCCAGTAACCCCACCAGCTTTCCATATTGAATTTGGTGATGCTGGAGAATTGGATCCATCAGGGAGCATTTCTTGGTAGTATTTTGACAATGTTTTGTATCCCATGTCCCCCAAGTTGATAAGTCCAAAGGCTAAATGCTTGCTAGACTCCATCGCATAACGGGCCATCAAGCTACTCGCACCGGTCGATCTACTTGGACTGACACTAGGTGAAGAAAAAAAATTCTGAGGGCCTAGGCGCCCTGATTTCATGGTCATGGAACTCTTGGAAGCATATGCAAGCCACCTTGGACCTACAGCCATTGGACCGTAGCCAACATTAACCCCCGTTGTCCCTTGTCTCACTGGCTGAGGAACAGGATAGGTGAGAACACTGAACTTGTTTTCCAGAGTAAGTGCATCAAAGCAATATATCTGCACAAACCAAATAGAAACCATCAGCGTAAGACATAAGGGCAAAAGATAAATCTGTTATAGTCTAGTATACTCTGGCCTGTAGATAATACGTTCAATGAAAGCAAGGGTTGTTTCGTCTCAAGGCCAAATACCAAACTCTTACCACGCCCATAAAATAAGACAAAACACTATTGGAATTGAAGAATTTGTATCACAAGAATCTGAATATCTTAAAGCACACTGATACTCACTTGTGTTGCAAGGCCAACAGCTACTACTCTGGAGCTGCATCTAATCATGCAAATAGAAGACCGAAATCTCAGGACATATACATAACTGTGAGACCTAAGAGAGTAAAAGCGAACAGTGGTGGGATAACTGGTGGCATCCCCAGAAGATTCTGCTTTACCATCCCTCGCTAATGAACCATTATGGGAAAAACTGTGACCCGAACCCGTGCCAGTAGTTTCATCCCCAGCAACAACCAGCAAAAGCGGATGTGAGTTCCCAAAACCCTCATGATCACCAGATCTCGCTGGCAATGGCTGCATCTGTAAGAATGAAACTGGGCCACCACGTTTAGAGACCAGTTCATTAAAATTAGAGGCATCCTCAACATCAAAGACTTGAAAGCCATTCTGATAACCAAGTAAGAGAACATGTCTGATGACATGTTGACCCAGTTCAAGAATGCCAAAGCCAGCCCATGTCACCTGCTCACGAAAACAAACTTCAGATATACAAAATTTTTGACGCAAACAACGGAAGAAAGTGCCTAAAAAACCACTAAAAGCACAATGACGAACCTAGGCTCATTATTCTAAGAACCCCAAACTACAATCACTCTTAGATTTTATGAAAGTACCAAAGACATTGACCATGAAGCCAACATTTATATGGCAATAAAATACATGTATCTACTTATATAATCAGCAATTGAAAATATTGCAAGCCCCATTTCACCGCGCTTCAACAGGGAAAAGGAACTAGAAAAGAGGCACTTGCAAATTTTGTGAATATGCCTTTGAAGACAGAGCAGTAAAAGCTAGGATATGCGACGAAATAACCCACCAACCACCACCTTCACTAATGGTTCCAAACAGGAAAGAACGCCAAATAGGTACTAGCTTTTAAACAATATAACAAAATAGCAAAAACCTGCGCACAACAAGAGCAAGCATCGAATAATAACCAAAAAAATCAAAATCAAGGGACCTGATCTTTATCATCTTCTGCAGCGGATATTGAAGCGGCGACGGATGCTCCGGCGGAACGAACCGACGACGCAACGTTGGTGGCGTTGGCCGAAACAGTTTTAAGGCAAGACGATATAATCTTAAAGGAATTCGGTAACAAGCCACTATTCTTCCCTTTCCCTTTCTTCATCATCTTCTAAACAACAACCTAAGAGAGAATAACCACGAGGAGCAGCAAACTCAAAACCAAGCAACACCAAAGAAAAAGTAGAAAAAACCGAACATCGCTTCCTTTGTTTTCTCGATCATCCACCGCCACCGTCATCACCGTCTGCCTCACCGGCAACCAAAACCTCCGAATCAACCACGGAGCATCTCCGCCGATAACCACCGACGAACAGAAATAACATCCGACGATTGAATCCGATCGATCTCTCTATCGATGAAAAAGCTCTTGTGTAGTGTTTGACTTCAATCGGAAGCTAATAGTATGAACAGAAACAGTTCTCTCTCTCTCTCTCTCTCTCCCTCTCCAAAAATTTGTCTTCTCGTCTACTTCTCTATTACCCGTTCGCCTTTTTTTCGTTTTCTCGACCGAGATAGCGATTTTCACCAGGACATTTTTTCCGCCATTTTTTTTACAGACTTTGCGTTTTTATTTAATTTAAATATATATGGATAATCATGGGTCTCTTTATTCAATTATTCTTACATATACGGCCCGGCTTCCAATTTTTTTTTGTTTTCAATTTAATAATTATTTTTTTGCTTTGAATATTGATTAATTTCACCTTACACGAAAGAATTTGTAGAGTCTATCGCCACCAAATATAAAAAATAAGTTACAATCTAATCTATACCGTAAAGGTCAAATCTGGGTTACCTATTCCCAAATTATACTCTTCCTTGTTGCTCACCACATAAAGCAAATTTCAATACGATATACAAAGCTCACGTCAATTTTTTTTTTGGTAAAGAGCTCACGTCAATTTATTCTGCTGTTAATGATTAAATAGAGATATGTATGAGAATTCAGATTTATCCAAAACAACGATTTTATTCTTTTATCAAGACTAATACTAATATATATATATAGCATCTAGCAATTTTGCAAGAACAACACTTCATTTATCTTTTTTATTAAAACGCCATTCTTTAAATCTTTTAATTTAGTTCTGAACATATTTTTTAACCACAAATGTGATCCCTAGAATATAATCAAAGAACATGCTAGAATATACCAATTTCCCCCCAAAATATCACAAAGAATTTTTCTCTCATAATATTAATATATATATATATATTTTTTTTTTTTTGGGACTCAAGCCTCTTAGCGATTTTGGATATTTTAATAACAAAATTATTTTTGGTATTTCCTTGGAACTTTTTGTTTTTGTCATAACAGAGAAACAGGGATTATTATAGAAAAAAAAACGAAGAGCCAGAGTTACCAAGAGGTAAACCATGCGTATTCAAATTGGCTTAGTATTTAAAATCATTCACCTTTCAAAGTAGAAAAGCAAAAGCCAAAGCTGGTTTCTAACCAAACCTGGGTTATTCAGAGAGAGAGAGAGATAGTGTTCTATAAGGTTTAACTGGGAAAAAAAAAGCTTTTACCCGATGCGAGCGAAACGAGCTTGAATCCTCCTCTGGATCGTCCCACGACAAGACGGGCAATCCATCATTCCTTCTTTCTCATGAAGCTGATTGCAATTAAAACAAAGAACTTGGTGAGCACAAGGCAAGAAGATCACACTCATCTCTTCAGACAAACACATCACACATTCTCTTTCTCTCTTGACTTTGGTCATTCCAAGATTCTCTCTTTTCGTTGCCTTTGAGTCATTGCCACCTTTCTTCAGCGCCACTATTCTCGAGTAGTCTGATTTCAGTTTCAGCTCTGAGATATCTCTCTCAAGTCTTTTGATGTTTTCTATGTAGTATTTCACGTCTGCTTCTGCTTTCGCTTTGATCCGCTCTTCTTCTGCCTTTCCAAGTGCTTCAAGTTCCTTTCTTTCTTTCTTTATTGCAGAAGCCCGAGCAGTGAGCTTCCCTTTGGCTGTCTTTTCTTGCTTCAAAGTAGCCTGCAGTGAAAATTTCGTTAGTTACCTTCATTAACTCTTGCAACTGAAATCAATTGCAATCAACAACTGAGTATGATTCTATCACTAAAGCCACATTGAACCAGAAAGAATGCGGTAGAAAAAAGCATACAGACTAAAAACAATTGATGCAAACATTTTTTTTTCTCCCTTCAATCTCTCTCGCAGTCCTTAGACATAGCAATGTAAAAGGCGATATATATGTAGCCAAAAGAATGATAACGTGACCTGAAATAACTACGTGAAGGAAGGGGTATAACTTTTCAGATGAGAAATATAATTAATTGCAGATCCAACGATGACATCTTAAAGATGAGAAGACCTAACGTGTGCAAAGGCTTATGTCTACCAAAAAAGTAGCAAACCTCAATTTGATTCTGGCGATTTTTTGCTTTCGTAACTTCTTTTTGCAGCACTGTCACCTTGTCTCTTTGACTCTTGAGCTCTTCCAGCAACAGAATCTTTTGCCCTTCCCACAACTGAGTATCCTTCAATGATCTTTGCCCTCTCTCTTTTGCTTCTCTACAACTCTCAGCAGACTCAGCAGCTCTTATCTTAGCAGCTTCCCACTCTTTCTTCAGTAAAGATTGTTCTGCCTCGAGCCTGCGAGCAGTATTGTTAGCTTTTTCAAACAGGCTGGTCTTATCTTTCACCTTGAAATCCATCTCAGACAGCCTCTTCATAGTGCTTTCTTCCAATAATTGCTTATCTTTTTTATGCTGTTGTGCCTCTTCTCGCTCTTTCCTTAGTGCCTTAAGCTCTGGCTGATCCTTCAGTAGTCTACAAGTTGCTTCTTTTACTTTCTGATTAGCCCAGTCCGTCCATACCTGCAGTTCATTCTGTAGGTCATTCACTCGAGGAGCTAGCTTTAGAATCAGTTCATCCTTTTTATCCCGGGGAACGTATATACCCAGAGATGCATCATATGGGATCCCAGCGTAGTAATCTGGTGCTAGCTTTTCAGACACAGAAGCCTTTTCTTCAGACTCAGAAGCAGACTTTTTCTCTGAAGCTATTGGTACAGAAGAAGCAGACTTCTTTTCTGAAGCTATTGGTACAGAAGAAGCAGACTTCTTTTCTGAAGCTGAAGGTACCAGAGTTGCACTACCAGACTTTTTTTTTGAGGCAGAAGTGGCGGGTAAGGCAGTTATATACCCCTTTGCATCTACCACGACCACAGGTGAATCTAACTTACTACTCTTCTTACGTACGAAACAGCTGCTTTCCTCTAATGAAACTTTCACCCCAATTTCTGCTGTTATCTTTGATGAACAGTTTCTTGCCCCCAATTCAGAAGATGATTTGACTCTTTTCTCTAGAAGGAAACTGCCGACTGATGCAAACTTTGCCGCCTTGTAGCCACTGCCTTTGCTGTAAGTCCTAATCTTCTCCACACAGGATTTCTGACGAAGCATGGCTATTTCCTTTTTAGTGCGGAGTTTTCGACAAGATACTAATTTTTCATCCGAGACTAGAGTAAACGATGTACTTTTAATGCCTGCACCAGAGACAGTGCTACCTGAAGATACTTCTTTTCCTGAAGTTGTTCCACAAGAATGAGTATTTTTGGAGTTACCTACATTTGGGAAGTTTCCAAATTTGAGTGGCTCACTCCGGTTGCTTTGAACATTGGTTTGCGGAGGCTTGGGGTTATCTGGGTCACACGAGTTTGGAGGATTACATTCAGCACCAAGAGATTCAGATGCTTTACTCGAACTGAAACCTGGAGATTCAGATGATTCAACTTCAAATGCTTGCAAGACATTCAAGTCGCACATCAAAAGCCGCCACATTGCTTCAACTGTTGATAGGGACGGTCTAACCTCCTTAACAAGACTAATCATTTCTACCAATGTATACGAGACAAGCTGTTGTAAATCCTCAAAAACATAGTCTCTTGAAGCAGCACTTTCGTTTCCATTCTTGAGAATACTCAAGGTGTTATTGACAATGTTCGACACAAGATCATTGCCTCCACAGTAGAGCCTACTGCCAGAAATAGCTTTCAGAACATCATCATCGGTATAGCCACAATCAATAACTTGCTTCATTGCATTAAGGAAGAGCGTGAGCAAATTTGATGACAACAATTCTTCAAGATGACAGGCAAATGGGTCATCCCATTCTACAGATTCAGGCTCTTCAACATTCTCAGTCGACACATTGCCATTCAAATTATCTTGCGTTTTCAACGAAGGTAACTCATATCGAGGGAATTCAGTCAGAGAAGCAGCAATATGTTGAGAAGGATCAGCTAACTTTCTCTTGTTTTTCCTTCCTTTTCCCTGGGGTGACACTGTAAATTCTCCTACAACACCGTTGAGACCACAGCCATTCATTTCTTCTTGCTTTTGAACCATACTTCCTCACCTTTTCATCCATTACACGTGAATGATTTAAGTTAAACACACAGAAAAGCGTATATCATAGATGCTATATTGTTCATACGAAAAACCCATTAGAGTAACAGAGATGTTAGACCAACATCATATTTCGTATAGAAAAATAAACAAACTATTAGTATTCATCTTCTAGTAGAGTAACTTTCAGAAACATCATCCAATCGCCCAACTAATGAAATCCACGAAACACGTCAAAAGAAGCAAATTTTCTAGTAAACGAATAGAGAATCCTCAAATCTAAAGCGTACTACATTCTGATTGAGTGCGTAATCGTAATGCAATCTACAACCAGAATCGAATCGAAAAAAACAAATAAAAAATCCCACGATCATTCCATCAAAAACAATCACGAGCACACCAAAACGGAATAAAAAAAAAGGCGTAAACCGACCTTCAACGAAGACGATATCGGCTAACGGAGAACGGCGCCGGAAAATGACCCCTCGGAGAGAAAATCGGTAGCGAAACGAAGAGGGGAAGCGAGAAAAAGAGAGAGGGATCGACGAAGAATATTTGAGTGTGGCGAGAGCGAGAGACTGAAAGCGAACAAGAGAGACGAAGGAAATGGCCGTAAACTCTTTTCTTTTGGGGACTAACACAAGGTTTGGTTTTACTTTGGCTTCACCGTGGGTATTTTAGTCATTTAACAAATTTTATTCTCCGACTCCCAAAAGCGGAAGCTTTATTGTTTTGTTTCTGCATCTGTCAAAATGATTGCAAAACGAATTTTGGCTGCAAATTCAATACATACAAATCGATCAAACGCAAGAAGAAAGCTGTCTCCGAAAACAAACACAACTAGATTTCACAAGCATCATCCATCATCTTATATTTTCAAAATCAGATTTGCTTTATAGAAATTGGGTCGAAACAAGCCCACATGATCTAACACACGTTACAGTCTCTATTGAATCGGCAACAAAAAGTCTCAAGCTTTGATGGCAGTTCCATGAGGGATTTCACTTTTTCCTTTTCGCACGTCTTCTTTCAGCTTCATTCTCCGCGACCACAACGTGAAACTCAGATCCAAGCATGTCATGTATGTCGATGTTCTTCGAGTTGCTGAGGTTAACGGTCTCAACGATTACTTCTACAGTCACGGTGAATCCTAGATTAGACAAGACCCGAATCGCATTCCCGATTCTGCATATGCTTTGTCGAGTCTCGGGCGGGATATGGCTTTGCTCTTTTCCTGTGTTCTTGGTGGAGGATGAGATCATCTCATCGTCCTTTTGATCATCAATCACCATAGGATCTCTAACTTCAACGTGTTCCCCAACCCATATGAAGCCATTGCAGCCAATAATCAAATCGATCCCAAGACTTTCTATGTAGTGAAAGTGATGCTTGCTTCTCTTAACCAAGTAAGGATCGACCTTCAGAAGCTGCCCCTTCTCGAGCTGTAGAGATTCATGGATCAGTCAATGTTTAGAGGAATAGCCTACCAAAAGGTATAACTTTGAGTATGTGACCAGATCAGAACCAACCTTTCCATACTTTTGACTTCTTGCTTGTAACTGTAAGCTGCCATCATGCTGTAAGTTGCGTACTTCAGCCTAAAAATTTATACAGATCAAAAAGAGTGAATTCTTTGTCAGCCTGAATTTGTGTTCAAAGGCGAGTTCATGTAAAACTGGAACATTTATTAATCATACGACTTACACAAACAACATCATCTTCTACAAAGATATTCCGCATATTGAGTTCATCTACAGACGTTCTCCGCCTCTGGCAACACCGAGAAACTTATATCAATAAAGCCATTCATACAACGAGGAAGCCAGCAATCATCCAAACGGCAAATACCAAAAAAAGAGGGGATTAAATTGTAACCTGGATACCATCGGGTAGCGTCATTGAAGAAAGCATAAGTACACCATCTTGAGTAAAGTTAAGCTCCACTCTCCAACCTTTTTGAGAAACCTGAATAAGTACAGATTCTTTAAGCAATTGTGCAATGTGATTAAAATCCTTCTTGTTAACCTCTCAATACGATTACAAAACCCAAATAACCAACACAGAAATCTACCTCAATGACACGGCCTACCACAATATCCCCAACCTCAGGCTTGTACCTAAACGTAGAAAGTTGAAACCATCAGTTATACTTATTTATCTCACAATAGACAGTTAGTTTCATTCACAATTCCTAACGGGAAGTAAACAAATTCGAAGAGCAATTAGAGAGGAAAATCAAACCACCTGGCTCGTAAGGTGCGTACATAGACAAGCTTATCCACGCGCTCCACCACTCCACATACCGTCGCGAGCAACTCACCGTCGACCTCAGAAGTTCCGTGTCCCCTTTATTGAAAAACAAAACGGGGAAAAAAAGCTGCAATGAATTTCAACCCAGAAAAAGGTGATGCTGAGATATCGAGAGAGCGCGAAGGAGAAGGAATTACTTGAGGAAGGCATCTTCGTGGTTCACGGGGATGGAGTCGGTGACGATAACAGAGGCGTCAGAGTTCGCCGTCGATGACAGTGATTGTAGCCGCTCAATGGCTCTCTCAAACCTGACCTTCTGAGTCTGGCTCAACGGTAGCTGTAGCTTTCTCATCACCATTAGAGACACTCTCTTTTCTACCTCCTCAAGCTCAGCAACACAATAATGGCGATTGAAAATCAAGGTTTGGAAGAGGAGAACAAAACCTCGGACGTTTGTCCCTTGAATGAATTCTAGGGTTTTGGGTTTTTGCTGGACAGGTCCACCTTGTGGCCCATTTATGAGCTAATTGGTTTAGGCCTTTTCAGGTTGCTCTTTCTTTTTTTTCTTTTTTATACCGGAGTACAAAATTATTTAAATTTACATTTTAATGCTCAATTGTTTGTTTTGAGTTGTTTTTTGGAACACTATAGATCATGAAATTGACGTCTCTCCTTCTTCAAGTCTTGTGATCTTCCTATTTCTGACGCCAATTCCCATCGTTCACACTCCAAATTCGTTCCTCCACCGATCAAATCCCTAGTTTATGTAACATCAATCGGTAAGATCTGAGCGTTCCGCTATGAATTTCTTCAAATCCGTCTTCTCAGATGACCCAGATCCTCCAGGAACCGAATCGGAGTCCGATTCACCAAAACACAGCGAACAGCACGAAAACCCAGAGCAGTCTAACCCTAACGACGAAGACGGCGGATGGAGCTTCGGTGGTCTGATGAAAACCATAGCCACCAGATCCGAATCCGTAATTGAAACCTACCGACGAGATCTCGAAGAATTCGGGACAGGTTTGAAGAAGGAGATCGAAGTGGCGCAGGGATCGCTTGGTACCGTGGGACATGCCATTGATGAACTTGGGAACACGGTGCTGAAGGGTACGGCTGAGATCATCGCTCAGGGTAAGGAAGCGATATTAGCCGCTGGTAACGAATCTGATTCTTCTGATAACAATAGCAGTAACAGTTTTGGTCGTCGTGATAGCTTTAGCTCGAAACCCTATAGCCGTTTCGATGCTCAGGTTCGCGTTGTTCAAGGCGATCTCAACACTTACTGTGAAGAGCCTGAGGATTCAGATGATTATAAAAAGTGGGAATCTGGGTTTTCCCTGGGCGAAAAAGCTGAGGAGATGGAGAAATTGCTGGAGGAAAATGGGGATATGAAAGGAGTGTATAAAAGGGTTGTCCCGAGTATGGTTGATCATGAGACCTTCTGGTTTAGGTATTTCTACAAGGTTCACAAGCTCAAGCAAGCTGAAGACCTGAGGGCTAATCTTGTGAAGCGAGCCATCTCTCTGGATGATGAGGAAGAACTGAGCTGGGATATTGATGATGAAGAGGAGAGCAGCGAGAAAGCTACTGAAGCTACCAAAGAAGTTTCAAGATTGAAACTTGAGGGGAATGATGACACGGGTAGTGGAGATGTGAGCGAAACTGTGAAAGATTCAGTGATAAATGCAGATCCGGTGACTGAAAAGAGCGTGAAAGATGAAGTGAAAAGTGCAGATTCAGTGACTGAAGTGAGCAATGTTGGTTTGAAGATAGATACAGATTCGGAGAAGAAGAAGGAAACTGGTAATGAGGACGTTCCAGAATCAAAAACAGTAATTGATACTTCTGATGAGGCTCCAGTTCAAGATTCGGGCAAACGCGAGGCTGTTCCAGAATCTGATGAGACTGCTCAATCTCAGAACTCAGCTAAACCAGATGGTGTTGCTTCTTCATCAACTCAACAACCATCGGAAGAAGATTTGGGATGGGACGAGATTGAGGATATGAGTAGCATCGATGGTAAGGAAACGAGTCGCTCTGGTGGTAGTCCAAACAGAGCTGAGCTGCGTAAACGTCTAAGTGCTGCAGAGGAAGATGAAGACTTAAGTTGGGACATTGAAGATGACGACGATACTTCTTCCAAAGCTTAATGTAGTTTTATAGTGGTGTGCTTCTTTCTCTTACTTGTACTTGTTTTTTGTAAGTTTCTGGCAATTTGCCTCCATTCTTCAGTTGTTTTCTCTTGAACGTTTTATATAATTTGATTTGAAAATATGCTATACATTTGATTTGATGTCTCAAAATTAGGTCAATATATAATAGCTCCAAATCAATCGAAACTAGGTCTTTAGCCCGCTCTTTAGCCCGCGATTTGTGCAGACCGAAAGGTTTTAAAATCAAAAAATAAAGTTTTATGCTATAAATTAAAAAGATTAAAACAATTATTTAAGACATAAATATTCAAAATAAAATTAACTAAAAAAAGTAAACACAACCTAAAATTAATTACTTAAAAAAATACTGAATAATCCACAAACTAATTCAATTAAGATATATATTCTAGCTTTTCGTTTCCTATTTTTTCTTCTTCATTATTTTTTTATTTTTTTTCTTTATCGGTTTTTTATTCTTCTTCCGTCCATATTTTTTTTCCCATGTCTTATTCTTTATTTTTTTCTCCCTCCAATATTTCTTATTCAAATTTATTATTCGCATCTTTTTTTATTATTCAGCACCTTCGTTTTCTTCGTCTTCTTCTTCTTTGTTTTTACGATTTATTCTTCTTCTCCTTCTGATATTTTTTTTTTATATTACATACTCTTCATACTTTTTATGACTCTATATCTTTTGAGGCTGAGAAAAAAGATAAATACACACTTCAAACTTAAAACTCTCCTTAAAAGTGTGTTATATTATTGTTAGATGAGAAAGCTGCATTAACTTTTGTAGTTTGCTCATTTTTGAACAATCAAAATTGTTTATGGGTAATCAACTTTAAAAAAGAGCTTAAACATATATACCAAAAAAGAAATTCTCAAAATTTCTTAATTACGCTAATAATTTAACAAAAATATCAAAAATTAAAGCAAATATCAAAATAAGAATTTAAGTAAAATGGAGTCTCCACAAAAGGGTTGTGACAATTTCATGGTCCCAAGATTTGCAGATTTTTATATGTTATTTATCTTCAATTTCTTCCTCATTGTTGTGTTAGAATATTTATTTGTTACTCTATTAAATAATTTTTAAAAATGAAGAAAAGACAAAATTAGATGGAATTGAATCCTTCCAACATACAAACTTAAGAAAACCTAGAGTATTAGCTACTTAAACATAAATTTTACATCTTTTGTGAAACTTAAGCAAGAAAAGCTTTACTCTGATCCAAAAACAACATTTTATAATTAACAGTTCAAGCTCAACTGGAAACACAAGAGATGAAAACACTCCACACGGAAAAGATTTCAGTTGGAGAAACGTGCAAAAAATCAAAGTACAAATAGTTACCTTCTTTTTTTTCTTTTTTCACCTGTCTTTGCCCATAAATAAAATAAAAAAACCAGAAACCAATATCAAAAATATATCCCAACATTGGACATAAGAGACAAAAACACACAAAACTCATTCAAATAAAGTGATGTTCGAATAAAAAATAGTAATTTTGTTCATGTATCATCATTATTATCAATAGAACTAACTTTGAGAGTAAAAAAATGCCAAGTGGACTAACATTTGTGCTGGAACTAAACTCCTTGTTAGCTTGTTTTCTTTTGTTCTCGGCAGCGGCGGGTGGGGTCTTGGATAAAACACGGACCACCATGTTCTGCACCTCGTTCACCAAAGCTTCTTTTGAACGGTTATAAATTTAGGATTCATCAGATCAAGTAATAATCCACAATCAGATGATTAAACCTGTGTTTTTGTACGTGTTCTTTAAAGTTCCATGTACCTTCCCAAAAGTTCAATCAGCTTGGCAACCTTCACAAGAACCAGGTGAACTCATATTTTATTGCCATAAGGGATTTCAACACCGTATGTCCTATAAACCATTCTGAATCGTCACCAAGAGCCTACACCACAAAACAGAATACATGATATTTTTGTAATAATTTTTTAAAACATATAAAACGCTCATAACTGATTCCGAGAACTGGTTAGGTTCATGAATCTCGATCTTCATCACCAGTAAATGAAATCTGTTGCATCGCGAGATGAAACAATAAAACGCGAGCACCTAAAAAAAAAAACAAAAGCAATCAAAACTTAAAACAGATAAGAATCAATAAACAAAAGGAAGGCTCGACTCAGCCCCAACTAATAAAAGAGAAAAAAAAGTTCATCAAAACTGGCTAATATATAAAACATAAATATGATAGATAATAAAAAAAAATCACAAATCTAAACCTAAAGCACAAAAAAATAAAATAAAATGTTACCCTTCGGTATAGCAGTAAAACTAAACAATCAACGATAAAGAAATTCCGGCTAAAACACCACTTCCTAAACAGGAAAAAACATCAAACGCTATTATTAATAAGAAGAATTTATAAAAAAAAAAATAGAATCCAACTTCTAATATAAATCAGAACGAAATATATTTCTAAAACTTACAAAAGGGAAGACACAAGGTATCACCTAACATATATAAAAAAATGTAGATCTACATGAGCTAACGGAAACGAATATAAAGCAAAAATAACAACCGAATAGAAAATTAAACAGTAGAAAAACTATTTTTTTAAAAAGTCACAAGATCACTAATGTAAAACACACGAAATATATAGCTTACATGATCACCAAACATTACAACCGTGCAAGTGAAGAAAAAAAATTGGTTGAAAAATCTTTAAAATTTATGCAAATCAGATAATTTGTTTATATATTTTTTATTAAAAAACAATATCTAAGTATTTTATCAAGACTTACGTAAAGATTAATGGAGTAACATAACTATATGATGATTTTCAATTTTTAATGTTTTTTTCTAATTCATATAAATATTATTTTTTCAAAAAAAAATAATATCTAAGTATCTATTAAGTAAAATTTACTTAAAAAATTATGGAGTAACATAATTATATATGATGATTTTCGATTTTTAATATTTTTTTTTATAAAATTTAATTTAAATAAATTTTGGGAGGGGTAAAAGGTAATTAACCACCCTAAGATTGAATGAGAGAGCTTAAAACTAAATTTTTACTTTGCATTTACTATATATGATGATTGGATGTATAATCGACCGAGTCTAGTTACCAGGGTTGCTCTAAATAAAGTCTCAGCATTCTTAATCGGCTCTTTGTCAACTGCATTACCCAAACTGATGATACAAGTTTTGAACTTTTGGGAAGAGGATGGTACAAACAAGCAGTATTTAATATCCATCACCACTCTAAGCTAGCGTTTTTTCAAATGATCATCTTCTTTTGTGTGCGTTAGAATTACACGATTTTGTTATTAAACGAATATAATTGAACATTAACAACCCTAGGCGGATCGAGACGGTTTTACGTGGTGGCCATCATTTACTTCGGCAAATATTGAGATTGAAATTTGATTTTTGATTTGTCTACAAAAGCATTTTATTCAATGTCTAAGATTCTTCTGATTACAACTGTCACGCTGCGAATTCGGAGATTTGAACGCTGAATTGTTGTTTCCTAATGAAACGAGACTCGTTCGCACCTGAGGGAGGAGGCGACAACCGAGGCCCATTACTCAGATTATGGGCTTACGGGTCGGGTAAAAAAGATTCCGGGTCGACTGAAGAGAAGCCCTCGGGTGAGTAAACCCTCTCTTAAACCCCGATCACCATTTCAAGGCGAGACGCTAAAGTTTGCGTCTTTTTTCTCTGTCTGTGACTCAGTTGCGTCTAAAGTTTGCGACCAATTCAACTCCAAATGGCTTCCGTGGCTCTTCGAAACCATAGCTCGAAACGGCTTCTTCCCTTTTCTTCTCAGATCTTTCTACGATGCGGAGGTTCCATTCCTTCTTCTTACTCGATCTCACATTTCGACGGAGGAGATGATCGCTGCTCCCCAAGTTACGCGACCGCGTGGTGGAGATCGATGGCGACTTTCAACCGAACGTGAGTTTATCATCTCTCTATCTTCCTTCTTCTGAGTTATTGCAATTTTTTTGTTTGTTTGGAATTAATTCTCTGTTTTTTCTATTTCTGATTGGTTCAAATGTTTCCTTGGCAGAAAACCTCATGTAAATGTTGGAACAATTGGACACGTTGATCATGGGAAGACCACTTTAACTGCTGCGATCACAAAGGTGTCTTTTTTTTAGCTCCGGTTACTTTCAAATTAACTGCAAAAGCATGACGAATCATCGAATTAAAAACAGCATTTTGATTTGTTATTGTAGGTGTTGGCTGAGGAAGGTCAAGCGAAGGCTGTTGCGTTTGATGAAATTGATAAAGCTCCTGAAGAGAAGAAGAGAGGAATTACAATTGCAACGGTCTGCAGTTCTTTTTGTTGTCTTCTTATAGTTTTTTTCTTTTTAATTGCCATAGGATAAAAAAAAAAAAAGTGGTTTTTACCGGACTGTAGTTGGTTCTGTAGGCTCATGTGGAGTACGAGACTGCTAAGCGTCATTATGCTCATGTGGACTGCCCTGGGCACGCAGATTATGTTAAGGTAAGATAATATCATTCTTTATCCATGCCGTAATGAGATTGCAGATACTACTGTACTAGTCTCTTTCGATATATTTCCACTCGATGTATAATCTAGTATACATGAATTGATTAGTGGAATGACATGTATCAGTAAAAAACATTGATAAACACTCGAGTCTCATAGCTTGAGTTGCTAATTTTCAGAATATGATTACTGGGGCGGCACAAATGGATGGCGGAATTCTCGTGGTTTCAGCACCAGATGGACCTATGCCTCAAACTAAGGAGCACATTCTGCTTGCACGTCAGGTTCGCGCTATCACAATCTGATTGCACAGCTGAAGATAGTTAAGATTTGCTTAAGATTTTGATGTTCCATAGGTCGGTGTTCCATCACTTGTGTGCTTCCTGAATAAAGTTGACGCTGTTGATGATGAAGAGTTATTAGAGCTTGTAGAGATGGAGCTACGTGGTATGTATAAATCTCTTAATGTCATGGAAATTACAAACTTTTCAGGATGTACAAGCTTTCTGACGTGAGCCATTTTGTTTTCCAGAACTTCTCAGCTTCTACAAGTTTCCTGGGGATGAGATTCCCATCGTCCGGGGATCTGCTCTGTCTGCATTGCAGGGTACAAACGATGAAATTGGACGGAAAGCCATATTGAAGCTAATGGAAGCTGTAGATGAATATATACCTGATCCTGTTCGCGTTCTTGATAAAGCTTTCCTGATGCCAGTTGAAGATGTTTTCTCGATTCAGGTATATTATTATTCTAGACTCATGTTGATTCTTTTTTCATTCACCCAAATGTTCATGAGGGAGATTTTCTATTTCTTGAAAGGGACGTGGAACTGTTGCAACCGGCCGTATTGAACAGGGAACTATCAAAATAGGTGAAGAAGTGGAAATATTGGGGCTAACTTCGGTTAGTTAGTACTGGCTGCAATTTCACATAAGTATTGGTCTTGTAACTTTTCTCAGGCCTAACTACCAAATTTGATTCCCAGGGACCTCCTCTGAAATCCACAGTAACTGGCGTTGAGATGTTCAAGAAAATTTTAGATAATGGACAGGTGAAAGACTTTCTCTTAGGAGAGATTTTTTTTTCTCAGAACTTTATAGGCAAGCGATATTGATAAAACCTTTTGGGTTTTCAAAATATGTTAGGCTGGTGATAATGTAGGACTTTTGTTGCGTGGACTAAAGAGAGAAGACATCCAGCGAGGAATGGTAAGCTCAGGATCCTTGTGATATAGGAGAGTGAGAAAGACCAATATTGCAAAAGTAATTAACTTTGTGTTGTTTATAGGTTATTGCCAAGCCAGGTTCTTGCAAGACCGCAAAGAAGTTTGAGGCGGAGATTTACGTGCTCACAAAAGACGAAGGTGGACGTCATACCGCTTTTTTCTCTAACTACAGGCCTCAGTTTTATCTGAGGACCGCCGATGTCACGGGAAAAGTAGAATTGCCTGAAAATGTGAAGATGGTTATGCCCGGTGACAATGTCACTGCAGTTTTCGAGCTAATCCTTCCTATCCCACTTGAGCCAGGTTAGATTCTCTCGCCTTTCAATATTACGTTCGAGTATCTTCAGCGGTTCTTGAGTGAATTCAAGTTGTTGCTTCTATATTGTGATTTTTAACAGGTCAAAGATTTGCTCTAAGGGAAGGAGGTAGAACAGTTGGAGCCGGTGTGGTATCAAAAGTTATGAGCTAAGTTAGGTTCCATGTTCTTCAAGAAAACACATCATTGTCCGTCTGTTCTCGAGTAACTTAAGATTCATCTCTCATGAAATTGCACTTTGAGATTCAAGTTAATATCAAATAACAGAGAGATTCGTGTTTAGTTCCTAGTGAAGGAATAGAAAAAGAAAAAAAAATCCAATGTGATTATTTTCACAGTTCTTTCTCTCACAAAAATAACAAAAATCCCCTTTTCTAACATCCTAACATTAATAACTGAACCTTTAAGCCCTCAATGGAGTTAAAAATTGACTCCAAATCATCAGGATTTTAAGATTCAACCAAACCTAAGTGCGACCATGGCGATAGCTGTTGCAGCTCCGAAGTAAACATCCTTGATTCTTCTCTCAACTGTATTTGTCGTTTCTTCGTCTTTGATTGCTTTCCTCTTGACGTTGACAATGGCTTCTCTGAGCCTACTAACCGCCCATGAGAGCAATACCAAACTCAAACTCAGTGCACTGTCAAAGACCTTGTTTGCGCAAAAGGGTACTCGCCTAGAAGCAACACTAGAAACCACAGAGAAGAAGACAGCGATGCCAGTTCCAGCAATAACGATTGAAAACTGAGTCAAAAGCTCTGAGAGGTCTCCACATGATTTCTTTAGAGACAGCAATGTGGATTGTCTATGTTGTTCACTTCCTATCATCAACGAGATAAGGCTCTCACATGCATGAAGATGGTTTCGTTTGTAGAGATCTTTCTCTCTGTCTCTTATCTTCGGATTCTGTTTCTTTGGTGGAGGCTTGAACCTAGTTTTCTCCGGACTGTTGTTAAAATTAAAAAAAAAAACGTTCTTTAAGAAACAGGAAAAGATCAAAAGTAGCAAAAGCTAGTAGATGATATTAGATACCTCTTTAGAGGAACTAGTGTAACTGCATCAAGATTAACCTCGTTTAGCTGCACAGTGTCTATTAGTACCTCACTGTCGAATCTGTTAAATGAGAGAAAGAGCAGAACCTTAATCTCAACCCCAAAATACGAGATTTGTAGGATTATGGATTTTAGTTGCAATGGAAGAATTGATTTACCTCTGAAACTGCGGGACAAGACGTGAGAGCTTTCTCCATCTCGCAGACTTCTTTAACATATGAAACTCGGCTGCAATAGAGACCACATTATCATTCAACTCAGCTCTACTACTTGAGAAGAGGATTTGAGCATCAGAATTGATGGAGGATTCTGGATTATGCATCATGAGATCCAAAAGCGGCTTCACGGGTTCTTGATTCAAGTAAACAAGGGAGGAGCTGGATCTCGAAGCATGGAAATCCATCAAGTCAGATAACAGAGACATATCAAATCCTCTGTCTCTGAGTTCGTCTGCTCTAGACAAAAGCAACTCAATCACCTCCTCTTGTCCGGTCTCTGTAAACCACAAATCATATCAATCGAGAAAACCATTAAAAATTTGGTAAGGATTAGTAGCAAACCGACACCACACACACATACCATGAACATCTAAGACTCTAGGCTTCATCATGGTAGAGTCAAACTCCACAAAGTGATTAGACTTTCTCAAAGAACAAAAAGGCTTCCATGGCTCCAAGTGTTCTAGCTTCAGATTATAGTTGTTTTCTCGTCTTATCTCAGGTTTTCTTCCCCCAGGATTCACCAGATAAGCCCGGTTCCTCTGAATCATTAAAAATAAATAAAACAGAAGGGAAAACATATTGAAACGAGAAAATTCAAACGATTTATAAAACAGAGACAGTAGAAGAAGAAGAAAAAAAAGTCACCTTGGTGATTTCGTTGCTTCTTAGCTCTTGAAGAAGACTGAAATCAAGCGCTGAATAGCTACGAGAAGCCATTAAGCAAAGTTTGATAATCCTACCTGAGAAAAAACCTTTTTTTCCTTTTTTTTGGTCACGAATCCATTAAGAAGCTTATCGTCAGCAATCACAACTATATATATATGCGTCAGATATTATTAGGTGATTTCTGCAAATCTTTGTTTTCGGCTTTACCTGATTAGGAAAAGACCTTGAGTTTTAAAATATTTTACTTTTTGAGGCCTATATTATTTTAAATGGCAATAGTAACCCCAAACTTTTAAATAATTACATAAATTTGCTTTTGTTTCGTGTATTGATAGTTAACCCAAAGATCATTAGGGTACTCTTCTCCAGAGAAGTAAAGTCTCAACTCTCGCAGACTCTGCCTTCAGATTTCACTTTGTTGAGTTGCGAGCAGAGGAAGGAATCCGCAGAGGAAAAAAATGGTACAAACTGTATGCTTTATTCGTGTTTTTCGAAATTGAATGTTGGGACTTGTTTTGTTTTGACCTATCGAAAGATGATTTCTTTCTTCTTTGTTTTATTCGTGGGAGTGTTCGGGGTTTTGATTTTCGCTGATAATTTTGGGTTTTTCGTGGATTTGTTTTTTATGTGGAGCAGCTGTTCTTCTCTTACTTCAAGGATTTGGTTGGACAAGAAGTGACGGTTGAGCTGAAGAACGATTTAGCGATAAGAGGGACTCTTCATTCAGTGGATCAGTATCTGAATATCAAGCTCGAGAACACTAGGGTTGTTGATCAAGACAAATACCCTCACATGGTAAATTCTTCTTCTTTATAATTGATTTCCTTAGTTTGGGGATTTAGGGTTTATCGGCGGCGCACCATGAATTTGCCCTTGTGTTCTTTAGTGGTTTATCTAGTAGTAAAAGGTGTGATTTTGATTTCTGGTGTTACATAACCAGTTAGGCCTTGTCTCTCTATCTATTTGCTTACTACACTTCCTTGTTGACGAACTTGAAAGCTTAATGCTCAGCACTTGCATATGTGTTTAACCCATTAGGGGATGTATTCTCATCTCGTGCTTTTGCTATGACCAACTTTGAGGTGATTTTGATTCGATTTACAAACGCAAAGGGACAGTCTAAAGGGACAAATTTGTAACCATTTTGGTACTTATTGACATGTTTTATCGAGATTCATGTGTGTATACTGCATTTTGTGTAGCCATTGAGATTTTTCAAGTCACAGAAGTACAATGTCTTTGCAATTTGTTTGCGGAATGGTTTTTAGCTAAATTTTGGTATCTTTGGCACTCGATTTCCTATTCTTGTCACACTTAAAGACTGTATCCTCTATAAGAATTTTATTCCGCTGAATTTTAGCTTACGGTTTTGCTCTCCTGAATCTGAATTGTGTAGCTTTCGGTGAGAAACTGTTTCATCAGAGGATCAGTGGTAAGGTACGTGCAGTTACCTCCTGATGGAGTCGATGTTGATTTACTTCACGATGCCGCTAGAAGAGAAGCTAGAGGTGGATGATTGCGCCAAACAGTTGTATCTCCAAACATAAATCTGTTTGATTAACAAGACTTGATACTTTTTTTTTTTTTTTTCATTTTTCGTGTAATGGCTTGATCTGGTTCCATTATATTTTATGAAAAGATTATCTGTCCCGTTTTCTTTTAACTCTTTGATGAATTTTGTTTTTTCAAAGAAATGCCTTTATTCAGTCCTTACTATATAGTTTCTTCTCTCTAAGATAAAAAAGCAAGCAGAGAAAAACATAAGGACTCTTTAAGAAAGAACCTAATTACAGAAAAATGAGTAATTGTCTAAGTAGCTAGTGTAACGCGTCATAGGATTAGTATCCATGAACGGTCTGGTTTGCCAATTGGGAGGGAAAACAGGTGCAGCCATAGGCGGATATGGTGAAATGTGAGCACCGTTATACATTGTGGCTGGAGCCATAGATTGGTACGGCTGAAATGGACCACCACCACCACCACCGGATTGGAATGGCTGAAATGGACCACCACCATACGGTCGATAACAGCCTCTCGGGGGTACGGATATGCGCCACCGGTTTGAAGGATTAGGCCCACCATGGTACATCATCGACCTAGCGGTGTAACAAGGCGGTTTAACGCCATTATTATTCGGGCTTGACAAGTTTTTACCATGACCCTTCTCTTTCTTTGTACTTGTGTGTCGCCATGTAACGATGTTCTTCTCCTTCTTATCCTTCTGGTCTGAAGTTCCATGAGATTCTTTTTCCTCATTTGAATCTGTTTCCGGATTCTCGTTCTCTGGAAGTTTCTGTTTTTGTTCCACATCCTCTTCATCAGACTCCTCTGTTCATCAGAAGAAAGTCAGAAACTTTAGATTTGTGAAGCTCTCTAGTAAGCAAACATTTTGATGGGAACAGAAACACTTACCTTTGAGTTTCTTCGATTTCTTCATCTTCTTTGATTTAGCCTGACATTTTGAGCAGCAACCGTTGTTCATTTTTCAGATCACGTTTCTGCTCCTTTCAATGAAAAAACAAAAGAACACGAAACACGAATAATATTTTTGGGTTTTACTTATAGAATCGTTTATGTAATTGATCTAGATTACAAACCCTAAGCATCCGTATCTTATCTTATTTACACAAAATGAAGAAAAATAAATATTATATCTTTATACTCCTAAATCCTGTGGAAAATCTTCTTTCCATATATATGATGAAATAAGAAAACAAGGTTAATCTTTTGAATCCATAGAAGGCATGTTTCATGGACACCTCGTATCAGAACGAAGATTGATTTGAGGAGATCTTGTACATAAAGATTTTAGGCTTTAGTTACAAGAGAAAGTGTTGTTAATACACATCAGATATTGTGAAAGTCGTTGATTTGATTGAATATTCTTATTGGATATATGACAACACAGTAATAACATATACAAATATCATAACTTGAGTTCTAAGCAGTAGAATTGATTGTTTCAAAAAGGGTACAACTGTACGGCTTCATCTCATACACTACCAGTTGCTGAGTCTGTTCTACTGCTGCAACGGTCTCTCCCTCGACAGAGAAAAACCCCGGGAAAGGAAGAGCTGTGTCGACCAATCGCCTCCATTTGCTTCCATCGGGAAGTGTAGGTAAGATTACATTCTCAGGATGATCACCTGCATTGAATCCAATGAACAGATCATTGTTCTTCGGCTCGGTTGGCTCAACCAGTGACGCGGTCTCTTCTTCCTCTGACTCTGCTTTGATCCCCAATGCCAGGAATTTCGAACTAGGGTCTTCCCAACTCGGAGTTGTTTGGTCATTTGCATACCAAACAATGTTCTCAGGTTTCAAAAAGTTTCTCCTTTGAAACACATCGCTTCTCCTTTCTCTAACCGAAGTCATGAAAGAGATGAACTGCGTGATCTGTACACCGAAAGCTGAAGCCAACATTTTCCAGTCAAAGGGTTTCCGTGATTTTAACAAAGGCGAGCCCTTTGTAGAGATTCCACATTCATCTCCCATGTTAAGAACCGGGATTCCGAGTGAAATGTACTGTATAAACAAGAAGTTGCGGATCTGCTTTAGCCTTCTTTGAAGAACAGCTGATTTGTTTGTTGCTCCTTCTTCCCCGCAGTTCCAACTCAGCTCTGAAGCTAGCTCAGGGCCACTGAAACTGACTAAGTCAACAAGAGAGAGTCCTGAGTTTCTGGAAATGTAGTTGAAAGAGAAAGCCGGACCTCTTCCATCGGTAAATATGTCACCACTTCCACAAATTCTTGTAGCCAGATCGCTAAGAACGCCTCTTCCCCTAACAAAGTTCCTTACGTTTCGACAATATCTTGTATTGAGTTCTGCCCATCGCTTCCAATGCGGGAACCTTACTTCCTTTGGAATCACCATGCTGTCGTGTGGATCCCAACAATCAGCAATTAGTTTTGTTTCCGCGAGCAGTGGATCAAAAGCTATTGCTTCAACCAAGGGAGGACGAGAGAGGTGTTCACCATGAACGCCTCTCAAGAGAGACGAAGCATTGATGAAACAAAAACCATCTACATGAAACTCAGTTACCCAATAACGCAGGCTCTCCAAAATCAACTGCTGAACAACAGGATAGTTACAGTTCAAGTAACTTTTGGAATCTAAATCATTAGCCCTTCCCTTGTAGTAATAGCAACTGTCATCAATCCCTCGAAGAGCTCCAGACTCGGCAGTATGTGTGAAAACTACTTCCAAAATTACCTCAATCCCCTGACTGTGCAATTTCTTTACCATCTCTTTCATTGAGTTGACTGCGGATTCGTGGCCATTGGAAGGTCCATACATGTCCATGGGAGAAAAGAAATGAAATGGAAAGTAAGGACCTTCTTGCTCGGAGAATGAAAATATTGGCTCCAATAGAACAGCGTTAGTTCCAAGGGTTTTCAAATGGTTCACTTTCTCAGCTACACCCGAGAAAGTCCCTGCTACATTACTGGGCAATTTGCAGGATTTGTGTTGTGTAAAACCCTTTACGTTCAACCGGTAAACGATGAGTTTCTCTAGTGGTATGTTTGGAGACACATCATTACCCCAATCAAAAGAAGAGTTTTTGAACAAACTTCCAAGAAACTTCTGTGAGACGGATTTCCCAATAACTGTGGCATACGGATCCAAAACAATTTTCTCAGCTTCAACATTGCCTTCTTCTTCTTCTTCTTCTTCAGAGTGAACATTTTCCTTGCAACGGTACCCATATCTCACAAAATCCCATGTCTTCTCAACTGAAGCATGCCAAACATCACCTGTTCGGTTGACATAAGGATCGAGATCAAGCTCTAACGCAGGTTTGTCGGTTGTGCTATCATCATACAAGCACAAAACCACGCCCCTTGAGTGTCTTGAAAAGAAGGCGAAATTCCAAGAGTCGTTACCTGGTCCAGAAGAAAGGCCTAATGGCAATGGCTGACCAGCAGTAAAACCAACCGGGACACAGAAGTTAGCGTCCTTGTGTGTCAGCATTTTTAGACCATCGGGGTCTTTTCCTGACAGTAACTTCAGATGAAATGATAGGTAGAAAGGAGATTCTTTCCCATCAAATTCGAGCCCTAACATTAATTCAGACAAGGAGCTTTTCACAAACGGAGTTTCTGTTGTGTGGGTTTGTAATTCCTGGGAAGAGTTTTCGAAATCCAGAGGCAAGAAACACGACGAATCAGACCTGTATACACCCCAAACCATCACCGGTCTGCTCTCATCGTCGCCACTTACTTCTAAAGATGAAACATAAACCAAAATGCTGTACTTTTCTCTCTTCTTTTCAACTTTAACTTTAACAAGAGTACCAGCTTTCGTCCTGAACAAATAGGATACTGCCTTCTTTAGGTCATTGGCCTGAGCACTTCTAGTAGATACTTGGTCCCTCAGCTCGATAGAAGTCTTTGAAGCACAAATCCTACTCAGCTGATCCCGCAATAAAGGTTTTCCTGTAACTATCAGTGTCTCGGATCCAGGTTTAGTCTTGTTCATACCAGTAAAAAACCTAGTAGAAGGAAACTTCCATGTTCTAGTGATGCTATTACTGAGACAACAAGATCCTATCCCAACTGATAGTGACCAAGCAGCCATAATTTAAACAAGCAGAAAGTTTCTCCCGTTTCCCAAAACTTTAGCAATCCAAGCAATTAACAATCCCTGAAATCAAAGTAAAGTAAAATCTCATGAAGTTCTTATGTAGTATAGTTATAGTTAAGAAGGGAGATCAAACACACTTTAACTCTTGATGAAAAATGAATGAAAGAAAGTAGAAACCAAATCACACTCTAGTTTTTGGATGAGTTTCACAAACGAAACTAGATCCACAGAAACAAGAAATCACAAAACACAAAACCCAAAAGAAAAAGGAATAGAAATTATAACGTAACAAGGAAAGAAAATTGAAAAAAAAATCATAACGTATCAATGATCTAAATTGAAACAAAAGCTCCCAGCAATTGATCTGAGATTCAACTAAGTTTAGATAGACACAATTATCAGCAATAATTAACCAGGAAAAATCTTTACACCTTTATTTAACCAGATGTAGCAGAATGAGCTCGAATCAGCTAAACCGTCATCTCAAAAAGCTAAAATCACACAAGACCCAATCAACAACAAAAAAAAATTCTTCTTTTAATCATCGGCATTTCAAATTTCAGCGCATTTAAAGAGATAAAGTAGTAGAATCAACAAGAACAATAAGTCTCAGGATCTAAGTAAACTCGAAGCACGAAGAAATAATAAAGAAAGAAAAAAGGAAGCGTAAAGAAGAGACAAATGTCTAAAAAATGTCGAGCTTACGGTCGCATAAGCATCATCACCGCCATTGAAGCAGAAAACGAGATTCCAAGAGAAGATTTTCGCAGTGACTGTAACATAGAAGATATCTGAGAATATCCATGTGATGAAATGGAGTCTGTCCGTGAGTTTATGATTTGATTTCTTTTCTTTTTTTCTTTTTTGGGTGAAAGGTTTTGTCTTGTTCCTTTTTGAAGTTCGATGCCTTTAACTCAACGGACCGCCCAAGTTTAAGCCTTTTTGTTTTCAACATATTAAACGACTGTGCGACATATGAATAATGAAGATATTTGATTAACAATGATTTGTTCTATTATAGTGGATCATAATATATTTGTATAATGTCGTTGTTATGTTCGTACAGTATAATTTTTTTTTTGTCGATAAAAGAAACCAAGCCCCTGCCTCAAATCCTGTAATGGAACAAATTCTATCAAAGCAACTGAGGAAAACCATAATAGCTCATAACTCACAAGTCAAATAAAGGTAGTACCACCATACAATCCCCGATCGAAATTTGGTCTACAAAAGTAGTGAGCAAATTCCATTTTATTCTCTAGTTAAAGCATTTTTGTATTTGAATAAGAACCCTATATGTACATTCTTCAGCAACATCCCACCTTAAAGTTCGATCTCCTTGTCAAAGATGTCCCAACCATCTTCAAGAAGCTCTCTGCAAATATCTCTCTCTTTGTTCGTGGAGCAAACTGCTTCTTCTGGGCTCTTCTTGTTGCTTGAGGTTTCAAGCACTCCATTCAAGGGCTCAGCAGGATTCTCAAGCACTAAGCTTCTCATAGATGATCCGCATGAACTAGTCTGGCTCGAGGAGATTGATTTTATTAATGACACTCGGTTGTCGAATTTCTCTTTCAACAGCTTCACATCTTGACAGATGACAGAAATTTCTCCTCTGCTCAAGGAAGAAATAGAGATATAAAGATCCATTTGAAAGAATAGACTATTACGAATATCCAAAGGAAAAATCGCTACTAAAGCTTCAAGGGTGTTCTAAACAGATGAATCATTGTGCGGTTAGAATGGGACTTACTGTAAGGAATCAACAACCTGACCACGATCCATAAGAAACTCTCGAAGCTGCAGGCCGAGGAAAAAAAAGACGGGATTAAGAAGACTTTTCGACATCAAGAGGAAACTCATCGCTAGTGTTTTATAACAGTGATTTTTTTACCTTGGAGTTTTCCTCTGCCTGCTTCTGTAGAACCATTGATTCTTGGACTACTTTCTCCATGATGGCTTCTTGTTCAGCAAGTGCCTTAAGTGCAGAGTCTTCTTTTTCCTTCTTTTCTTGCTCAGCAGCCTTTTTCATCTCCAATGCTGCCGCTAGTCTTATTTCAAGAGTCTCACGCATCTACAAGACACACAATTAGATCAATCTCTCTCCAGTATGAAACAGAGAAAAATGAGACAAAATTTGTGGTCAGCTGATGAAACATGCCTCATCAAGGACAGCAAGAGATTTGTGTCGTTCTTCTGATAAGTTGACCAAGCGGTTTTCAAGCTCTTTTGCTTCAGTGGCCAAAATTGACTTCTCCCCATATACTTCTCCAGCATGCTGCAAAATATCATAGTAAATTAGTTCTCATTCAACAAAAAAAAAAAAAAAAAAAAAATCAAAGCACGTACTGTATTAGAACATTATAGGTGATAATATCATTACCATGTCATTCGCTTCCTTGGCATGTTCCAGCATCTTCTTGAGCTCCTCAGCCTTTTCAAGAGTATCCAAACCTCCCCTAGCAGCGTTCTCCTCTGACTTCTCCGCATCCTTCTCTTGAAGTTCAACTTCTTTCATCAGATTCATGACTGATTCCATCACAGTGAGAAAGGTTTTCTACATCATAATCAAAAAAAGAATCATGTTTCAGTATCCCTCACAAACTCTCAGTTTGAAAATAACATCACCAACAGCTTTTCTAGACCTCAGCACCAGTGAACACAAACAAAAGTAAAGCATTTACATGCTTAAAGAATGCTGAGAGCATAAGTGAGTCAGTATACCTTGTTACTTTTGGCATCTTCGATAATCTCTTCAAGGTGATCAACACTGCATCCATGAGTTGATGAGCTAAAAGCACCACCTAGTTCGGTATCACCAATTTCACTGGCCAATGTATCCTTTGAACTCTTTTCCACAACATTTGTACTCCCAGTCCCAACTTCAAAACATGAACCCTGCTGTATATTGTTCATATTGTCTCTAGGAGTTAAATCGACCATCTTCTGTACAGCATTTTCTGAACTTATGCTTGTGCTTGATTCTGCTAGATTCCATGTCAGATCGAAATCAAGATCTTGCCAAAAATCGCTAGTTGATTTGAGGTTGTCTTGGGCGACAGCAGAGACCACGGAACCAATTTCTGCTTCGCTCGGAACATCATAACAGTTACCAAAGAAATCATTTTTTCTGTGCGTTTTTCGAGGAGCCCTTTTCAAAGGATGGACTTCCTCACTTTCGACATCTTTATGCCAAACACCACGACCAACATCTAGTGGCAAATTTGTTAGATCGTTCCTATCTGAGAGCAATTTGGTACTTGAAGCACTGGTATCGTGGCCAGAACCAGCAACCCGGGGGACAGTTTCTGAAGAAGAAGAGGCGCTGGACTTTGAGCCAGAAGCTACAAGAAAACCGCGGCACCTAGAAACAACATCTTCCAAATCACGTTCTACTGCGATTTAAACAAGCAATTTATTAACATATGTCCTCTGGAAATAAAAGAATGAGAAACCTTGAGCTGTGAAAGTAGAGGCCAGAGCAACACGGTTATTTTTCACGGGCTAAAGCTGTACCTTCACGCTCTGAAATACTTCCAGACAATTTGTTCCAAGATTCAGTAACATTATTGGACAGATTTGAAGGCAACGAAGGAACAATCTCTGATAGAACTACAGCAGCAGCCTCATCAGCATCCTTGGGATGTTCTATTGCAACAGCCCTCAGTATTCGTGCATCAATCTGCAGTGGAACATTTTGTACAATGTGGTTTCGATTAGATTACAGAAGACATCAAATCTATTTGAAACATACAAAAATGAAAGATGGTTAGGCAAAAAGCTTAAATGGTGTCAACATCTAAGGAAGTGCAAATAATTGATCAAACTAATATATCTAGTGCACACAATAGCCATTGAATATACATGTTCTTGTGCATACTGAGCTCCAGCATGAATGCTTTCGCAAATCTCAATGCTTAAGTTCTTATAGTAATTATGTAGAAACATATAATGAAATCAGCATCACAATAAAACCAGGACCTTTACGAAATCCTGAATTTTTTAAGAAAACATTATATCAACATTTTCTTCTTAGTACGAGAACTGCAAGTAAAATTGACGAGACAAGAGATAAAAAGAAGAGTTTTGACCTGAGGAAATATCTCCGTTAGAGATCGGTAAACAGAACTGAAACCCATCAGTGAGCTTGATCAACTCTGCAATAAACAATAAAAAAAAATTATGGTCAGGATAGAATGGTAATCCGTCTGATGCATCTCTAAAAAAACCGACATATAACCGAATTGAAATAGAGACAGTAACGAGGAAAACATATTAAGACAAGTAGACAACGATATGTTAATCTCTAAAGTTGCATAGAACCATCAAAGACGGATGAGGAATAAACTTTATGAACGTCTAGTATTTCCCGAGTAACACTAAAAAGCCTAATTATTGTTTCCCGCGATATGTAGAGAGAATAGAGGGATACGATCATACAAGTGCAGTAAATTACAACTCAGTATCACCAAAGATTTCTAAAATGGGAAAACAGAGATCACAAAACCTATTCTTTAAGAAAGGAGATAAATTTAGTCGTCAGAATCGAATGGATCATGATGAAACGATCACAAGCAATACTTTACCAAAAAAAAGGGCACCACAAAAACATCAAAATACACATAGGGAAACAAAATTTGGAATCCGACGATTCAATATCCTCGATTTTGTGGTTTCCTGAAACAAACGAAGCAAATAGCACAAACCTATCCAAATTTCCGTTTTGGGGAGTATGAGATCGGCAGCGAGAGCTGTGAGGAGGAAGAAGAAGAAGAAGTATGTGTCGTTTGCTTCGTAATTGTGAAGTGGTCTTTTGCTTCGTTTATGCTAGGTCGGTACCGTGGGTTGATGCGTTCATTTTGCAGCGTATCGGAGGGTATTTTGGTCAGGCGAATGATTTTTGACTGACGTGGGTTTCTCGGCGAAGCTTAAGGTCAATGCCAACAACCAATCGAAATTACAATTAGATTTTCTGACAAAGGAAACTATCTTTAATTTTTGATTGGCTTGTATTCATTTATTCTTCCCGCACACTTTACACAAACACACACACCCCTTGAATCATATAGACAGGTCTGACTGGGTCCTATGGGTCTTGGGCCTTTTCAGAATGGTTTTTTGGAAATATTGGGCCTTTTTGCCACCTTAAACCAATCCAACAAATTAACGAAAAAGAAAATGGAAACAGAATATAAAAAAAGAAAAAAATGTAACAGAGGATGAGGGGGAGATAAGAAATTCAGTTCTCTGTGTGTCTGTTATACAATAAATCAATTGTTGATTGAAATGTTTAGAGAATCTTCTGTGTTTCTTGTTCTGGATAAATGTTTAGAGAATCTTCTGTGTTAGTTGTTCTGGATACAGAACAAGAAGTCCCACATAAAATGTGTGTATAGATATCGGCTTTTCTTTTATTTTTCTTCATTATTTCAACTTTGTATACACACCACATACACAACAAAGTAAGTGTTAACAGACGTGAGACGATAAGATGATCCTTAAACCTAAATTAACACAAGGTGAAGAAAGTGAAAACTATCTATCTGATTCTGCTAAAAGAGGCTCCGTGATTTTTGTTGTGTAATTCTTCGTACTTCGTGCCTCTTTCCCTACAAGCTTCTTCACGGTTAGTCCTACCTTGCTTTGATACTCCTGTGACACACAAAAAGGAGTCATAAATTCCCCCGAAAGAAAACTCCAATAAGCTTTTAAACTTCCATATAACCAATAGATACATCAAGGATTTTATCCGTTTATTGCTTACTACTGGTAAAGCTCGTGTTATGGATGATACAGCAGCTGCTGCTGCTGCTGCCACACGTATTCTGAAATGATGTCAAAAAATGTTGCAGTTTTACTTTTCAGTGAATCTTTGGTAAGCAATAGAGCAAGTGACTCGGAAGCAAGTAATTATCAATACAACAATACCTTTTATGTACATCGATGTAAACATCAGTTTCATCCACGATTTCTGCCTGCATTTCCAGTAAACCACCAAAAAAAGACTTCTCAAGTGAAATTGTGTATATAGCAACATAAGCATAGAGTAGATATTTCATGGCCACGACTAAACGCCCGAGGAAAATATCAAACCAGAAAAGAGAAGAAAGAAGCATGAGATCATACTTGTAGAAGTTCCTCAAAGACATCTTCTAACGTGATGATGCCAATCACTTCTGCATCCTCGTTATCTTCCAAGAGACGCGGTAAGTCTCTTGTCGCAGTTCCCATCTGTTGGAAATTTCTTCCCCTGTTTTTCACATGCGTTGGTACTTTATCGATATCAACAACAACGTCACGCGATTCATCATCAACATGCTTCAGCAAAGGAGCCGTTAAATGAGGACTCGAGTAAAAGTTCATAGTTTCTTCCGGTGTTTCGCCATTACTCAGCAACTGCGTATTCTTTTTTTTATCTTTGTCTTTAACTTTGACAACAGCAGCCATGTGACTACTTCCCTTTTGAAATTCGTTGAGTATATCGTACAAAGGCATGTCTGATGGAACCCTGGAAAGGCAATGTCTGGGAATTTATACTCTCATTTCCTGTGGAAACATATTGTAGCTAGCTAGGTAAAGCTTTAGGAAGCAAGGATCTACCTAGGGATCTTCCTGATGGAAACAGAACTAACGGGTGTCTCTGTCTCTGCTCGTACAGTTAGAAGACTCTTAACCTAGATAATGGCAGCAGATACTTAATCTAATAATATTCAATGAAATGAAGCAATGGAAAAGTTCAACAGGAGTACCAATAGAAGTCCAATGATATTTTTTGCATTCCCTAAGTAGACCGGGATTCGGCTATGACCTCGGGAAAGTATTTTTCCAATTGTTTCCCTGCATTTAGATGGTGAAAATTCATGATTTCAGATAGATTTTTTGCTCAGTGCAATTACTAGGTAGATAGACTAAGGAAAAGAGTTTACTCTCTGCTCTTCATATCAATTTACAGTATGGACTTTAAACTAATCAGCCAAATGGAGTTTCTCAAAGTCGTTTTTCCATTGAAAGATTTGACATTTACAGAAAGGAAATCGTCGAAAAGAAGACCAATTCTAATCTTAACTCACCAGTCTAGCTTTGTATTTACATCCAGGGAAAATGTTGATTCAATTGGCGTCATAGCCTCCTCAGCAGTCTATGAAATGAAGGCGTATGAATTAGATCAGTGGAAGTAATCTTGAAGAAAAATAAATTTAAAAGTGTGTTAACAATCAAAGTATATGCATCAGTTCAGCAAAGTTAAGTCATCCTCCGTATGCAACCTCAGGTAACATATGTTCATGGAGATGAAGAATCTAAACCCGGATAAATAGATCACAGGAAAACAATTTTATTCACAACATAACCTGTTCATCAGGGTGAACAGATTACAAGCATCCGGAGGTTTTATACAAGCATCAGGGCGAGTTCAAATCCTCACCTTCTCGCTCAAATCCAGGGCTCCACTTATAATCATTGTTTCCTCGTGTGTCAGTTCACCTCCCTTACCAGCCTATGTTGAATTAACAGAAGGTGGAAACATAAATACTTTTATAATAAACTTATCTTCTTCTGGATTTGTCTGATTAGATCATAAAGAGAAATACCTCTTGGCTGTGAATTGAGACAAGGGCTTTCAGCTGAGCTCGCCTGAATAGTGTGTCATTATGCCCAATCACGGCATCAAGAACCTGAGGCATATAGAACGTTGATAGAAGTAAACATCGACTGCATAACACTGTGACATCTAGAAATGCATCTACTTGTCTAGGTGATAAAATCAATGCAAAGCTTCAACAAGTAACGCTACTTAAAGACATTGCTAGATTAAATGCAGGTTCAACAAATTTCCCAATCTACCATAATTGTAACATAACTTATTCACTTTCGTAGCAACTAGTCAAACAAAGATTAGTCAACACAAGAAACATCACCTTTCCAATAGGGTAAGCAATGGGATAGCAGATTATCATCAAAATGCGAACCAGCCACAAAAAATTTGCACCGACAGCAAGTCCATATCTCGAGCATATAGCTTGCGGAATTATCTGGTTGAAACATAATTTTGTATCAGTGGATATAGATGGAAAGTGGTGGATAAAAAGACAAACTAGTACCAAGAAGACATAAAGAAAGTTACCTCCCCAAAAGCAAGAACAAAAGTAACTGAGAGCAAAACAGCCACAAAGGGGTGAAATATCTTATCCAGGCATATAGGAAGGGCCTGAAAAAGGAAAACAAAACATTAAGCATCAAGCACCAAATCACTGAGTCCAGACTAGTATTTTCCTTGAATCCGAGGTGCACAAAAAAAAAAATAGTAACTTATCGTTGAAAACCAGAAAAAAATGGAGTAACAAATCAAGTTTTACCTCCATGGCAGCTGCATTGCATAGAAGCAGAGTCACCAGAAGTTGATGCTGCTTCTTAACCACGGGTAAGATAGCAGCTGCAATATCCAAGAAACCAATTCAAGTAACTCCAAAGTTAACCGTCAAGAGTAAGAAGAATAGAGACTCCATCACTTACAGCCAAAATCACAGAATAAGAAATTTTTAAAAAAACCAACTTTTTTAAGTTTAATTCTATAGCCATTACGAGTCGAGCAAGCCCAGTAAGTGATTTCATTCTAAGAACTGATTTTTACCGTAATCAAAGAAAAAGCTAAAAAAACGGGCCACATCAAAATTTCCATAAAAAACGAGAACCAAGCCAACGAAAAGTCGAATCTAGCTTGAAGTCGAAACAACAGAACGGAGTTAGTAGGGAATTGAAAAAAAAAAGAAGAAAACGTACAGGCCTGTTTCTTTTCGGCGGAGGAGCCACTCTGCTGGAGGATCTCAAGCTCGACGAGGCCAAGGGACATTAGTCCGAGCGTGAGTCCCGACATTATCCCGGCGAAGAGAACGAGGAGACACGCCACACCGACGACGACGAACCACCACGGCGAACCGAATCGGATGTCTTCGGCTTCAAAGACGAAGCTGTTCAGCGAATAAGCTGCTTTAACCAACGCCACCGTGCTCAGAACAACCATTGTCGCCGTCTTCTTCCTCTCGGCTTCGATTTGGTCGCTTGCAGCGAGACAAAAACAGCGACTGAGCTAGAGAAAGAGAGAGAGAGAGAAAGGGACTCTTGTGTTTGTTGTGATGTGAAATTGTTTTGTGTAGAAGGAAGACGATGAAATGTCATTGATACGGGGATACATGGACCACTTGACACGTCAGCAATCAACATGCGTTTTCCCCGTTTTTTTTTCTCCCTCTTTTTTCCGTTGTTACTCATGCGTTTTATTCATCTTTAATTGATTTGTCTGTCAACGTGATAACTATTTATTACTGAGCTATCATATAAGTATGTATCAAACCTTTATCGGTTTTAATGCCCGATATGATACACTTGCCTCTTGCCACATCACACAACTCTTGAAATCTTCCCAAATATCATTGTACTGTTGTCAGATTAAAACAATTAAATAAATTTCTAGGTACAAACTAGAGTAGTAACTAACACCCCAAATAAATAAATAAATGTTGAATACTCACTAAAATGGCTGTAAAACCTTGTTCAAAAAAAAAACCTAAAATGGCTGTTGTTGACATGAAAAATTATTAGTTTTTCAAAATCGTGAATGATAAATAAACAAAAAAAAAATCATTACTTATTTATCAAAACAAAAATATCTTATTCCATTGGGCTTTTGGAGTCATCTATGAGCTAAATGTTTGGGCCGTTAATGACAAGAGAAAATGTAGAGAGGTAGGAATTTCTCAAACGAACCGCACTCCTTCGTATACGTCAGGAGTCCATTGATGAGAAGGGGCTAGGGAAAGCTTGAACTCATTTTCAATATTATTTAAAGATATGAAAGAGTCAAAATGCGAAAGCTCTTCTTTGTGGTTAAATGCCAAAAAATCAAGGGAAAAAATTTTGACAGTGAAACCGGAACGAGCGAAACGCAACAGAATCTCAAGATCGAAGGACAGTGAAATCGAAGAATTGAAGCACAAGCCTCTCTTTCTCTCCATCTCTCTACTATCGATTTCTGCAATCTCTCCCTCTCTCTTTCTCTCTCTCTCACGTTTCTTTTGCCCATTTGGCGGAGATAGAGGTGAAGCGTCAGAATCACATCTCCGGAATCGGGGTGAAGAGGAAGGATTCGTTTTGGGAGGGAAGACAAATCTGGCGAAAGTGGAGGGCTTAAGGGCGAGGCCGTGGCTTAAGCCAGGAGCTTGTGTAAATGGAGGTCAGTATGAGTATGACGGCGATGATGACGACCATTCAAGGCCTTGGTGGCGGCGTCGCCTCAGATCCTTGTATATGGCGGCGAGGTCCCTTACTCCGTCCACTTTCCGAATCGCAATCTCGCTGCTCCTCCTTGTGGCTATCGGCACCGCTTTCACTTTTCTCCCGGTTGAACAGGCAATTTCGCTCTTCCCCTTCTATCCCCGCTATTCGCATTCTGCGTGTATTTATAGCTCCTAGTGGTACCTTAGCAACGATCTTATATCGTTATAAACGGATAGAGTGGGGTATTCCTGGAACTCGCTAGATCACTACATCTCTGTTTGGAAATAGTGTTGCTCGGTCGCTTGATTGTTTCACACTTTGAATCTTCATGAAATCCAATTTTGCGAAGATCTGTAGTTTGAAGGAATCATTTGTTCTGTTCCCTTTCTGCAGAAATTGAAGGACTTCTTGTTATGGATTAAGGAAGATCTTGGACCTTTTGGTCCACTTGCGCTGTAAGTTTTTCATGCTTTCTACTTTTTATTTTTTGTTCTCTCTTGTTTAACTTGTGATGTGCTCTCTTTAACTCACTCACATTTTCAGGGCTTTGGCTTATATTCCCCTCACAATTGTGGCGGTTCCTGCTTCTGTACTCACGGTAGTTGTCAATTCATAACTATCTAGTGAAATCTAGGGTGCTTTTCTATTATGTTTGTTTGTAAATACATTAATTTTTCGTTTCAAGATGGGATACTAGGATTTTTTTTATCCCTGTTCTGATATTCGTTATTTGGTCTCTGTAGCTAGGGGGTGGCTATCTTTTTGGCCTGCCAGTAGGATTTGTAGCCGACTCTCTTGGAGCTACGTTAGGTGCAACAGCAGCATTTCTGCTTGGTAGAACGGTATGTCTCTTCGATATGATAGCATCTGTTCTAATATGTTTCGCTTGCTATGGTGTTGCTTGTTATAGCTAGAGAAGTAGCTGATTCCTTTCTTTCTTTCTTTTGCATCTTCGCAACTTAGGGGATCATTTAACTAAGTGTGGCATATTTTCTATCTTCGCCATCTTATTGTCGCTAATGATTGTCCTTTGTCTTTATGGTATCATGTAGATTGGTAAATCTTATGTCGCCTCAAAAATAAAGCATTACCCAAAGTTTCAAGCTGTTTCCGTTGCAATTCAAAGATCTGGCTTCAAGGCATGAAAGTAGCACTCTCTCAATTCATTAACATATCGTTTTTCTTCACAAAAGCTATACCTGGGACCAACAGTGTAGCAAAGTACCTCAAGTTTCTGGCTACATTTAATTAATTGACCGCTAACTTCCTGTTGATACTCTTCCTTTACAGATAGTTTTGCTGCTACGCGTTGTCCCCATATTGCCCTTCAATATGTTGAATTACCTCCTATCTGTAACCCCCGTTCGCTTAGGGGAATACATGCTGGCCACTTGGTTGGGAATGATGGTACAGACATTTGTTTAGTATTTGCTTGCATGTTGGCCTTTTTTACTTTGATAGTTGTGGAAGGAGGGCCTAGTGCTTTGATTTTTGTTTTTACACCCAAGAATTACCCTATCATTGGAGATAAGTAGTTGTTGTTTAACCCAAATGGACATGCGCTGTTGTATGTACCCAGTTCGGATCAACCCGAAATGGGAGAAACTGAGAAAACAACAGAAATTGTTTCAACTTATCATGCATGTGAAAGTGCTAGTTGCTCATATTATCCATAGCAGTTATACTAATCTTCTGAAATGTTTTAATGTAACAGCCCATTACGTTTGTGCTAGTTTATGTTGGAACTACTTTGAAAGATCTTTCTGATATTACACATGGATGGCATGAGGTGTCAGTATTTCGTTGGGTAAGTTTTTTCTTCAGTTACTTCCACTTGGCTACTAGATTGGTTATGACCGGAGATCAGCTTGACTGACTGAAGATACCTGTTTGTTTCAGCATACCAGTTATCATCTGTATTTAGAAGAGAGCAAATTGCATAGATTTTAGAAGTTTGTAGTGTCAGAAAAAAATAACTTGTCCGAATCTGAAGTTTAACTTAAATCTTATTGTATGACGCTTATTAGGAATCTTATTGGTGCCTTTGCAGTGTAAGTCTGACTTGTCTTTCTTCCGTATTGTAAATTGTGAATGCAGGTGCTAATGATGTTTGGCATTGCTCTAGCTGGTGGGTCTCTTCTCTAATCATTTCCACATATATTTATATCTTTGCTAGGCTCACTTAGTGACACTGGGTGGTATTTGTTTTGACCAGTGGTTTGGTAATAGAAACTTTAGTAGATTGTCTGATCCTGATCAAATGGTGATGGTATAAACTTTCCTTGAGTTTGAAAATCTTGTTTTGAAATCTGTGTGGGTGCAGTAATTCTGATAATATGCATAACAAGAGTGGCGAAATCATCATTGGATAAAGCATTGGCTGAGAATGCAACAGATTTATTAGATGGCAAGAAGAATGACGACACTTGCATGCTCCCCATCGCAGAGCCACCACCACCGGATCAGCTACACGAGGAGTCTCTCATTATCAGAATCGACCCATCAGATTCTTGAAGAGAGGAAAGACCAGAAGAAACCAAACCTCTTGAATTTGTAAATTTTTTTAGGAAGCACGAGAATTTTTTTGTACCGTGAGAGATATTAGATACGTTTTGTATAGCATCATAATACCATAGTTCAACGTTTCATTCGTTCTTTTTCACAACTTTGGTTATTTTATTTACACTTGAGCGCTGGGAAATATCATGTAGCAAGCAAATGCTTTCACACGAAAACAATTTTACTATCGAGCCAAAATCAGACCGGTTATACCGTGGGAGAACAGAACAGACCGGTTGAATCGGGTGGCGGTCTGGCTTAACTATCGGATATATCCGGCATATTCATTTTTATCAAGGAATCCCCCAAATAGCTAGCTGCTTCGGTGGTGTTTGCCTGTAAGCGGAACTCGAGACCTTCTTGTCTTGTCCGGAAAGAGCCAAGCAGTCTCGTGGCTCGGTTTTGTTTTCAGATCAATCGATTTCCTCATTAATTTTGTTTTGTTGAATCATGGCGGCTACCAATGTCATTCGGCGAGATGAGAGCCTTCTTTTGTCGTCGTCCCCTATTGATCCCCATAGAGGTAATCCGATGTTTGACTTTTTTCTCTTAATCAGCGAGCGAGTGATATTGGTTTCGTCCCCTTAATTCGAGAAATTTCTGTGCTTGGGATTTAGGGGTTTCTTCTGATTTAGGTAATTTTGTTTTTTTTTTTCTCCGGGAATGAATGAATTTCTCAGGTGCAGGAGATACTAGGACTTGTGTTTCTCGTGCCCTCTCGCTTGAGAAGAAAATTGAGGCCCTCGAGAGCCTGACGGGACAAGTGAGTTTTTTTTTTTTAACTAATTGGCCTCTCGTATGATATACTGGAACAGTGCTTTCTTTTGTGTAAATGCAGTTCTAATATCCAATATGGGATTCTTTTCTTATGCTTAAAGGTGTGATTTTTCTTTCTGTAATATAAGACAGGGGATCAAAGATGGAATTTTTGAAGTTGATAGCTAATGAGTTTTGGCTTTTGCTTAATGCAGGTTAGTAACCGGCGATCTCGGAGGTGGCTAAATGATCGTATTCTGATGGAACTTGTTCCTCGTTTAGATGCTGAAGAAATCAGAGGCTTGTTTGCCCCACCACCATGGGGTAATAATATTACTTTCACTTTCCGAGTATGCTCGCTCTTCTGTTGAATCTCAAATGTGCTTTGAGTTTTTCTCATGTTTTCGATTAATTCATCATCGTTTCACTGGCTTCTACAAAATGTTCTACAGGTGATGATCACCCACCCTCTGCCTTTTCTTTGACTAATGTTGGAGAATGGGACAAATTTAGAAACATAGACATGGACAAGGAGGTAAGTTACCGTCTTTCTTTTTGGACTTGGTGTGTCGTAAGAAGTTTTACTCTAATAACGATCTGACAATATACGTTGTTTGTACAATCAGTGGTGCGAGTCTTAACCAATAATTGAAAACTGTGTGTTTTTGTCAGGCCAATATCATGGAATCTTTGAGCCGGTCATCTGTAAGGCAGAAAGGTCGTGTGGATGCTGATAAAACCGCTGTCTTAAATGCTTGGCGAAGAATAGATTGTAGAACAAGAGAGGCTCTTCGACGTAGCTTTTTACCAGAACTAATCCAAGGATATGAGGTACTGATTCTTCAGAGACGACATTTTGAGCCATACACATTTATATATATAGTAGACCCCTTGCTTCCTCCTAGTTTCAAGAATTGTTTACACTTTTCACAGCAATGCATAAGTCACTTCATCAAAGATGGCGGTGAAGGAGATGTTCTTGAGCTCAAGGTTCAAGATCCATTCCATAGATTGCTTCTGCACGGTGTTTGTGAGGTATGAGCCACACGACATCTCCTCAGCTATGCTCTGCTTAGATGTTGAATGAAGAGTAACAAATCTAAAAAGAAACTCTTTTTCTTTGGACCAGTACCACAATTTAGTGTCTACAACTGCAACAGAACAATTAGGAAGGAAAGCAACGAAAACAACGAGGATCAAATGGAAGAACATTGACGATTCAGGAGAGAAACCAAGCATCAGTCTTGCGCATTTCCTGAGGATGTCAAAGGAAGGAGCTTGGTAACATCACACATACACTCCTTCCTTTGTAGCTGTAATGTTTTCATTACGAGTGAATAAAAAAAAAGCTGCAATTGGCCTCCTTTAGTCAGTTAAAAGGGCTCTTTATGCAGCGAAAGGACTCTCTTTGCATCTCTTCCTCTACTCTGGTCTTGTAAGCTTGTATAATTATTGTATTCTCTCAATCTGTTACGCAAAAATTGAAACCCTTTTTATTGGATGATCATAATACTTCTCAAAAATCGAAATTCTTGATCAATGGAGGAACAATATCACCATTTTTCTTCAATAAGATACATATGATTATATATTATTATTAGACAACAATTTCTACAGATAAAAATTTGATTTTTGTTTTTTGTATCCCATTTTTAATAGCCCATTTGTATATGTGTACATAAAAGAGTGGGCGACCAATAAAAAAGAGTGAAAAGCAAACAAACGAAACCAATCAAGCTTTGGTCAAACAACAATGGCGGCCAAAAAGCGAGTCAACTACTTCGTGGTTGATGCTTTCGCTGATTCCGCCTTCAAGGGGAATCCAGCTGCTGTTTGCTTTCTGGACGACGATAATCAGAGAGACGACGCGTGGCTTCAGTCTCTCGCCACCGAATTCAACTTGTCCGAGACTTGTTTCCTTACTCCGATCTCCGAAGATCGTGGTTTCCCTCGCTTCCGTCTCCGGTGGTTCACTCCAGTCGCTGAGGTTCGCTAATCGCTGCTTTAGTTTCCCGATTTTCCAAGTTTTCGATTTCGGATTTGTCAGTTGACTGGAAATGGACGAAAGACTCTATACATATGAGAATCTCCGGCTCATATTTATGAAATTAATGCACTTTCGATCTTTTGCATTTGTGCAGGTGGATCTGTGTGGTCATGCAACTTTAGCATCAGCTCACGTTATCTTCTCAAACGGTTTGGTTGATTCACAAGTAGTTGAGTTCGCCACAAGATCAGGAATTCTAACAGCTACACGGCTTCCACTTACTTCAGAGCTCAAAGATGATAATGAAGAAGAACCAACCTTCTTGATCGAACTGAATTTCCCCGTTGTTCCAACTTGTGAATTCAACTCCACTATTAGTGATCTCTCTCTCTTCTCCAAAGCATTGAATGGAGCTACCATTGTTGATGTTAAAGCAACAGAGAAGGACATCCTCGTAAGTATTTCAGCCATTTTTTTTCTTTTTCTGTTTTTCCTGGCGTCTTTTGGAACCATTAAAATCTGGCCGATGATTTCTGTTGCAGGTTGTGCTTTCGTCGTGGGAATCTGTTACTGAACTGGAGCCAAGACTAGATGAGATACTGAAATGCCCTTGTGAAGGAATGATGGTGACTGCTGCTGCTTCTGCAGGATCTTCGTATGATTTCTGTAGTCGCTACTTCGCCCCTAAATTCGGAATCAATGAGGTAAAATAGTGACTGAATAGTGTTTCCATGGACACAAAACCGTTGACCAAGATCTTTAGCTATCATACAGAGTGTATTTGCTCTTAGATTTAGAACTAGTGATCACAACAGCAAGAAGAAAACAATACCTCTTTTGCTTTTTACTGGTGTGCTGTTCTTCAGGACCCTGTTACTGGAAGTGCGCATTGTGCCTTAGCACACTACTGGAGCACTAAGATGAACAAGTTTGATTTCTTAGCCTACCAGGTTTGCTATCTAATCTATCTATAGACAGGTCTTTTGGTTTTGGAAGTGATGAGAGTATTATAATTAGTTCCAGAAGAGAGATTTTGATTGTTTTGAAAATGGGTTTAGGCTTCAAGCAGAGGCGGAACGCTCAAGGTTCATCTAGACAAAGAGAAGCAGAGGGTTCTGCTGAGAGGCAAAGCAATCACTGTAATGGAAGGATGTGTCTTAGTTTGATTTGGCTCTTTTCAAACAATGACATGAAACCAAAGATTATTGTAAGCTTATCTTCTCGGAGATGTATTTGTATCCCTAAATTTTAATTTGCTAGTGATGAGAGATTACAGGATGATCCTTCATCGTCGAGAATTTCTCCATTTGTTTCTCAATCGTTGCCATTTTCTCGACTATATGGTGTATACTAGCTACAAGACTTTTAGAGAGAAACTAGATAAACCAGACCAAATATAAATAAGTAAAAGTTCAAGAGTTTTAGAATCCTAAGTCTTCGAACCAACTCCCATTAAACTTGCAATCACACATTTTTCAAGTGTTAAAATTTACCAAGAAAGCATGACAAAACCAGGTTGAGGTTTTGTAATTAACCATAATTATAATAAGTTCCTTCAAATTCAAAGGTTGAGGTTTGTTTTAAAAACACCGGTTAGTTCGAGGGATTTTCGCAGATTTCCCTAAATTTAACATCTATTTTACATATACGGACCTAATGTTCTTATATATTTCTCATGGATACCTAGTAATTCACTCGAATCATAAACCAACCCAAAACGATGAAGTTGTATTACTTGGGCCCTTATAACGAGCGGCTTATGATAAAACGGGCTTCGGCTTTCAGATTAACGACTGTGTAACTAATTAATCATCGCAATCCCATGATTGCAAAAGACGGCCACGATTTCAAAAACACCCCACTTGTGTTTCTCTCTGACTCTTCTCTTGAAATTGTCAATTATTTAACCAAACGGATATTGATTGTTTCATAAAAAGACAGATAAAATTCAATACTATATGATAGTCCATGTGATTACGTTGTAAGCTAGTAACGTGTTTCGGTGTTTATATTCTTCAGCATTCACTGAAGTGCCCTTGTGAAGGAATAATCACAGTTTTATTAAAAGGAGAAACTAACAAAGTCTTAATTTAAAATAAACAGTTTTATGTTCTTTCAAATGTTGGAGTTGAGATAGTGTGACCTTAAAAAAAAAAAAAACGGATGATTCATTTCCCAATGTTAAAAAAAAAAACGGATGATTGATGTGAATGTAATATTATGTACTTAAGTTTCAATGTGTTGTTGTGACGTTATTTTATTCAAGAAGAGTAATCATTGAAGGATTCAAACCGTGGAATCTCGGTTCAAGAGATGATTATTATCTTAATTACTATTAAAGAAGAGTCTCTTCAATCGAATAAAAATATCAAAATGTCAAGAAAGGCACCCAACCAGCTGGCTTGCATTACCGATGAGCTATGAGTTATGATCACCCACACTTGCTAAATATTTATTTCCTCGATTATTTATCACGTACGGTCCGAATAATTAGTTAGTAATAGTAACTACATCAATTTAGTTAAGCAACTTATATTTAGTTATTTTATACGATACAAAACATAACGGTCGAAATTTTCGTCAGATGTCAGAATTAAACTCAAACTCACATGGTCCGGTTAAAAAGGGTTAATAAGAAAATGGTGTTTGTTTGACTTTTACGTTTACGATTTGTAAAATATGGGTGACAAACCAAACAACACCAGTATTTATTTGGAACTTAAAAATTTTGGACAATGTGGGAAAGAGGATAGAATGAATCTGTTTCATTGAACTAACAATAACTATTTAAGAAAAAAAAATAAGAAGCTGGAATTGATTTGTGTCATTTTCACATAAAGAGAAGCAAAATCACGAAAGTATATTATCATACGTCATCTTTGAAAGTTGAAATTTGGTCAATAACGTATCACCATTATTCAACTTGGCCGACACAAAAATAAACTACAAAATGCTCCTATAAAACGGACACACACACGAATCTTCTACCACAGTTCTTCATCATCATCTCTAATGGCCTCTTCTCCAATGAATTTCTCCATCCTTTTCCTCTTCATCCTCTCACTCTCATCATCAACCTCACTTGCTCAACCATCATCTTTCCGACCAAAAGCCCTGCTCCTTCCAGTAACTAAAGACAAATCCACCCTCCAATACACAACAGTCATCAACCAACGAACGCCTCTCGTCGCCGCCTCCGTCGTCTTCGACCTCGGTGGTCGAGAACTCTGGGTCGACTGCGACAAAGGTTACGTATCCAGCACTTACAGCTCCCCTCGCTGCCGCTCCGCCGTGTGCTCACGCGCCGGCTCTAATAGCTGCGGCATATGCTTCTCTCCTCCGAGGCCTGGCTGTAGCAACAACACTTGCGGCTCCATTCCAGATAACACCGTCACTGGAACCGCGACTTCCGGCGAATATGCTATAGACGTTGTGTCGATTCAGTCAACTAACGGGTCGAATCCGGGTCGGGTCGTTAAAATCCCCAATTTTGTTTTCAGTTGCGGGTCAACGTTTCTGCTTAAAGGACTCGCTAGAGGAACCGTCGGTATGGCTGGAATGGGACGGCACAACGTTGGATTGCCGTCGCAATTCGCCGCCGCGTTTAGCTTCAACCGGAAATTCGCCGTGTGTCTCACTTCGGGGAGAGGCGTCGCCTTCTACGGAAACGGACCGTACGTTTTTCTCCCTGGAATCCAGATCTCCAGACTCACCACCACACCGTTGCTCATCAATCCGGTGAGCACAGCTTCTGCGTATGCATCAGGCGAGAAATCATCCGAGTATTTCATCGGCGTGAGTGACATCAGAATCGTCGATAAATCTGTTCCGATCAACAAAACGCTCTTGAAAATCGTCGCAAGCACCGGATTTGGAGGAACAAAAATCAGCACGGTGGATCCGTACACGGTGATGGAGACATCGATCTTCAACGCTTTCACATCGGCGTTCGTCAGAGAAGCCGCCGCGAGGAACATCACTCGAGTTTCGTCGGTGAAGCCGTTCGGCGCGTGTTTCAGCACGCAGAACGTAGGAGTCACGCGCGTTGGATACGCCGTGCCGGAGATCCAGCTTGTGCTTCAGAGCAACAACGTCGTTTGGAGGATCTTCGGAGCTAACTCGATGGTGAGCGTCAGCGATGACGTCATCTGTCTCGGTTTCGTTGACGGAGGAGTCAACGCAAGAACCTCTGTAGTGATCGGAGGGTTCCAGCTGGAAGACAATTTGATCGAATTCGATTTGGCCAGTAACAGACTTGGGTTTAGTTCCACGTTATTGGGCCGTCGCACTAATTGTGCCAACTTCAATTTCACTTCCACTGCCTGATTAGTTGTTTATTATTTGTATCATTTTCTCAACAATAAATGCTTTCTGTGGTTAATAAATGTTTTCTGTGGTGAATTAAAAATTTATCGGCAATTTTTATTAGCTGATTTGAACAATGATGTAATGATTGAATGTAATATTATTGTTTTTTTTCTGTGGGTTATGTCAGTGTTCAGTTCAGGCTAACAAATTAATCAAACTGAAATTACCTCGGAAATCTCCTTTCTGTTAATTAAAGCATAAATACGAGTTCTTAAGATTTCAATTAGATTCCTTAAATAGAAAAAAAAAAAAAAAAAAAGGAAAAAGCAAACAAATTATGGCAGCACTGTATGGTGTAAAAGTTGCTATGGGAAATTTGTTTGATAGACCTAAACCAAAAAGAAAGAAAAAAAAAAAGGAACAAATCGGTTTACTAATAAGCCATGTCTTGCACACCCGTCTCAGCCATCTTCTCCAAATCTTCTTGTGTTAACAGAGTTTTCCTGCCCATAGTACCCGCCTTATCGTACGGTTGAGCCATTTTCCTTAGAAACTGCAGAATTGACCCACACTTTCTTAACTACTACTAGATTCTTAATGCTTATGGTTTCTTTAACTGTGCGTAAACAAAAAAAGGTAGTGAATCTTATGTTTACCTCTCGAGCAATGTGGATAGCCATGTCAGTGCTTAGATTCAAGTGCGCATCACGTAGATGTGAAAGTATCCAACCGGGTAATTTGGACCGCTTATCATGACGGCTATATCTGCAATGTTAAACCTCAATGGAAATTTAGTTTATTATTAGAACAACATAAGCATATCTATCTCTGTTCTGTCTTAAGAATTTCTCCCCATTCCTAAGCAACATTCAGTAAATAGAACCGAAATGATCAGTCTCGGAGACGAAGACTTTCGGGACTAAATAGAATATACCTCTTGTCTGCAAATATCATCATTCCATAATCAGCCTTTGACCGGATTACTCGTCCTACACATTGAGCTGCTTGCCTCTGTTTGTAGCAAAAACAAAAACATCAAATGTTAAGAACAGTAACAAACAGGTAAAACCTTTGCACTATGATAAGATCATAAGATAAGAAACATACCAAGGCATCAAAAGTTAGGAAATCGCCTTCTTTAATCTGAAATGTATCACGCAAATACTCCAATCTTGCTAGTAATATCCTGAATTTTTTCCCGTTTCAGTCTTGGAATCTACCACTGATCACATATGCTGAAAACTTGGGAAATGATGGGATAAACATATTTTTGGTAAAACTTACTTGCTTAATGTATATTGAAAAGGTACTCCAAACATGACAACCAGTCTTCCATAATGACGATCAAAATCAATACCTTCAGCAACTTTTCCCCTGCCATTCAAAGACTTGTGATTACTCTCTTTGAAATTTTCAAACGATATGGATCCAGTACTATATAAATAACGACAGAACCATAAATTTCTTGCCATGAATTTTCAAACCACCTACCATTCAAAGATCACTTGTTTACCTGGCTACAGAGAAGAAAACTGCACCTCGTCCGCAATCGCAGGCCCTACGATAATTGTCCAGTGCCAATGTTGTTTCTACAACATCTTGCGTTTCAATGAAGACAAGTTTCTGTTGCATTATTTCCTACACCAAAATTAACAGCAGTGGTCGTCTTAGGAAACAAAGTATACATCAACGCCTGTAGCAAGGTATCATATACAGATTTCCCGCTTCATGCAAAACTACGAATATAATCCTGTTACCTTCAGAATTCCAGTTTCATTCCAAGTAGCAATAATCCCATCCATGTATGAGTAACTAACAAAGAAGCAGACAACTCCATCAGGAACAATAGATACCATCTCCACCAAAAACTTTCCATAATTCCTGACAACCCCAGGATCACTTCTCATGTCAAATTTGGTGCTAACAGGAAGCTGATCACTGAAAAAGCAAGAAAAACAATCACTATTGTAAATACAACAAAAAAACACACAATAAGGTCCGTGATTAGAAATTTTGTTTTTATAACCTGCGTACCTTCCTCGAGTTAAAACCATAGGGCAGATGCAGTCTCGTGTCATTGACATCTTAAAGCTTCGACTAACAACAGGATTGAAACTAAGAAGTCGGGGATACAGATCAATAGGGCTCAGGGTGCCTGATGTAATAACTACTGATTGGAAGCGATCAAACACCGGTTTTATAGCCAGAGACGCATCATGACAGCTCAACTAAGATACAAAAGGAGACATGTTTCAGATACATTTCTCAATAGACATTCGTACGGTACAATTTATATTTGAGTCATGATATCTCTGAAACCAGAACAACAATATACTCAACAGAAAGCAGATCAACACATACAGACCTGCAATATAGGATCTGGAATATGGGGCATTCTCTCGTCATAAGGCTCAATGATGATGGAAAAGCCCCTTGCATATGTCCCAACAAGAGTTGCAAAATCGCACACTGTCTGGATAGGCAAGAAATCATCTGTATCTGTAATTTCAAGAGTTAACATGAGAGACTGGAGCCGGTCATAGCAGAACTTCAGTGTTTTCTGCTCAATTCCAGCCTGAGAATTAAGCGACGATACAAAGCTAACAGGGCTTTCTTTCTCCACGTTGTCAGTATCCAGCCGTCCCCCCAAGTACTGAAGTAATCGGCGTAAAACATGCACAAAATGCTCAGCCCGTCTAATATTTCCTGGGACAGCCTCCTTTAGAATATCATGGGGCAGTGCAGGGTTTGCAAGCCATTGATCAGTTCCTGCAGAAAAAAAATATTTGTTGAGTCCCATTCATAGAATCAACCAAAACCACGTATCACCTTTCTGACTATGTACTTACCAGATAAGTCCCCTCTCAGTGCTAAACCCTCAACCAGCCGATTGTATTCAGCTCGCAATCTTCCTGCATCTGTAGCCTTGAACCTTCCTACCAGTTAGACAATTTTAAGAATTTAAAATTAAGTATCAGCAAACAACCAGGCCAGTCCCTGTATAAAACGAAGACAATTCTGCACCACTAAACAAGACAGTCATGTGCTTCAAGTTGCTGACATTAGTGTTTGTAATTTTATGTTCCCCACTGTCAGTTCTTTGAGAAGAAGCAATCTCAGAAAAGTATATATCTTTCTTACTAGCTTAAACTTCCACAAGAACACCAAATGTGCAAATAGAAAATGCAGAGTAGACACCAGAAGAGATCCAAGAACTATCAGGAAATTCAATTGAAAAAGAAAAGACCCGTTCACCAACGTTTATTGTGCTCAAGAGAAGTTATATCAGCTACGTAGAAAAAGAATAGCGCACCTATCAATTTCTTGCCTAATCTTATTAAGATTTCGATTAGCTCCTTCGAGTGTAACCCTCCTCACACTGACGCTGAGTGCTTCAATACACACGTTATCTATATTATGCGCCTCGTCAAACACTACAACTGTCTCCTTCTGTAACTCCTTGGATATAATTCCAGCAACCTTGGGATCAAGCAAGTACTGGTAGCTATAAACAATAACGTTGGCGAACTGAACCATATGCCTCGCAAGGAAGTAAGGACACCATCCTCGATTCTTACCAAACGTCCTTAAATCCTGACATTAAAATACACATTCACCATCAGCCAAAATGTGCAAAAAACCTCGAAACAGTCTCCAAATTCAAACACCATCTGAAGCTGATACGTGAAATTGATTCAGAAAACAATTGTGAAAGACGCAAGCTTTTCTAGTCTTACCTCTAAAGTATAAACACCAGGAGGCAATAACGCATTCTCAGCAGCCTTCTCGTAGTTCTCAAAGTAGTCACAGAGTTCTACATTTGGATTCTCCGCCGACAAAGCCCTAACCCAACTAGCCGTCCGTTTCCTACACGCTGCATCGACGGAATCACGATTCTCCGCCGCTAAAACCTTAGGATTAACGCAAAGGTTCTTCCGGGAGGAAAGACCGATGGCAAGGATCTTTGCCTGAGAGCCGAGATGGCGTACTTGGTATTCGTGGAGTAGCTTAAGCTCAGCAAGCGTTTTCTCCATCTCGTGGACGGTACGAGTGCAGTAGACAAGCTTGATCGGAGAATCGGGACGAGAGAGCCGGTAACTGGTGATAAGGGAGAGAAGGGCAATGGTTTTGCCAGTTCCGGTGGGCATCTCGAGAAGACAATGTCCCTTGGCGTCTAGGGATCGCTTCAATTCCACCATGTATTCGTATTGTTCTGGATATATGTTCTCATAAGGGAAGTAGACAGTAACGTCTTCGATCTTGAAGATCATCTTCCTTCTCAAAGTCGAAATTGGTAGAACACTTAGAAAACCCTAAAATAACGGGGAAAGATTACCGGCGATAATGGAAGCGTTGGCCCAAATAAACACTGCACAGAGGTGAAGGATGTATGTAGAAGAGAAAAAATAAAGTTTTGGGTTATCAATTTTTTTTTTATCGTTCTGATCCCTACTTATTATTTTTATATATGTTTAACCCCTATATATTGATCGAACATATACATTGAGCAGGTATCTTATTTTTTCTTCAAATGTGGTTAGCAAGTTTGGTAACATGTGAATAAACCCATAAAACGGTACATGATACAGAAACTGCTGAAAATCTGCAAGTGGGTGTAGTTACAAAAAATTACAACAGACAGAAACACAACTCTCAAGTCCTATTATTATTCTTCAACTGGTTGCTGGAAAGCTAAGCCCTTTATCACATGTCGACACTGAAACCTGCAGTGAAACCGAGGGGATTTATCAAGATCCGGTGAATAACTTCACTTGTTTATAGTCTGTCAAATGGAGATGGTGGAAAGAGAATTACCATATTAGATCATTTGTGCCGGAGTTGAAAGAACAATTTGTCCCGTTATCTTGAGCTCCGCACTTGAATCGCAACTTAAGAGGCACAAACTGCAATAACAACGGACATTTTTCCTTATGTGGTCGAAATCTAAATCTTTTTTTACTTGGATGTGTGAAATTCGAAGAGCTAATATAGAACTAGCACAAGTCTATACCTTCCTGTTGTATCTGAAGTCACGTTTAGGAAGGAAATGTTGAGGGAGATTCAAAGAAGGTGGAGCATGAACCATTACGAAGAGCCTCATTGGACCTGCAATTCAGAAGAAAGAGAAGAAAATCAAAACTAAAGTTCACACCATAATTCACCTGACATTTAATAAACAATGCTGATGAAGTTTTAGATTTCTGCTAAAGTTACCTGGGCAGGAAGTTGATCCAGCACCCGTCGAGATCAGTGCTCGGATAGTCTAGAAAGGCAAAAAAAGAGTAAAAAGATTAACTTCTTTTTCAATATACCTTTTCTAGGAGTTAATATGAAAAGGAACAAAATTCAAGTAACATGAACTCAGATGTAAGATACAAACCTTTTTTGAAAGTGCTTCTGTAGCTTTGCTTTTGGAAAAGTCACCTTCAAAGCTCAGACCATTATCACTATGAGTGAATAACAACTCATAAGCTTTTTGAGGCCGTAATGGACTACCACCAAGAATTAACACAACTCTCTGAATGTCAGGAGCTTCACGGATCAACAACTGCAGAGCGCTTCGGAGACTAGAGATGGAGCTCATCAGTTTCTGCAGTTTCTTGATTTCATGCCTCACCTCTCTTTTTCTACTCACGATTTTTCTTCTGACCAGCGGCTTCACGTCTGGTTGTGTAAGACGCGCCTCCTACAACCTAAGATTCTTAGAGTGTGAAAAAGACGTAACCGTAAAAGTGAAAATGGCGTCTGCAGAACGAACATACCAAATCCATAGATTCTGTTTGCAGTCCATCAAAGTCAAGAGTCATGTCTTGCAATACCCTGCACAGATGTAACCAAGAAGCAAATCGGTAAAAGAGTGTTATGTGACCAAAACCAAAAGATGAAAGTTCAAGTCTCCAACTTTGATTTTCAATAAACGAGAGAGCACAAAAGATGCTCATAAGTGGATACGACATAGTTTATTCTAAAATCAACCGGAAGTAGTGTGCACAATTGATAGTCTGAGCGTTAAATTAGACCTTTATCGGAGTAATACCAACAGATATTCACAATGTCTTAGCGATAGGATGAACTGAGCATAAGATTAATAAATCACAAGCCTGAAATCTTTTCAATTTCCCTTAGAATTTGACCATTAATCACCTACCAAGACTTAGTATCTAAACTCACACTAATCCATCCGGAATCCATAAAATCCATAACCATCAATCTTCAATTCTTCCAAAAAAACAATTAATCGCAGGAAATCGAACGCAGTCAAACGGTTCTAACCCGCGAACTTAAAGAGATGGAAGAATCAAAGGAAGATAGATACATCGCACCAGATCGAACATCAAAAAAGGATAAATCGAAGCATATAGATACGAAAAGAGGAAGGAAACGCACGAAGGGATCTGCTGGTGCATATATAGGACGAAACCGACGATGTCATTGATGATATGGAAGACGCCGGAGCCGCCGAGTGAAGAAGCGGTGGTTACGATGTCTACGTCGTACTTCTCCTCTGTAGTTCCTTCTCCTTCCGCCAAATCCATCGTGATCAAAAGCTCTGAGAAGATGAAAAACTGCGTGTTTGTGTTGCTCAGGAAATTTGAAAAAGTGAGTAGGCGGGGGGAAAGAAGAAGAAGAAGACACAGATCGCTCCAGAATTTCAAAGCAATATTTTGATTTGAGAGGAAAAGATATTTCACCGATAAAAAAAAAATACAAATAGCAAATCATACCCTAGAGAGAATCAGAATAACAAATTAACCCCTAAACTTTTAAGCGGTGGTAAGAGTTGGGCCCAACGGAGGACCCAATAATCCAATATATCTCGCTTCACATTCTTTTCCCATATTCGGCCCATTTATCAAAGTTTTTTTTTTTGGGTTTCTGAAGATATCAATTATCATGCTTATACTCTAAAATTAAATCATATTTTATGATAGAGTAGGTTTTTTATATTGTTTATGTCCGTTTCAGTTTCTTGGATTCCACTGAAATTAGTTTCATTCCATAAAGGAAACATAACTAAAACTGTTTAAACATAATGTTGTGGGCAATGAATAATTTCATCATATATTAGTCGAAACATTACAAATTTTTATAATGTAGGAAACTGTAAACGTTACAATGAATGCACGTGTTTAATTATCTGAAATCGGGGTTATTAGAGCTCCAAATTCCATGTTTTGGGATTCCACTAAGATTAGCTTCATTCCATTAGGGAAATAGAGTAAAAACTGTTTAAACATCTTGTCGTGTAATGAAGGTTTTCATCATGTATTTGGTGGAAACATTATAATGTAGTCAAAATTCTAATGAATGTACATATTTAACCACTACAAAATCATTGCAGTGGTTTGTATTGCCATAATTTAAATGGTGGTTTACGAATATAAGTTTACAGATTGTTTTGGTGAGGTTAGGTTACCAAAAAAGAAAGTTATAAAAAATGAATGGGCAAAAACATGTTTTATATAGAAAAAGAATGATTGAAATATCACAGAAATGGGTGCCGCATGAGATAGTGGTCAATAATAAGCATCAAGTGGCACATAGAACCATATAAACAGAGTCATCTCTCGATATTCGTTTGCAGTGAGACAAAGTACTCTTTAATATATTTACATACTTTTTGAGACCTTGGATTGGACATTACATTTATAACTTGTCTACTTCTCATTGGTTACCATTTATATATACAAGGATGTTTAATATATATTAACGGATACTATGTGACAAGCCTTCGTCCCATGTCGGAGAATATATACACCTAAAGCAGTTTTTTTCTTTATTAATAGAGTAGATCTTAAACCGATATTCGAGTATTCTTGCCATTTTAAGGTGTTTACAATCACCAAAAGAAGATCACATCGGTTTTTGTATACAATAAAACTTGATCTATGATATTAAACCAACATGGCGAGTTTCTATGCCTATTTAATTTAATGTCTCACACACTTTTGTTAAAATCATTTTCAATGTATTTATTATCGTGATTATATATATATATGTATTTTAAATGTATTAATATATATATATATATGTGTATTGATAAAATGTATTCTTACACAAATATCTTAACCTATAAATTTTGAATCTTGACCCAATCTCTTTAAATCCAAATTAACGATATAGTTCTGTCAAGATTGTTACCTATCTTAAGGAAATGGGTTTGTGAAAAATTTGTATAAGCAAATAAATTCTTAAGATATGTATTTTAGTTTCAGTGACATTCATGCTCAAATGAATCCTAATGAAATGAATCCCTCCAATGATTTTGTTGGTGAAACAACATATTGATTTTCGATTGATGCACGATATATGTATAAAACCTATAAAATTTTATATGAATATGATACTTAACTGGGTTCTATGAGTAAATAGCGTGTAAGCAAGACCTAATCCAACCAACGAGATCCGACAATAAAGACAAACCATCCCGTTTTGGGATATGATGAGTTTTTTTCGTTCTTATTAATGATCTAATGTGCATTAACGAGGTCATGCACTTTGGTAGGATATGATAACGCAAAAAGAAAGTTTGGAGAAAAAAAAAAAGGGGGTAAAGGAGCGTCTTCACAAATCGTACAAGGAACATCAGAAACAGAATCAAAAATTCAAAATGAGCGCAAAAGGGAAAATATAGAAGAAAAAAAATGTTGGGAATTAAAAGGAGAGAGGTTAAGATTTTGCATGTGATGGTCATGTGGGCGTGTGGGAACAATCTCTCGTATGTTCATGTGGGCGATGTACGTACCACATATGTTTTTTCTCGCACGTAAATGTTTTTTTGTTTTAATTAACTAACTATTGCATAGTCGGTATGAAAAATGATGATGCATAAGAAACTGTAGTTTGAACTATTAAAACCTCTGTGTCCAAATTTAAGCATTATATTTAGTTATTCAATTTAAACATTTTAAAATTTTGATATTTTCTTTGTATTGTTCGATTTTAAAAAATTGAGTTTTTCATACAGAGTTACGTGTTAAGATATATGGTTTGGTCTGGCAAATATAAATTTTTGGACTGGTATTCAATTTAGGTTTAGTTTTAGATAAAAGTATAATTTCAAATATAAAAAGTCTTTGGTCTCCTGTTTTGAAAACTTCATTTTGACTAATAGCTACTAAATTTATATCAAACAAAAATTCATCAACACAAAATATGCTGGCTGCAATTAAAAAATCAGTCGGAAAACTAAGAATGATAACATGAGTGGAAAAAAGTTGTGTGTTTGGGAAAATCATTTTAGGAAGCTCCCTAAATGACATTTTGGAGTTTGTTTCTTCTTCTTTTCTTCACGTACAAAATGAAGATGAATAGTACATTTTAGTTTTTTTTTTTGTTATTAGGATTATTCATAAAAAATAAAATAAATATGACAACAATAATATTAATTTCCATTCAACAATACATTAAATAGATTTAGAAAACACTCACAGTCACCTCGAGAAATCATACAAAAAAAAATCATACAAAAAAAATAAAACATACATATGACTAAATTTACGAAACCCATATTTTAAAGAGATTATTTAATTAAAGACTGGAGTCGAATAAAGTCTTTTAAGTGGCGACCCAAAACTGCTGCTGCTTCCAAGTAAGCATTGGTTTAGGCTCACGACCATTCTCCTTGCATCTGCTGCTTAATCTGCTAAACATTTTATTTCCATTTCTACCCTCCAATTTCTCACTATTTTCCTCCTCCATGCCCTCCTCTGTTTCTTCTTCTTCTTCTTCTTCTTCTTCTTCTTCCTCGTGATTGTGCCTAAGTAAAGAACTTTCCGGCGATAAACAGAGACGTAGCCTTCCTTCACCACGTTCCGCTACAAAGCAACGAGGCGGAGACGAAACCCTAATTGCTTGAACAACGAGACGACCATCTTCTCCTAACGATCTCACCATACGATTATACTTTGATCCTTCAACGAACTTTATCGGTGGCGGGAAACTTTTGTTGCGACTCATCGTTGATTTCTTAGCAAGAAAGTTAGCTTTTTCTTCTTCTTGAGGTTTCGGCTGAGGTGAAGGAGGAGAAGGAACCCAAGGAGTATTAGTTACTTCAAACGCAAGAAACGACAGCTCGTCACCACTCTCGCTGCCTGTTTCGGTCCCGAGACTCTCAGTGCACATTTCTAAGCTTTTCTCATTGAGCTTAGAAACAGAGCGTTTCTCGATCGGGTGAACATAGGCTTTATCCTCTCTGTTTCGGACAGTGGCAGTGATGTCGGACATAGATTGCAGGAAACTCAACCCACCCATGTCGCCTTTTTGATATTGATCCTTGGTGACGATTGTATCTTGAGCTTGACAAACAACAATTGACATTTTAGTTTTATGTTCTTGAGAAAAAAAACAGAGTGAAAACAGAGGATCCAAGGAGCGTTTTGTTATTGTTATTGAGATCTTTCAGTTTTTCTCGTTGGTTGGTTTTGATCAACGGAAACTTGGAGAGAGAGATATATATAGAGAGAGAGAAAATGGTTGGCTGAGTTAAAGAGGAAACTAAGAAAAGAGAAATGAATGTGAATGGGAAGAGGGAGGGAGGAAGAAGTATTTATAGGGGTGAGTCCACTAGGCATTGGATTCTTTTAGGCTTTTATTATTCTCAAACTTTCATGCATCATCATTAATCTTATAGTCTATTACTCCATCCAATTTTAAGTACTTCGCTTGGTGACTTGAAAATATGTATCATGTGGGGTTGAATCCTAATGATGATACAACATCGATACTATCATATAAACCACTAGATTACATATCTTGGACAACTATCGACAAACAAAAACATAAACTTTATAATAAATAACTAAGTGTTTTTTATTGTCTTGAAATCAATGACAAATTTCGATCACTAGTCTGATTCCACATAAGACTCCTTCACTATTCTACACAAAGCCACTACTCGTTTTTTCCTTTTCCCTATAGTCTTTTGTGTTTTGCATACGGATATTTTCGTATATCAAGTTTGTAATATAAGCTTTGACATGTGCTGTATTAACAACTAATTTAAAGGTTCTTAGAGGGAAGCTTAAAGAGAACACAAAAAGATGATACTTAAATATGAATTTTCCGACAAAAAAGATACTTAAATATGAATTTAGACATTTTAAACATTTACAATAGCCCTTAAACGCATATTCGTCCTATGGAGCGGTAGCACTATGAAAAATGACTTTTATATTTCTTGACACTCAATTTGATCGGTTAAAACTTAAAAGTTAAATACATCATTATTTTGTTATTTTATTTAGGAAGTAGGATTCAGTTTACCCCGGTTATTCTCACAAAAGTCACATCGTTTTGAATAATTTTGATACCTACATATTTTATGTATATATTTTTTTCCGAATAAGCCTATATGCTTTCCCATATTAAAGCTTCAATTTTAATTAATTCATTAAAACCGATAACTCAAAAGTCGGCCAGCTATTGTTTTTTGGCTGACCAATTCTTAACCGACCAAATTTTATAAAGTTACATCTTTATCTATTAACATAAAGAAACAAAAATTAAATTAAGTGAGTAAAGTTCTGATACTAAATAGCAAAATCCCAATATTGGTCTGTAAAAAGATGACAAAAAAAAAAACTTTTATGAAAGGAAAAAGAAAAAAAAAAGAGAAGCACCATTGTTGGGGTTTGTTGTGGCAGTAAACTTATGGTAATTTATTATTAGATAAAATATAGAGAGAGTAACCAGTTGAAGTTTATTTGTTGTGTCCTGATTTTTTTTTCCCAACATTGTTGTGTCCTGATTAAAAAGAATAAATGATATAATTTCAAAGCAAGAAATACTAAATTTAATTCGTAACATTTTAGTGAAAGCATCCTATTGAAGAGGCTCACCTAACCTATAGAGTTACTTGAGAAATTCTTTTTTTTTTTTAAGTTTTTTTCCACAACTTGTGGCTGTAACTTGATATTGTTGAAAGTTGAAACCACAACACCATCTACAAGAATCGGTGGGTTCTTTTGCATTCTTGTACGTCAGTATTCTTATAATAAATACATACTTTTAGGTAACGGATTTCCTTCAGGATAAAAACCGTGTCTAATATACCCAATGAAGATAGTTCTTTGGCTGAGCAAAAAGTCTTTAGAATAATATTTGTTATTTCTGGAAATAAATAATCATACAATGCTTTGCTAACCCATAAAGAAATATTGATTTGAAATGGAGAATGAATCACACAATCAAAAGAAATAACAGTTTTTTTTCCTTTAAAAAAAAAGAAAAGGGTAAATCAGAGCGCTGACTATTTGCTACTATTAATATACTAAAAACCAGCAATTTTCCGTTAAAAGAGAAATGAAAATGCAAAACCAAAAAGACTGAGATGACCTAAAAATCCTTATTGATGAAACTTTCAAGACCCAATAATTGAAGTCAAAGAAATTACAAAGGCAAGAGTTCCAAGTCTCCACCTTCCTGGGACCTTAAGCTACACTTCCAACTTGCAATAGTAATCCAAAGTGACATAAACCATAAATAACTTAATATAAAGATATACATGTATTTTCCTTGTCCGATACCAAACGATCTGGATATTACAGTGTATTTGGGTCTGCTTCGAAACATACTACTTACCGATCAATACTAGAAATCGCCGATGACCCGATATCAGTTTGATGTCCTAATCCTTGAGATTGTGTTTCCGATTTTGCAGCATCTACCATATGGATATCATATTGACAGTTTCCTAATACTTGTTGGTACATTGTAACGGGATTCAAAGAAAAAGTAAGTACAACATGCGAAAAACCGAGCTTTCTTCTTATGATTAATCTACACCTCCAATGTAATCAATTATTTTAAAGCATGTACGCCCTGTAATAGAAAACTTATGGGGATATGTTCCTGTCTTAACGTGTTTGAGAGCACGAATCAATGCTCGGGTTTAGAGATGATCCTCCTATAGTCTAAGCCCGTAGGTTCTCAAAGAAGTAACAAATGTAGGGTCAGTTAAGGAACATAGACAATAAGCATGTCTCATACTAGTAGAGGTAATCAGTAGTGACGTCTGTTAAAATTATTAAGTTAATGGAACACTACTTTAAAAAGCTACGGGTAGCAAAAGAAGTTTCCATTTCAAGTGAGGAAAACTTTTCAAATTTTCATGTGTTGTGAAAAACAAAAGTTTTTTGGTAATGAAATGTCGACAAAGCTTGCGATAAAAGCGTGAGTAGTAACTTAGTGCTAAGCTAGAATCTGTACCTTATTTTTCTCTCTCTCATCAGCCCTGACCATCCGAATTTTGCATTCGCCAATCGCTATTTTTCCGTGTTTTCCTCTTTTTAATTTTAGAATTGTCTAAATTCTAAACCAATCAGAAGAAGAGAAACTTCGAACCAAAAGCCAGAAAAAAGTGAGCTTTTTCTGCATCATCATCCCACTTCTGGTCCCTAAATGAATAGGACAATCCAAAGCTAGATCCTTTCAAATTTCTTAATTTTTTATATTATTTTTTATGTTGTTAGTCTATGTTAACTTTATGATCTTCAGCAACAAAGTAAGGTGGAATCTATTTCACGCTTACACAAAGACAGGTCAACTAGGGGTTTTCTCTTTCGCTAACTTTTGACCATACTTAATATTCTCTTTGTTTTTAATGAAATTAAAGGTTTGGTTATCAAGCATACATGTCATTAGTCAAAGCTATGACTTTGATTAGAAAATTAACAAGGAACCTATGGACAAGCTTTCATATAATGTTAGTCTGACGTTAATTCTTAAATATTTCCAGTATCAGGCATGAACTAAGGTTTATTCTCAATTTCTAGATTTTAAATTTTTTGAACCAATCCTTACCTAGAAAAGAAATTTATGCGCTTTTATCTTTAGAAATCATAGTTAGCATATGCTCAGAATTACTCTCCATGGAAGCCTATACTAAGAGTGTTTTTCTATTAAGTCACTTGATAAGTCAAAAGATTAGTACATTATTAATAAAAATAATGTGATATTTTAGAATGCAAAATAAGTTTAGATTATGAGCCTCTTTTGTTAACCAGATAGGTATAGATACGAGCCTTACTTATCTATAAAATAGAATCGATCATGGGCTTGCTGTAAGAAAACAGATAATGGATTATGGGCCTTTTTATCAAATTTTAAAACATAAAAAAGAAATCTGGGCTTTTGACTAGAGCCGGGACTGTACATGAAGGTTATCAATTTCAACTTCCAGCAAATGTAATCTACTTCTCATGTCTGATAGTTTTTTCTGGATGCCTAATAGACGATCAAGTCTTAGCTGAGCTTCTTCTCGGTAAGGCTTGGCGACAATATTCACAAAGTTTACTAGATTATTTGTCGCATCTGAAAGATCCTTTTGCATAGCATCTTCGAGCTGTTGAGCCAACGCATCAGCCACTTTATTCACCTTACCAATTATAGCTTGTCTACGATATGGGAAGTTTGCTATAGCCACATATCTGCCACATAGATTATGTCATAGTAAGGTTGTTTTGTTTTTCTTAACACATCATAATATGCGTTTGGGGGTTGCAAGAGAAAAACTACACGAGGCGACATTGATAAAAGAAGGTGGAGTAATGAGACAATGGGAAAAAAGGGGGAATTCAGAGAAGTGTTATTACCCTCCAGCGGAGCAAAGGCCAAGAGCAAGAAGATCTTCCAGTGTGGTGGGTAGCACTGAGGTTAGAAGTGATGCAGAGAGTCCCGCAGCTCCAAGCCCACCAACTGTCACAAAGAACTAGAGAAGGCAAACAAAACTCAATCATGTCAAACGAATCAGTTAAATTGATTCTTGAATAACCTAACGAAGTATCTGGGAAATTGAGAAACTGAATAAACATGTCCTTTAGATTGAACAGATGACAAAAATACCAATATTCATTTGAATCGACTGAATTCCAGTTAGAACAATTAAGTAATTATTACTTGAGACTCACCACTTCTCGAATATCTTGTTCCAATTGTTTTGATGTGGTTCCGGCACTCAAGTTCTGTATTGTTTTCAAGCTGAATTTATCAGTTTTCCGAAGCAAGTCATATGTGTCTATGCCCAGTTGAGTTTTTGAATTGACATATTTTGGCCATTTGTTTTCAAATGATTTTAGAAGCAGACTCCCTTCACGGGCAGTATTTGATTGTAGCCATTCAGCATATTTGCCAAGCAATTCCTGCACACCAGTAAGATGTAATAATTAGATGTTCAAACAGACAAAAGGTAATGATTACAAATACAAGGCAACGTCAGTAGCCAAAAGAAAAGTCAATTTCCTAGGGCTAGAAACCCGTAACCAGCTAACAGGTCACAACAAGACAAGATTGGACATTATTAAGATTATGCATGAATATAAAGTATATATCTCAAACCTCAAATAGATGATCGACATGTTCACAGTTACGACATTACTTAAAGAATAAAGCATCAGACTTACTTGAGCATTTAAGAGTGCTGGAGAGAGTATTTCACCGTGAACTTTGGATGTAGCTGCTACTGAGGCTGAGTTTTCACCTTTAAACACGTAAGAGAAAGCTAGATCGAGACTTGATAGCCGTAGGGTAGTTCCTATTAGATCAACAACTTGTAATCTGGCATTATCAATCTGAAATTATAGTCAGAGGATAAACACACAGAAAAGCCAAGTCAGAACAATCCAACTTCCTCCTACGTGATTCAACAAATGTATCTAATAGAGATTTATACCAACGAGAGTGCCTGCCTTCTCCAAGAAATGCTCTCATATTCCATTTTAAGCGCGTAATCTTTAGCACGATTTATAATCTTGTCTGCTGAAGCCAAATCTTCCCTAGCAGCTTCGCAATCTTGTCTCACAAGAGACTCCACAGAAGAAAGGAGACGCTCTGCAATCGCAATCGGTGTCTCCAATTTAAGCCTTATTCTCTCCATCCCCGTAGCAGTTGAGCTATCTAAGAAGCTGTAAAGAAATTTCTCAAATTCATTGAAGCTCTGAATTCTCCAATTAGAATCAGGATCCGAGACCTCTAGATCATCTTTGCCTACCAAAGATGCTGTTGAAAGTTTCGCCTCAAGAGCAGATCGCGCGGACATTGGATACAATATCACATTTTCTGTATTAAGCAACTTCCGCGTATTCTCCTTAACAAATGAGATAGCTTCCTCAAGCTGCATCAGAAAAATATAAAACTGGTCAAACAAAAATTCAAGACAACAGAAACTATGAAGAAAAGGACATAAATATTGTTTCTGATAAACCTCACGAGCATCACGGTAGATGTCAGATTTATTCAGGATGAACAAAAATTTCTTTTTCCACTGCTGGGTATAACGGAGAAAACCAACCTGGCAAAAACAATGAAATATGCGTCAGCCTACAATACAATAATGATTGCAGGAAGCTGCAGAGGTAAAGATAATTTAAAAATATTGTAAGTACAAGTAATCTTAGTATTAAATCATACAATTACGACGCAACAGGAACTTAGGAGGCAGACAGAGAAATGAAAGGGACATGATATTGGGACGCTGGTTCCCAATTTGTGAACTTCTACAGATTTTCAAGAATAAAATCAAAAGACTATCTACAAAGTCAGTTTAAAAACATATCTACAAACTTTAAAAAATATCACTTTTTTCATACAATTTGCCACAGATACAAGATTTTTTTTTTGCTTTACCAATAAACAAACCACCTTTCATGTGTCTTCAAGCTTTACCAGAATATGGACCAAAAGGACATACTGTTGCCGGAAATAGCAAACACATCCTTGACTTGATAAGATAATTAGCGCATTTCAAAATTTTAAAAATTGCATTTAACTTAGTGACAGCTTCCCCTACACTACAAAATGTCTTGATGGTCGATACATGACTTTACCAATTACTTTCATTTTAACGCAGATTTCACCAGCTGCTTAGGCAGATATATGTTGAAAAAAACCAACAATAATTAACATGCCAGGAAAAAACAATAACCTCTACCTCACTTTCGGTTAAAGGACGATCAGCAGAAAGAACGAAAATAAGCAGATCTGCACGTGGAACAAATTCTTCGGTAAGACGTTGTTGCCTTTGAAGGATTACATTGGTCCCAGGTGTGTCAACGATATTTATCTACTCGAAAAGAGAAAACCCGAAATCAATAGATAAGTAGAAAAATTCAGGACTGCGATGGAAGAATGTCGAATGACTTACATCCTTAAGTATTGGTGCAGGAAGATAGCAGATGTATTGGCCGTCTGGATGCCTTTGGCAACGTTGTTGCTCTTCAGATTCCAAGTCAGAGTAACACAGTAAAGTGATTTCATTGGTAGTGGGGACTACCCCCTCTTTGAGGTATCTCTTCCCAAGAAGTGCATTGATAACCGTTGATTTTCCGGAGTTAAATTCCCCCTAGTACCACCACAAATAAGGATTCTAATAAAATGCTTATCCATACACAATACTAGTTCGAATCATAAAAGCAAATCGTCCTGCATTAAACATTTTCCAAATCTAAAACACCATGTAATGCTTCAAAAGTTACACAAAACAAGGTGATGATTTCTACACTCTTCTAACAACCAAATAGCTAGGAGAACCATAATACTCACAAGTCACAAGAGAGCGAAAAAACTATGTCCTTGAGCAGATAGTTCAGTTAAGAAATTGCAGTTCCCCTATAACCAGACCAAAAGCAAAAAAGGAATAGAAGCGTAGACAGAGAGAAAGAAGGATCGAAAACATCAGAATAACTTCTAGACAGCACAGTATGAGAAGAACAAAAGAGGAAGTGACTAGAAGCATGTGCATTGTCTAGTAAAAATCTATCTCAAGCTATCTAGTGCTGGCAAATGTGTGTAGCCAAAATGTCTTTCATGAATAGAGCTAATACCAATGCATATTCCTGGAACCACAATTTGACGGAGTTGAGTGCAGAATTACCACTATAACCATTAAAAAGGGCTCATCAATCCGGGAAACTGCATCAATCAGAAGGGAGACTTCTTCCATCTGTAATTGGAAAAACAGTCCAAGTAGCTAATTAAACTTATATTATAACCGCAGAAAATCTAGTTTAGAACCATTTCACAAAAACTGACTTCAACTACCAAATGTTTTAAATAAAAATCACCAGTGGAGCCGCCTTCTGGATAATTTCAATTGTCTCTTTCAACACTGATTTCTCCATTTCTATTATTTGTTTCTGCTTGTCCTCTAGTTTTATGAAGCCAGCAGAATTCTTTTTCTCATGCAGGTCACTTGTAGCCTCAGCCAATGGTTTTTCCTTAAGGATGGTTTCATTCTTATTCTTTGTTTCGTGATTCACAGCATAAGGTCCGTCAAGACACTGGCGAAGAGCAACATCCCTAGAAGAACGCAGATCTTTCAACGAAATAACAAACCCAGAGGCGCCTGATTTCAGTAACTGCAATTCGTCTTTTGCTTCTCCTTTGCTTCCGCAAGTCACAAAAATCGGTATTTTCACGCTCTTCGACAAAGAATCTGCCAATACAGCCACTTGTTTATCTTCACCAGATGCAATTATAAGGAAATCAGCACCTTCAGAGCTTGAGGCACCTAGAGCAGAATCAACATCTTTCACAATCCTAGCTACCAAAGGTAGAACTACCGAGTCGGGATTAGAACCCATCAATGTGTTTCTTGCCACTATCGCCGGAAGACCTGCACATAGCATTTGGAGACACCTCATCCGAAACTGCACACAGAAAGCTAAAATTTGAATGAAATTGCAGAAATTAGTATCACCTTCGTCGGAGAGAGCAACACCACTGGCACCAACGGCCGTGGCGATATCAACGCGTTCGGCGATCAAGAGGTAAGCACGGCCCTTGACAAGTGATTTAAGTAAACAAGCTGCCTCGTAGAGCCTACCGGCGGTGGCTCCGCCATCAAGCACGACGATTTGGACCGATTTGGCTAAGGCACGGTCCACCAAATCAAGAGTCTCATCACGATTCCCGCTCATAATCTCATCCGCGTCGATCCGGAGAAGTAAACCGGGAACAGCGAGTTCGGGACGCTTGTAACCGCCAGGATAAAGAGTTCGCGGCCTAGAGGGAGAAGACTGATCGGCGGATTCATGCGAAACGTTTTTGATCGAGAGAGAAGAGATACGCCTATGACGTGGAGGAGAAAAGGATGACGAAAGTAACCGACCGCACCGGCGTGGAAACGGCGGAGATGCGGCGGAAAATATTAACGGTGACGTCACACATTGCCGGTGAGGGACTAGAGTTCTCATGGGGGAAGAGAGAGAGTGAGAGAGATTTCTTCTGTGTTTCTGATTAGTTTCCTTATCTCTTAAAAGGCCCATCCGAAACTATTAAACGGCGCGATTAATTATTTCAAAACATATGTTTATTTATTAAATTAAATTAAATTTAACATTTTTGTGAAAACAAAATAAAATAAGAGAGCAAATAATTTAGGTACGAAACGACTGTCAACATAAAACATCATCATCTGAGGATTTTTCTGATGCAATAAGGAACATACAGTCTTTTAACCCTTATGAAGTGAGCAAGAAAAGGGTCTTAATCATACTCCAATTCATCAGGTGTGATGGGTCTCTTGAGAGGAATCACAGACTTTTTATCTACATCTCTTGATAGTGCCTTCCTCATATCTGATTATTGAGATCAAACCATTTTTAGTATAATCTACACAAGGTGAAAAGAAAAGTAAAGGCCATCAAAAGAAACCTTACCTAATCCGTCTTCTTCTCCTGAATAATAGCGTAGAACCCGCCTATAGATTATATAACCAAGCTGCGAAAAAAAAGAGAGAGAGCCAGTTTGTTTTATTAATATGAATCTGATATAATGAAGAAACCACGAAGGCGTTTTGACAGTAAGAAACGGATATATGCAAATTGTGTGTCTCGTTTGAAAAGTTATGAACTGTTTTCTTCACGATGTCATTAAGAATATGCTTCTAATCATTTCAATAACCCTTATATTTTACCTTTTCATACATCTTGATGGCTGGTGTGTTAGAAGCTCTCACGAACAGATCCACAAAGTAAGCTTTATCACTGTGAACAAGAGTAAAATGGTCATTAAGGAGACCAGAAATCATTAGAGAAGATAAATCAAACAATTACAGGCAGAGAGCTACGGTGAGCAAGTTAAGAGTTTTCTTCCTTTCACAAAATTCAAGTAGTTGCCATCTTTTGTTCAATCATAACACTCCATATCGAATAGAACACTAAAACTGGAAATGCCTTTGTTTCTGTTAGGTCTTACATCTTATCACTGATATCTTCCAAAAGGTTCATCAGTTTTTTTGCGAGTTGTTGCCTCCGATACTCTGGAGAAACAGTGACAGCTGTCACATGACCATGCCAGGATTCACCCTGCCCTTCAACTTTACCCATAACTGAAACCATACAAAACAGTAGACCCATGCATTTAAAATGAATACAGGTTGCGCAAAGAGAAGAGGTTATACATTTATAATCTTGCATACAGCACTAGTATCTAGGTTTTGTATAATAAAGGGATCATTCAGAAACAACCAGCGAAGCCACTTACATGGATGGATTCTCAAAAAGATCAACCACAATATTTCAGAAATACAAAAAGTACTTTCCAATCTTGCTAAACGTTCACAGGCAGTAAAATCCAAAAGTCTAGTTTTGCTCTTAGTCATTTCAATGGATTCACTAAGCTTCCAAGGTCTATTTTCAAACAAAACCACAAAAAAAGGAGCAAACACAGGTATGAATTTTTTCGACCCCTCTCCACATTCAAATTTTTTGATATTGCAATTTGATTTGAATCTTTGTGGTGTTCTGTTTCTAGTGGTTTCCCAAGCAATTCACATCTCAAACTAGCAATTTGTGGCATAAATATACTACAAACATTGAAAAACAGAACAAATTTGAACCTTAATATAACTCATAACTCATTCTACGGACATTCAGAACAATCAGGATTCATATAGAAAAACCACCAACTACAGAAGCTAGAGCTAATAGAAGTATGATAGATAATCTACTTTCCAAATTTAGCCGAAGGTGACGAGACACCAACCGAGATAGCTGACTCAAATCTGATTAAACTCTTTTACATCAAACAAGAAAGAACCATTTGTAAATAACAAAAAGAATCTCCTCGCAAACTCTAAAACTCCATCCAGTCTATATTCGAATGTCTGTAAGTTTAAACCTAAAAACAAACGCAATCTCCACGAATTCACATTCCCAAAGCAAACGTGGAGACGAAGATCAAAACGAATGAGAAAAGAGAAAAGATTACTTACTATAACCCATGACACGATTTCCGGGACCTTCAGCAACATGGAAATAGTCTGGCCATCTAGCTAAGTAGGTCATGTAGAAGGACATGTTGAACTGTGTCACGAAAGAAACTTTTAACAAATCAACAAAATCGCTACTGCAAAATCAAAAATTTTCAGGCAGACCCAATGATAGCGATAATGATGGATTACTGTTTCAGTGAGGTGGTCGAGATTGACGGAGGTGAACCGGAGAAGGTCATTGCAGCTGAATCTACGTATCGTCGTCATCTTCCTTTCGCAAATCCCTTTTGAGTTTCCTCGGATTTCTGGGAAAAAGAAAGAGCGAGAACAACTAACAACGAAGCTATTCAAATGGGCCAACTAGAAAATCTTGTAAAGCCCTATAAGATTTTGAGCCCAAGAGAAGGATGACGTCATATATAAAATTATTATTTTTGTTTATACATCGGGAAAAAATACACGCAGGTTGCAATAATACCCGTCGTTGCAACCATCGGAGATAGAATCCGATCCTCGGCGGCGGTTGAGAAAACTCTCTAATGGATCTGCTCAGGGAAGAAATTCTGAAGAAACGGCGGAGTCTGGCTGAGGAATCTGGTGGTAAGAAGTTCTTCAAGCGATCTGAGATCGAGCAGAAGAAAATCCAGAAGCTTCGAGAGGAAGAGCGACGCGAGCAGGAGCTTAAGGCCCAGCGGAGAGCCGCCGCAGCCGGTGGAGGTGGAAAATCATCCGGTGATTCATCTGCTCCTGGTTCTTCTACGGCATCGGCATCTGCGTCTTCCAAGTCCTCCGCATCGGACGCGGCTGCTATCGCTGATTCCAAATCCCTAACCGACGAGAAAAACATCGAAAACCTAGCTCTACCGAGGCAGGAAGTGATTCGACGATTGAGAATCCTAAAGCAGCCGATGACTCTGTTCGGGGAGGATGATCAGGCGCGGCTCGATCGACTCAAGTACGTGTTGAAGGAAGGGTTGTTCGAGGTGGATAGTGACATGACTGACGGGCAGACGAACGATTTCTTGCGTGACATATCTGAGCTGAAGAAGCGTCAGAAGAGTGGTATAATGGGCGATAGGAAGAGGAAGAGCAGAGACGATAGAGGGAGAGATGAAGGTGACAGAGGGGAAACGAGGGATGATGAACTCAGTGGTGGTGAGTCGAGTGATGTTGATGCTGATAAGGATTTGAAGCGTTTGAAAACTAACTTCGAGGATCTATGCGACGAAGACAAGATCCTTGTCTTCTACAAGAAGCTATTGATTGAATGGAAGCAGGAGCTTGATGCCATGGAGAACACCGAGAGGAGAACTGCCAAAGGAAAGCAGAGTGTAGCCACTTTTAAGCAGTGTGCTAGGTATCTAACTCCTCTCTTCAACTTATGCAGGAAGAAGGTACAAAAATCCCTTTCCTTTTCCTTTTTCTATAAATTCTTGCTTTTGCTTGCTGTTCGGGTGTGAAAATTCTTGCTTTACTTAATGTGTTAAGGTAGCATATTGTTATCAAGATTGTATCTAACTTTATGTAATTGGAAGAAATAGACTATCTCAGTTCTAGCTAATAAGCCTACAGAACTATGATGATTTAACCTAGTTTGGATAGGAACACAGATGCACTACGTCTAGGTTCCATTAGTTTGGGTACATTTGGCTTCAGATATGGTGACAAGAACGAGTTTTCAATAATTCTAATCCTACATAAACATTTAGAACGTAGAATAGCAAGTAGCAATCTGTTTCTTTAGTAACTCTCTAGCACCTTGAATTTGCCATTGAGGCCTATATTATTTCCATTTAGTAACTTTATAAGATTGGGCGGAAAGCAAGTTTCTCTCTTTCCGTCTTATTATAGGGTTAATATACTTTGGTTTACATTGAAGTGTTGTGAGCTTTCCTGTGTTTAATGTTTCTGTGATGGCTTTACAAATTTGCAGGGTTTGCCAGCTGACATTCGCCAAGCTTTAATGGTGATGGTTAACTACTGCATAAAGCGAGACTACCTCGCTGCAATGGACCACTACATCAAACTAGCCATAGGGAACGCACCATGGCCCATCGGCGTGACTATGGTTGGTATCCACGAACGTTCAGCTCGAGAGAAGATTTACACAAACAGTGTTGCTCACATCATGAACGACGAAACCACTCGCAAGTATCTTCAGTCAGTTAAAAGATTGATGACTTTCTGTCAAAGACGATATCCAACTATGCCTTCTAAAGCCGTCGAGTTCAATAGTTTAGCCAACGGAAGCGATCTACAGTCGTTGCTTGCTGAAGAGAGATTCTTTGGTGGTAATCGCGAACATGTCTCAGAGGAGAGACTCCGCCTCATGCCTTCCCAGAACGAAAGCTAGTGTTACCGTTTCTGCTTTGCTGTGTTTTTGTTGTTTTAAATATTTTGTCAGATATTATGAAACGTTGACTTTGTGATCTTTTTTTTTCTCGAGTCGTATGATGGATTATGGATTATGGAGGTGGTTACCAAAACCGTAACCGAAAACGACGTCGCCTAGAGATGTTGTAAGAGTAAGAGAGGAATCAAAACTTGTAACCTTATTGGTCCAAATAATGTGATCACCTTATCTAAAAATGTTCGATTCTCATCAACTCTCACTTTCCTATCAGATTCGATTAAGCCATTACTCATAATTAGAACAAAAATATTCGGAGAAAGGAAAAACAAAGGAGATGGCAACTCAAGCCGCCGGAATCTTCAGCCCCGCCATACCAATCGCCGCTTCCACCGTCAAGAAACTCCACCATTTCTCGACAACCCACCGACCCAAATCTCTCACATTCCTCAAAACAGCAATCCGCGCCGAAAAAACAGAGTCATCTGCCCCAACCGTGAAAGAAGCAGCTCCGGTTGGATTCACTCCGCCGCAGCTAGACCCAAACACGCCATCACCGATCTTCGCCGGAAGCACAGGAGGTCTTCTCCGTAAAGCCCAAGTCGAAGAATTCTACGTCATCACATGGAACTCACCGAAAGAACAAATCTTTGAGATGCCGACAGGAGGCGCGGCAATAATGAGAGAAGGACTGAATTTGTTGAAACTGGCGAGGAAAGAACAGTGTTTGGCATTAGGTACGAGGTTGAGATCCAAGTACAAGATCAGTTACCAGTTTTACAGAGTCTTCCCTAACGGAGAGGTTCAGTATCTTCACCCGAAAGACGGAGTTTATCCAGAGAAAGCGAATCCAGGAAGAGAAGGTGTTGGTCTAAACATGAGATCCATCGGCAAGAATGTTAGTCCCATTGAGGTTAAATTCACAGGGAAACAATCCTATGATTTGTAAGATTTCTTATTCGTATTTCAATTAACGTTGGTCAAACAAACAACCAAAATTCTGTGAATTCTTGTGAATGTTTATACAATCCTTTGAGTATGTAATCTAAACAAAGTATAATTCTTAACGTCAAAAAGCAAACTAATATAAGCAGAAACAATACAAACGACAGGATATATATTTTGAAGTTATCGTTACTCTGAGCGTCACAAAACAACAGTACATAATAATAAGCCGAAAACAATTTGGGAAAGATGCAATCATTGTGTGGTTTTCTTATCATTTCTGGTTCTTTTTCTGAACTCTCTCTTCTCTTCAGAGTATTGCTTCTTCATTAAAAGGCTAGACATTGCTTCTCTCACTGCTTCTGCTGCAGCACTCATCACACTCTCTTCTATTGCAACTTTACCCTGCAACTGCTCCAACAGTTTTGACCCTCCAGGGATCTGCTCATCTTCAAGGATTGAAGATGGCTCCGTCTCCACCAACGAGATGGCCCGAACCCTTGAAAAACCAGGGTGGTTCGAACCAGGTAGGTTCGAGGCTCCTGATACCATCCATAGTAACCTTGTAGATGTGCTTACAGAGATACTTGTGGGAATGAAACTTTCTCCAGGGATTTTTATCACCTACAAGATAATTACAAGGTTAAGCTATGGTTCTGCTGATATTACAGGATTTGCTAATAAGTGTCATACCTTTGTGATAGAGAGAGTATGGGCTAATAAATCACAGCTTAACAACAATGTTCCTTGAAAGCTGCGTTTTACAAATATAGAAGTAGTCAAACATCTGATATCCTAAAGAAATGTATGCTGGCTAAAAATTAGGACTTGCCTTTGGATAGCCACTGCTGCAAGAGAAGAATTTGAGATAGTGCATATATCCGTTACTGTGACTTGTGCCGGCGGCTCGCTTTCATTAGATTCGGAATGTCCTGTCTTCAATGAGCAAAGAGCAATAAAAAATAAACCAGTTAGTTCTCTAACGAATGTCGAAGAAGATACATAACCAAGTGTTCAATGTGACAAATTGAAAGAAGAATATAAGACTGAAATTTCTACCAATGTAGTAATTTCGCATGTGTCGAGAAGAGACCCGGATGTAATATCCCACAGTCGAACCTACAAAATTCAGTATCGATAAGGAGTCAAGCACTAACTCGCTAGTCATACGATACATGAATGGAAACTTTTACGATCACTTACAGTTGAATCTCCACTTCCAGACATGAGGTATCCTTGGGTAAGCTCTGGATTCCAGACAAAGGCTATGCAGGTGATAAACCTTTTGAGTATTTAAGACAACATGTAAAGTGAGCTGTTAAGTAATCAATCTTTGGTTACAATCTTGTTTCTTTTGTAAACAACACTCGATAAACAACCTAGAAACCAAGCATTTAGGATGCAAAACCTGAATATTTGTGACGAAATTACATGTTGCTTTAAACTCTCACTTACTCTGTATGTCCAAGACAAAAGCTCTGTATTTCATGAGCCCCTTCTAGAGGCTTCTTAGGAAAAACCGTTACCTATGATGGCAAACGTAATCACTCACGATAAGAACAATCCGAGCAAGACAGGCATGACATTGTACATCAGTGGATTAGACTAGCTTACCCTTATCTTAAAGTCCCGATCTGCACTAAGAATATATCGACCATCTGGGGAGAACTCCTATGAACAAGAACAGACAGATTCAGTGATAAAGTAAAGTAAAAAAACTTGAGCTTTATATAAGAACGAGGCTGGCCTATTGACAAAACTTTATCTTACCAGGCTAGTAATAATACTACAATAATGGGAAAGCAGCGGCGCACCCTTTTTACTAGGTAAGACTTCACCCTCATTGATCCCATCAAGCTCGACCACCCATACAACACCAAACTTGTCCGCATAGCAAACATGTGAATCATCGCTGCTTATAGCAACTGCGCTGACTCTCTTCTCAGAGCATCTGGAAATGTTAAGATTATGCAATTTGAGATAAGCATAAAGCCGGTTTTGGAGAAAACTAGAAGTAAAATGGTTGATACTAATAGTAAAAATGAATCCAATTTATCGTAGTACTGCAAAAATGCTTATGATATGGTGTTACCAACTTACACGGTGTAAAGGCAGCGCCAAGACTCTGCAGACCAAATCTTAACGAGCTTGTCATCCCCTGCAGACACGAAAAGCTTTCCACTTGCACCATAGCGAATAGCTCTAATGGAATCTTTGCGGAAAGGCCCATCAGATTCATCCACCAAATTAACAGCACAACTCTCTCTGTCCATAAAAAACATTCAAAAAAGCAATTGGTTATTACTGTACTTGAAAAAATAAATCGACAAGGTTTAAATTTCACAAAGCCACATGATGAGAAGATTCAGGGTTACCGGGTCAAAAAAAAAAAAACATAAACCCAATTAACACTTCAAAAGAGAAATGTCTGAATTTGAAGGAATCAATGAGCTTACATAAGATCGAATACACGAAGATCCGACCCGACAGTGACAGCGACAGATTTCTGAGATGGGTGAACGGATATCAATGCAGGAGCAACCTCGAATTTATTCTGGCTTTCTCCTTCTTCTATGTGAGATTCTTCCATTGTTACACAGCGTAGTTTTAGGGTTTAAGCAGTTGGCGAAAAAAGCCGCCACAAAATAGAAATCGATGATTTTATATATTTGCAACTGTTTGGATGTTAGTCTAATCGTTTTCTCTCCTCAGATCAGATGCGCGTGGGAAAGACTGCTTTCAGTTATTTTGGGCACGCTAAATTGGGCCGTAAACCGAAAGCTTTAGCTAATGGGCCTTTGCACGATTTACGGCCTTGTTCGGATATAGTAACTCGGTTAGTATGATCGATTAGGGTTTTTTATTGGTCATCAAATGATTAATCATGTCACAAGTCACAAGTCACAAGTAGTATGTATACAACGATGTTTTTATCGACCGGTGATAAAGTGGTACAGTAGAAAATAATGATGAGGTAATTAAAAGCACTAAAGTTTGAAGGTTTGATAGATGCTATTATATATTAGCGAGAAACAGAGCAATTGATACTAAGGACAAGACGATCGCATTTCTGTTGGACGTGCTTTCATTACTCCATGGAAACGTCTTCGGTCCTGTTTCCAAATCTCACCGATTGGTCAGACCCAAAAGAATATGAATTTTAAACAGTATATTTTCTTCTATAAGAAAAAAGGTTATGTTATAGAGTATATATATTTTGTATACTGTACCTGATGGTGAAAGTGCACTCTGAGGTGAATCTACCGGAGAATACGCCGGAGACGTGGTTGGTCCGTTGCTTCCGGCTACCATAACATAGCTTTAGGGCATTATTTTTTTTTTTTTTTTAAGTATGATAAGAATACGAAGTGGAAATCTATGTTATTTCTACAGTGGTTTTTTTATAGTTGACTTTTTTTTTTAATTACCATTACACTGACTGGCCGATGGAGTTTGCACATCACAAGCGGTAGGGAGATTGAGAGCCAAAGTCCGGTTAAAGTTAAACCCTGAGATTGAGCTGTCGTTGCTATTAACCACTAAGCACAAACACTCCGGTGAAGACTGAACCACCGTGGAAAATTGAGTGCAGCAATAGGAAGTAGGTGATGATGAGCCACCAGTGATGTAATCACGACAAGGGGAAAGGCTGATCAGAGTGCCGCTGCATCCAGACTGAGCCGTGGTGGCTTCACCGTTTAGAACGGTGGCTACCAGAAGGACCAGGAACGTAGGATTCATCATTTTGCTTTAGGGGTTTTTTGGCAATATTTTGAAACTCTTTTTGAGTGTTTAATTTTTATGTTTGGAAACTATATTGGAGTTCGGCCATTAGGGTGATACTTATAACGAAGTTAAAATCCGCTTTGTTTAGACTTGGATCAACCTGAATATATGCATTGCTTTTAGGAATTAACTTGTGTGTTTATGTGTGTTTGTTAAACCAATATAGCGTTACCATTATAAATTAATGAGACCAAGCTAACTAGCTAATAATAGCAAAATTTCAAACTTGTTAAATGTTACTAGACTTACAGTTGGAACTAATGAAATAAATAAGCACATTTTCGTTCCAACAATTAAGTTTTTTAATAAATTTGATAATTTGTTGGTTTGAGTTTTTTTTTTTCAAAAATAAATCTACCATTTTTTTATCTAGACGTTAAGTATGATATACACTATACAGTAGTTCGCTTTATTTGACAAATTGCTTTTTAGAGAATTGCTTTACGCGATGAATAGGCCAAGACCAAGGTATTTGTTCGGTTAACCAAATTTATGAGTTTTATAGTCTAATCCTTGATTTGTGAGCTAAACCCAGAAATGAGCTCTCTTCGCATCTGTCATCATCATCAATCGCATATGTGAAATTAAGCTTTTGTTAGCCGCCTGCTCAGGAAAGCCTTTGTCTTTCGTCCTAATCTCCCCTTCGTGTCTGTGTTTTGCTTCGTTCTGCACCCTGTAGATTGTTCATTTCGCACCCCCCACTTGTTCGATGAAATGACTGAGAGAAAGTAGAACACAGTTTCCTTCAGTTCTACATACCAACTGAGAAGCTTCAAACTTGGTCTGACGAATCGAAGAACGAAAAAGAAAGATGCTGTCATGGAGAAAAACGAAGCTTCAGGCTGTTTCAGTTCACCAGTGTCGTTTTAGTTCTCTGTTTCGTCGAGTCCTCGTTGACGCCATTGAAGTTAAAGGTACTCAGTCTCAAGCTTCTTTGCAACATGGTTTGGCATGTACAACTGTTCTGTCTAATGTAAGAAACCGCAGTGTGTTATCTAAGCTTCGTACTAGTACCAGGTTCGATGTATGGTCTATAGACAGAACAGAAGCATTTTCGACAATTTCTGGATCTATATTGCTTCAAGCCAGGGATCCTGCTAAACTCAATGAAGAAATTCAAATTGCAGTTGATCAAAATAGATGTGATGAGGCTTGGAGGTTGTTTGAACAGCATATGCAAATGGAAGGGTTCCCGCGAAAATCTGTTGTTAACAATGTTTTGGTTTGTTTTGCTGAGAGTCTTGACTCAAACTGGCTACAAAAGGGTTACAGTTTAGTGGAAAAAGCCTTTGAGGAGAGTAAACAGAATTTGCTAGAGAAGGAACCTCTTGTATATCTCTCCTTGGCTCTCGCCAAGTCAGGCATGGCTGTTCCTGCATCAACGATCTTGAGGAAGCTTGTTGAGACAGAAGAGTATCCTCATGTGAGTGCTTGGTCAGCAGTGTTGGCGCATATGTCTCTTGCGGGATCAGGAAGTTATCTATCTGCTGAATTGGTTCTTGAGATTGGTTACTTGTTTCTGAATAACAGAGTTGATCCACGGAAGAAGAGCAACGCACCTTTGCTCGCGATGAAGCCTAATACTCAGTCGTTGAACATTGCGTTGGCGGGTTGTTTGCTGTTTGGGACAACACGAAAAGCTGAACAGCTTTTAGATATGATACCGAAGATCGGTGTTAAAGCTGATGCTAACTTGTTGGTGATAATGGCTCACATATATGAAAGAAATGGGCGGAGAGAGGAACTGAGGAAGCTCCAAAGGCATATAGATGAAGCTTGCAACTTAAATGATTCTCAGTTTTGGCAGTTCTATAACTGCTTGCTTATGTGTCACCTCAAATTCGGGGATCTCGAATCTGCGTCGAAAATGGTTCTAGAAATGCTGAGAAGGGGTAAGGTAGCAAGGAACTCACTTGGAGCCGCCATTCTTGGATTTGACACTGCAGATGATGATAGATTAAATCTCAGAAAAGTTTCTGGAAAATTATCAGAGGTTAAAGAACACGATAATCCCGTAGCGTTTTCTATTCGCAGTATGATTCCATATGAAGAGTTCTTTAAAGACAGGAAATTTTCGAAACTTGAAGCCGAGGCAAAGGATGTTCTTGGTGGATTGTTGGCTAAGTTGCATGTACAAGTCGAATTGATTACCTCGGAACGCGGTGTTCTGCAACCGACAGAAGAGATTTATGTGAAATTAGCAAAGGCATTCCTGGAAAGTGGGAAGATGAAGGAGTTAGCGGAGTTTCTGTTAAAGGCAGAACATGAAGACTCCCCTGTTTCTAGTGATAACTCGATGCTGGTGAATGTTATCAACGCGTGTATTTCTCTAGGAATGTTGGATCAGGCGCATGATCTACTCGACGAGATGCGTACGGCTGGGGTAAGAACCGGTTCTTCGGTTTATTCTTCGCTCCTCAAAGCTTACTGCAACACAAACCGAACTAGAGAAGTGACATCACTCCTTAGAGACGCGCAAAAGGCAGGAATTCAATTAGACTCAAGCTGTTATGAGGCTTTAATCCAGTCTCAAGTGATTCAGCACGATACTTATGGAGCTCTCAGTGTGTTCAAGGAGATGAAAGAGGCAAAAATACCAAGAGGCGGAAATCAGCAGTTTGAGAACCTCTTAAAGGGTTGCGAAGGAAACGCAGAGGCGGGACTAATGTCGAAACTCTTGAGAGAAATCAGAGAAGGGCAGAGTTTGGATGCTGGTGTTCATGATTGGAACAATGTGATCCATTTCTTTAGCAAGAAAGGTTTGATGCAAGATGCAGAGAAGGCATTAAAGAGGATGAGAAGTCTCGGGCATTCGCCGAATGCTCAAACGTTTCATTCTATGGTCACAGGTTATGCAGCCATTGGCAGTAAATACACAGAGGTCACTGAACTTTGGGGAGAAATGAAATCCATAGCCGGAGCGACTTCATCAATGAGGTTTGATCAGGAGTTGCTCGATGCTGTGCTATATACGTTTGTTAGAGGCGGATTTTTCTCCCGAGCTAACGAAGTTGTGGAGATGATGGAGAAAGATAATATGTTTGTTGATAAGTACAAGTATCGGATGCTCTTCTTGAAGTATCACAAGACTGCTTATAAAGGCAAAGCTCCAAAAGTTCAGAGCGAGTCTCAACTCAGGAAGAGGGAATCTGGTTTAACATTCAAGAAATGGCTCGGTCTATCTTGATTATTATTGTAATCACCATTGTAGTGTACTAATAAGTTACCTTTAATCTCGAGCCGCATAGATCTGAACAGAGGCAGTATAAACATAAATAAAGCTTTAGATTTATTTATCTTTTGTATGATTTCGGTTTATATACACAGCCAAATGCATATTAGTTCAGGTTTAGGATAAGCCAGCGGATGGGTTCGATTAATCGTGAATCGTGTTATCTATCCTGCAAAGATAGTGAAACAGGTGGAGTTGGTTGAAAATTCTCAAGGGATAACATGAATGTAGAAAGGAGATAAAGGTTACTGCTAAATGCAACTAACCTTTGATCCTGAATAGAGCACTGCCATCTGAAACCTGTTGGCCTGCTTTAACTTTGAGTTCCTGTATGCTTCCAGAAGACGGGGCTTTCACAACGTGCTAAAACCACGGCGAAGGAGAATTAAACGATAATAAATTTATGGTATGTTATACTCATGGTATATGTGCTCAGGTATAAGAAGAGATTTGTACACTAACCTCCATCTTCATTGCCTCTAGGACTAACACAGGTTGACCTTGATCTACTTTGGCTTCGTTTTCAACTAGGACCTTGACTACCAAACCAGCCATGGGAGCTACAACGGTTCCTGGAGGGTGTGATGATGTTTCTGAGCTGGTTCTGTGTTGGACACCTTCTTCATCTTCAGAGAATTCGATCCCTACCTTCTGCTTGAACTGATGGTGTTCTGAACCGTGCCATATATGGATATGCTTATAACCATCCTGTTACGAAAAACACATCATAAGCAGTAGTTTCGAGAGAGACAGAAAGAGCATGAGATATTAGCTGTGAAGATTTGCCTGAACATGATGCTGATGATTTACCTTCAAGTACACAGCTAGAGTAACATTCATGCTCAACCCGGCCGCTTCAACTCTAAAATCGCACTTTCCTGCTCGGGTTACTCTGACTTTTAAACTTGGAGATCCATCGCCTTCCTGTCACGTGGAATGTTGTCAAAACATCAAATTCTCAATCATAGGATTCATAAATGAAGTATGAAGATGATTCAGCGATGGGTTTCAGCATTTCTTTTTTAAATGAATCTCATAGCGAGTTATACCTGTATGATATAGCTTCCATCTGGTTGATACATCAAACCAAGGGATATAAGGTTCGAGCTACTCGAACCATTGCTGCTGCATTCATTATTCCACTCAAGCTCAATCGTTTGCTTGGCTTCATGATGAACCCTAAAAGGAGGATGAGAATACCATATTGATGGAAGTTTCCCTGGATGAGTTTACACAAAATAAATCAAGGCATGCTTGGAAATTATGTAACTTGTGAAGAAGAGACTAAGCTCATGTGAACTGACCATGATTACTTTCGTTCCAATCAGAATGCTCGATTGTGGATACACAAGCAGCAACTAATGCTGCACTATGCTTAACTGCCTTGTATGCCACCTCTACTGCAACTGGATTGCTTTCATCAGCAAACAGATCACTTTTATGGTGCTCAATAAAATGAGTTTCTACATTGCCCACTGCAAACTCCTTATGACTAGCAAGTTTTTGAATGAAATTTATGTTCGTAGGTACACCTGCTACCTGCCAACGAAGATATCATGTCATTACTGAACTACCGTTGTAACTAATAAGCCATGTGCAAGAAAATCCAAGAAGTTTCTTAAGAACTTCATAATTGAAACCATATAGCCTTAAAAAATTAAGGTTATGCGGAGGTATAATTGTCACTGCAGAGAGCTCCGAATTGTTGTCATTCGGGGTTTCAGGGATGTACCTGAAAGTTAGACAGGCAATCCTTCAGTTTCACCAAAGCTTCGCCACGATTACCTCCCCAGACGACAAGCTTAGCAATCATAGGATCATAGTGCATGCTAACAGTGTCTCCTTGCTCAACTCCAGTTTCAACACGAACTGCTACAGAAAAAGTTCAACACGAAAGAGGTTCACAACAGGACAAAAGCAGGGTCTGATGTCTGACAGATGAGAAAAATTTCCATACGATGGAAGAAAAAAACAGTTGTATACACAATCTTGAACTGCACCTGATGATGAGACTGCAACAGGGCGATAATGATTGAGGACCCCAGTTGCAGGAAGAAATCCTTTTAGAACATTTTCAGCATATATCCTGGCCTCGAAGGCATGACCTGCCGAGAGGATGCATATGCGGATCAAAATAATGAATTAACAAATTAATAGATAAGGTTTCACGAATAGTTGTTCATACTTTTTTCTACAAGAAGTAATATTTTGAAAAATCAGTAAACCAATAGGAAAACATTAAGGAATGAGAATAAACCAAAAAAATATATATATTTTCCATATATGTCAATGAGGAAGAGGGATACCTGACATCGGCACCTCGGATTGGCTTATGGGGAGAGGTTCTCCATTGGCAACTCGAATTTGCCATTCCACAAGATCTTGACCAACAATCATCTCAGTTACAGGATGCTCGACCTAAGAAGGACAATTAGTGTTCCCTTGGATAGCCAAATGCTTATTGAGGTAAATTTTATTATACATATAAATCAAAGAATCACCTGGAGACGGGTGTTCATTTCCATAAAATAGAATTGATCAGACTCAGTGTCAACTATAAACTCCACCGTCCCAGCATTGTAATATCCAACTGCCTTTACATATCAGAAGGTAACAGAATATAAGCGCTTCTTGTGGAAGTTGAAGTGAAAGATAGCCTAGCAAGAAGAGGTTTCAAAAGACTACCCATCAATGGAACTTAAACTAACAATGGTAAACTAATCAAATAACTCATGATCCAAAATTAGTAATGCACAACGTATAATATAAAATATAGAGACTCAAGGGACATACAGTCTACTACAAATACATGCAATATACAGAACATGGCAATGAAACATTTTCGACTAAGATTGAAAACCATTAAATCTGTAAAAGAACAGGAGTTAGAGTGGTACCCGTGCCGCAGAGACAGCAGCTTGGCCTAAATTTGCGCGGAACTTTTCAGATATATTAGGCTGCACTAGTAGAGTTTCGATCAGACCCATATCCATATATGCTAGAAAATATATAAACCAATAACAGAAAGAAACACAGTCCTTACCGCAGGAGCTTCTTCGATAATCTTTTGGTGTCTTCTTTGCACACTGCAATCCCTTTCGTACAGATGAAGAACATTCCCATGTTTGTCGCCAAATATCTAAAAGCAGTGGAAACGCAGAAGGAAAATTAGTTTAAATGCTAAAAGTGTTGAGATTCAGAAACGGTTTCTCTATGGATGTGTCATAACTTAATCCATATAGCTTAAACAGAACATGGCAGTACGTATAGAATTTAACGCTTTCAACCAAAGTAATAGTATACGCTTTATATATAATAACTGGGATTCCAGGCGCCATAATCATAGTTTCATAAACGAAACAGGATATGGAATATCACAACCCACTACCTGGACTTCTATATGCCTTGGTCGGGTGATGTATTTCTCAAGAAGAATTGTGTTAACGCCAAAAGAAGCAGCAGCCTCACGTTGAGCCCCCAAAAACGAGTCAGCAAAATCCTTCTCACTTTGCACTATCCTCATTCCCTAAAAACAAAAGCTTACTTTACTTCAAAACCAATAAACGTCAAAAGGGTATCAAACTTATTTACCAATGATCTGTATTTCTGACACTAAAAAAATATGCTAAACCATATTTTCGGAGCCAGTATCAAAGGTGAGATCAAATTAAATGGAAACATGCCAGTGGTTTTTTCGGCGACATGAGTAATTTCACTATTACAAGTTACAACATACCTTTCCCCCACCTCCATGTGTTGGTTTGATTATAATAGGGTATCCAATCTTTTCCGCTTCTGACTTCATATAATCAATATCTTGCTCATGGCCATGATATCCAGGCACGAGAGGAACTCCAGCAGCCCCCATTATTCTCTTGGATGCACTGAATAGACACAGATGAGAGGCACGTCATCAGAAGCAGTTCAAAGTGAGGATAAAAGGACATAATATGTGCAAAGAAGTATGGAACCTGTTATGGTACCTTTTATCACCCATGTCTCTAATTGCAGATGCTGGAGGTCCTATGAATGTTAGACCTGAATCTTCACAGAGTTGGGCAAAGTCGGAACTTTCTGACAAGAACCCATACCCAGGGTGTATTGCCTGGGGTTATAATTCCAAAGAAGACATCAGCTACCGGAAAAAAATTACATGGAGCACAATATATAGCTAAAATAAGAAAATCCTAGCAATGATTCATCTAACTTTGGCTCACTCGATAGATTCTAATCCCCTCAAGGCCTCAACTATTCCATTACGCATGACATGTACCATGTTCAAGTTCCAATGCCAAAAATTTCGCTCTCCTATTCCTCGTATTTTTCGAGGACTAACCATAAGACTAAATTAAATTCAAACCTGTGCACCAGTCCGAGCCGCTGCCTCCATGATAGTGGCACCGCTGAGGTAACTGAGCCGAGCCGGAGGCGGACCAATTCGTACAGCCTCATCGGCAGATTTCACATGGAGCGAATCCCTATCAGCGTCACTGTAAACCGCAACTGTCTGAATCCCCAGACGCTTCGCCGTTCTCATGATTCGGCAAGCAATCTCGCCTCTGTTCGCCACCAAAACCTTCTCAATACACCGCTCCCTAGGCTTAATCGTGTCTCCTCCGGAAGATGCAGAGCTGGAGATATATCTAACAAGCATCGAGTAACTTTTCCGGCGAACATTCCGCCGAAGTGCCCACACCATCATCGACATTGATCGCGATTTCGAATTTTCCGAGTGAAAACGAGTGTGACTCAGCTTACTTAGTTGTTTGTTTGTGTAGTTTGTAGATAAAACGAACAACTCGAGGAGGTTTTCGTCATTTCGGGGAGATTAATCAGCGACAAATAATGACGTGGCACGCATATTGGTCCTCAAAATGGATATGCGTCTGATGTGTCGCTGGCGTTGCGTCTTTACCCATTCGCTACATGACTTTACCAGTATGGGCCTTATGGGCTTCAACATTTTCTAATGAGCCTATCATTACGAAACATTATAGAGGCCACAACGCCTTGATCCAATTTTTGAAATAGGATATAAATCGCAGTGCTGTTATGTATTTTAAATTTTCATTTGATCTTTACTAATTATAGATAATTTAGAGTCTAATACTGGATCCACTTTGGTTATTAAAGGCATATGGAGGGATATAATTATATAAACGATTTCTGGAAAATAATACTAGTATGAGCTTAAGGACATGAAAAAAAAAACTAAGGACATGAAACCGAGGTGGAACTATGTAATAAAGTGTTAGGTAGGTGTCTGTTAAGTGTTGACTTCCTTTATTCATTTTTTTTTTCTTTTGCATCGACGTCATCTATTCTAGAACCGACAAAAATAAAATTAAAGAAAGAAACAAACTCCTAATCGATACAATATTGGCAACGAACTGAACAAGAAACTTCTACGAAAACAATTGATTCAAAGTCACGTTTTTATTTGAATTTATAATAAATGAATCTTAACCTACTCGAAACGCCATATAAATATATGTAACCTTTTATAATGATTAGAAGTCATATTGTTTCGAATAGATGAATGATTTTTTGGCTAAACCAAACTTTTATGGCGACATTAAATAATGAAGGGAAAAAAATGACACGCAAGATCGCAATATTGGTCGAATCTAAAATCCAACGTGGAGAAATAACAAAGGGTGACGGAAGTGGACCGAAATCACACCGTCCAAGACATCCTGTCTTTGTCACTTATCACTTGTCAGCCTCTCCATGTTTAATAAAAAAAAATATTATTATTGCTTATTTAAATTGCGATAATAATAGTGATAATTAATATATCAGAGGTGTTTATCTTGATTAAACAGAAACCAGAAGAATGTGTAATTTTATTCTTAATCTTGAGACTCATTAATTATCCTGATAGTTTGTTCATGTTGTATACGTGGTTTAAAACTATATGTGTACATGATAGTATATGATACTGGTTCTAACAACTATTCAAACTCATATTATCTAGATCTATAATCTTACCAGCAAAAATGCATTACTAAAGAAAGTTGAAAGAAAAGAATCAACCGATGAAAAGATTTTTTTTTCACGGGGGAAATGGAATGGAATCTATTATTTTTGTTCAGACGGGATTAACAGTGGATCAAATAATTTTGTTTTTGACAAAAAAGTCCCATATGGGGCCATAAGTATTTTTTTAATTGCAGATCTCTTGGCAGAGAAGGCGATCCCGAGGACGCAAAGTCACGCAACTTCGAATAAAAAATTTTGAATAACATTTTTGGGAACCGTACACGAGGGTGATATCGTCATTTCGGAGCTTCTCTGTAAGTCCACCATACCTAAACAATTCTTCACAACGTAAAAAGTAGGAACAGCGCGGAAACGCCTGTAGAGAGAGAAAGAGAGAGATCTAGAGGAAGAAGAAGATGAGTTGAGATATGCGAAAAATAAGGAGAAGTGATAGGAAGAACTGTTCTTTCCGGTAATCCTTTTTGCTCTCGGACTTGATTTCACTGCTGTTAGATTCGCTTGGTAGATCAAATTTTTGTAAGCTATTTTTAGTTTCGGCTAAGTACTGTACTATACTCATGTGGCTTCTCTTGCTATCTTCCCTTCGATTTTGGGTGTGGTCGTCTAATTTTCTGAGACGAGTTTTTTCTGTCTCGTTTTTTTAAAGCATAAGAATCGTTTTTTATGCTGATCTGATTTTCCATCCGTATGAATTGCTTGATATGTTTTCTGACCAGGTTGCTGCCGATTGCTTTGGGCACTGAAATAATTTCGTCTCGACTTTGGCCTTCATTGACTTGGTATTTCGTTTCTACTTTTCTTTCCTTTTTTTGTTCTGTATTTCTTTTCTATGTGATTGCTCAGCTTCCTCATTCTTATGGAAGCTTAACTCTTGCTTTTTTTTTCTTGTTAAGTTTTAGGAATTTTTACGGAGGAACTCTTGGCATTGTGAGCGCCTCTGGATTTGCACATTCTGGTTCTGGAGTGATTTAATATCGTCATAGTTTGGTGGTGGTGGTGCGTAATTTTGCTGGTTAAAATGTCTGCTGTTGCGAATGGTAACACGAAACGCTATTCTTGGTGGTGGGATAGTCATATAAGCCCCAAGAACTCTAAATGGCTTCAGGAGAATCTTACAGGTATGTGACTTAGAGAAGCTACTGGTTCATCTGAATTAAAATGCTCTAAATGTGATTTTGTTGTTTTTACGGGCCCAGTTATTTCTCCCAAGGGAGGGATTTTTTTTTGTTCAGTGAGATGTTGAGGCTTGATCATTTTTATCATGATGCAGAGTCCACAAATTTCTTTGACATTTTAGTTCAGTTTTGTGTCATGCCGGGAACTTTGTCTGCGATTTACTAACATGTTATTATGTTTGCTGATAGATATGGATAGTAAAGTCAAGCAAATGATCAAGGTTATTGAAGAAGATGCAGATTCTTTTGCTAGGCGAGCAGAAATGTATTACAAAAAGCGGCCTGAGCTTATGAAATTGGTTGAAGAGTTTTATCGAGCGTATCGTGCTTTAGCTGAAAGATATGATCATGCGACCGGTGTTATTCGTCATGCTCAGCAGACTATGGCAGAAGCGTTCCCAAACCAAGACCCCATGATGTTTGGTGAAGAGTCGCTTGTTGGTTCTTCCACCAATGAGTTTGATCCACAAACGCCTGAGAGTTACCCTCCTATCCGAGCTCCGGTTTACCCCAATGAGTTAAAAAAAGATGCTTTAGGGATCTCTTTCCCTCATATGAGTACCGTAAAGCGAAATATAGCCTTCATGGAAGAGCCTCATCAGCCTGCGAGTAATGGGAAGGGTTTGAAAACTGGAAAGGCAAGAAAAGGACTGAATTTCAATGATGTTGATGGAAATGGAAGAAATGCTAAGGTTCTCTCGGAATCTGAACGCGCTAGCAGAGCTGAGGCTGAAATTGTGGTTTTAAAAGATGCTCTTTCAAAAGTGCAGGCTGAAAAGGAAGCTAACTTAGCTCAGTTTGATCAGAATTTGGAGAGACTTTCTAATCTGGAATCTGAGGTATCTCGTGCACAAGAGGATTCCAGGGGGTTTAATGAACGAGCCACAAGAGCCGAAGCTGAAGTCGAAACACTTAGAGAAACCCTCAGCAAACTAGAGAATGAAAAGGAATCCAGTCTTCTTCAATACCAGCAATGTCTACAAAACATAGCTGATTTGGAGGGTCGCATTTCTCTAGCTCAGGAGGAGGCTGGAGAAGTAAATGAGCGAGCCAGCCAAGCCAAAGCTGAAATTCTAGCCTTGAAGCAAAGCCTGGTTATATCTGAAACGGACAAGGAAGCTGCTCTTGTTCAATATCGGCAATGCTTGGAAACCATATCTAGCCTGGAAGAGAGGTTGCACAAGGCTGAGGAAGATGCGAGGTTAATCAATCAGCGGGCAGAAGATTCTGAGGGTGAAGTTGAAATCTTGAAGCAAAAGGTCTCCAAATTAATTGATGAAAATGAAGCTTATGTACTCCAATACCAACAGTGCCTGGATACAATTGCAGATCTTAAGCTCAAGCTATTTCATGCTCAAGAAGAAACCCAGAGGCTTAGTCGTGAAATAGAGGATGGGGTTGCTAAGTTAAAATTTGCAGAGGAAAAATGTGTCGTGCTTGAGAGATCAAATCAAAATCTGCACACCGAGCTGGATGGTCTATTGGAGAAACTGGGGAATCAAAGTCATGAGCTCACGGAGAAACAGAAAGAGATGGGAAGATTGTGGACTAGTGTACAAGAAGAACACTTGCGTTTTATGGAGGCCGAGACTGCCTTTCAAACCCTTCAGCAATTTCACTCTCAGTCTCAAGAGGAGCTAAGCACTTTAGCATTGGAACTGCAAAACAGGTCTCAAATCCTGAAAGATATGGAGGCCCGTAACAATGATTTACAGGAAGAAGTTCAGGAAGCCAAAGACGAGAACAAAAGCCTCAGTGAGCTCAATCTCTCTTCCGCTGCATCCATTAAAAGTTTGCAGGAGGAGGTCTCAAGATTACGGGAGACAATACAGAAACTTGAAGCAGAAGTTGAACTGAGAGTGGACCAGAGAAATGCTTTGCAGCAAGAAATATACTGTCTTAAAGAGGAATTATTTCAGATAGGAAAGAAACACCAGTCCATGGTAGAACAGGTGGAGTTGGTTGGTTTACATCCAGAAGGCTTTGGGTCTTCTGTCAAGGAATTGCAGGAGGAGAACTCAACGCTAAAAGAAATAAAGGAAAGAGAAAGTGTCGAAAAGATGGCCCTGGTTGAGAAGTTAGAAATGATGGAAAAGCTTGTTCAGAAAAACCTTCTTCTGGAGAACTCCATATCAGATTTGAATTCTGAGCTGGAAACAATCAGAGGAAAGCTGAAGACATTGGAGGAAGCTTGTGTGTCACTCGCAGAAGAGAAATCAGGCCTTCATTCTGAGAAGGACGTATTGATTTCCCGTTTGCAGAGTGCTACAGAATACAGCAAGAAACTCTCTGAGGAAAACAGGTTACTGGAGAATTCTCTTTCTGATGCCAATGCAGAGCTTGAAGAACTCAAGTCAAAATTGAAAAGCCTAGAAGACTCATGCTACCTGCTGAATGATGACAAGTCCAGTTTAGTTAATGAAAGAGAAAGCTTACTCTCTCATATGGATATAATGAGAAAAAGCATTGAAGATCTGGAGAAAGAACATGCAGAGTTAAAAGTGAAAGTTTTGGAATTAGCGACCGAGAGGGAATCTTCGCTTCAGAAAATTGAAGAATTGGGAGTGTCTTTAGATGCCAAGGACCGTGAGTATGCTTGTTTTGTAAAAATGTCTGGGAGTCGGATAAATGACATGGAATCAAAGATCTATCATCTTCAAGATGAAATTCAACGCCAGGAGAGTGAATATCAAGTGGAACTGGATCGAGTTCATGATGCTCACATTGAGATTATTGTTCTGCAGAAATGTTTGCAAGACTGGCTTGAGAAGAGTTCCTCTCTGGCTGCTGAGAATCAGAATATCAAAGAGGCTTCTCAGCTGTTAGAGAAGCTAGTCTCTGAACTAGAACAGCAAAATATTGGGAAACAACTGCAGATTGAGTCCTCGATTAACTGCATTAAAATACTGAGAACGGGGATCTATCAGGTATTGATGAAGCTTGAAGTAATTCCAGGTATAGATTCCGGTGATGAGAACTCGCAAGACCAGCAAAATATTCATGACATATTGAGTAGACTTGATGAGATGCAAACTTCGCTTTTGAAGACTCGGAATGAAAACCAGCAGTCTGTCATTGAGAATCTCGTCCTTGTTGAATTTCTTCGGCAACTTAAATCAGAAGCTGTTAGTATTGCAACAGAGAAGAAAGCCCTTGAGGAAGAACTTAAATCTCAGCGTAACCAGCTCTTGTTTTCGCGGGATGAAACCCAGAAATTTATCATCATAAATGGAGAATTGACCACCAAAGTTAATCAAGGAGCTGACAGAGAAGAAGCCTTGACGGGGAAAATTGAGGATTTGCACAGGCAGTCTTCCATTGAGAACCTCGTCCTTGTCGAATTTCTCCGGCAACTTAAATCAGAAGTCGTTGGTATTGCAACAGAGAAGAAAATCCTTGAGGAAGAACTTGAATCTCAGTGTTACCAGCTCTCATTTTCGCGGGATGAGACCCAGAGACTTATCTACGTGAATGGAGAATTGACCACAAAAGTTAATCAAGGAGTCAACAGAGAAGAAGTCTTGAAGGTGGAAATTGAGGATTTGCACAGGCAAGTCTTGCAACTTCGAAATGACTACACCATTTTGCAGGCAGAGAAGAACAAAACTTTAGACGAGAAAAAATACTTGACAAAGTCAACATTGCGGTTGGAGGAGGAGAAACGTAAACTAGAAGAGGATATGTCTTTGCTTCTTTCCGAGACTATATACCAAAGCAATCTCATTCTTCTTTTGGAGGATGTCGTCTTGGAAAAACTTTCAGGAGCGGTGAAACTAAACGAGGATCTGGACAGACTCATTTTTGTGAAGTGTAAGCTCGAGGAAGAGGTAAGGGAGGTTGGTGATAAGTTAAAAGCTACAGAAGTCGAGAACTTGCAGCTTGAAGCTTTGCTTGAGAAAACGGATGGCGAACTGCACACTGCCAGATCAGCTAATGATCAGTTGGAACATGAAATTGCTAATGTGAAAGATCAGTTGGGTCAGAAGGAGAAAGAACTTCTAGAAGCTATGCTGATGATCTCCATCGTGCAAAGTGAAAAATCTGAATTATCTAAGGCAGTGGAGGATTTAGATTGTAGGTACAAGGAAACTAAATCAATAGAAGTAGATAAAGATAAGCAGGTTTTGAAACTCCGTGGAGATTACGATGAGCAGATTAAGAAGACGGGTCATGCAAACGAAGCTAATCTTAAATTGGAAGCTAACATGATGAGCCTACTCATGGAACTTGAAGGAATCAAAGTGGAGAAGGAAAAGCTGAACCAGGAGCTTTTAACAGAAAGGAATGAGATTAAACTATGGGAGTCTCAAGCTACAACATTGTTCGGAGATTTGCAGATTTCGGCTGTTCATGAAACATTGCTTGAAGCGTTGACCCATGAGCTGGCTGAATCCTGCGAAAGTCTTGGAAATAGAAGCACATTAAAAGACTTGGAGATTGACCAGCTTAAAGGAAGGGTGAACAACTTAGAGGATGCCAACAAAGGACAGAACGATCTTATGAGCAAATACGCCCAAGCTATTGTGTTGTTGAAGGAAAGCATAGAATCCCTGGAAAAACATATTGCCATGCCTCACGAATTCGAGAGTGAACCAGCCAAGGTACATTATTTTAGCAAACTCTGCTTCTAATTATTGAATACTTTTAGTCGATCATAGTGAAGTTTTAGATAGCTTTACCGTTGGCCTAAGTCATTTTTCCGCTGAACTGAAATCGCATCTTTTTCTTAGTTGATTTCGAATTTTTCTTGTCGGAGAGTAACCAATCTTTTGTGGGTATCTCTTACCAGGACACTGCTTCAATAGTGGATAACAACGATTGGTTCTTAGAGTTGCAAGAAATGCGTTTTAGAATCAAAGCTATCGAGGAGGCACTAACCGAAAAGCTTGCAATGGAAGAACTAAAAACAGCTGCCCGAAGAAGCAGAAGGAGAAGTGGAAGTCTGCGGAAACAGAACCATGGAATATATTCAGAGGAAAGCGAAATGATCACGAAAGACATCGTACTCGATCAGGTTTCTGATTGCTCATCATATGGGATTAGTAAGAGAGACATTCTGAAGATAGAAGATGATCACAGTTTTGAGTTAAAGCCACAAAATCCTCAAAAAGGTAAATCCTTGTCTGAAGAGTCACTGGTTGTGGACAAATTAGAGATCTCCGATAGATTCACGGATCCAAACAAAGAAACAAATAAGAGAAAAGTTCTCGAGAGACTTCATTCGGATTTACAGAAGCTCTCGAATCTCCATATCGCCGTAGAAGATTTGAAAAGCAAAGTGGAGACAGAGGGGGAAAGCGAGAAAGGAAAAGAAGACGAGTACGAAACGATTAAGGGACAGATCACTGAAGCAGAGGAAGCATTAGAGAAGCTTTTAAGCATCAACAGAAAACTGGTGACAAAAGTCCAAAGCGGATTTGAGAGATCAGATGGAAGCAAATCATCTATGGATCTTGATGAGAATGAGAGTAGCAGGAGGAGGAGAATATCAGAACAAGCGAGAAGAGGATCAGAGAAGATTGGGAGGTTACAGTTGGAGATACAGAGATTGCAGTTTCTGTTGTTGAAACTGGAAGGAGAAAGAGATGATAGAGCGAAGGCGAAGATATCAGATAGCAAAGCGAGGATTCTTCTTAGGGATTATATCTATGGTGGAGTGAGAGGTGAGCGACGGAAGAGGATGAAAAAGCGGTTCGCGTTTTGCGGGTGTGTGCAACCGCCTCCATCTCCTTGATCGTTTCGAAACTAGAACTTGTTGCAAGTAAACGTAATAATATTCATGTGAATGGAAGTGAATTTAAGTTTAAAATGAATGAGAAACACCTTTGATAATCTGTTATAGTGTTATTTTCCGTTTGAAAGAGATTAAATGAAATTTGTATATTGCAATTGGCTCAAAGTCAAAGGTCATTTTGATGGAAGAGTCAAAGGTTATGCGTTTTCAGCGTTTAGACGCAGGCGCAGCACCAGTGTGTGTGTGTGTGCGTGTGTAAATAACACAATCTAGTTCTCCATTAGGTAAGTTCGCATTTTCTTTTAATCCAAAATCAAAAGCACTACCCTTGAAATCCCAGTACCATTTTATGTTTCTACACACAATAATATTTAGAGAAAAAAAAAAAGGTGTCGTGAACAAATATGAAAGATTTACATATTTAAAGGACATGAAAAAAACCCTGATCTGAGGCTTAGAAAAAAGAATTAGAAACCTTAATCATTTAACCCTCGGCAGCTCTGAAAATGGTGAGGAGAGACAAGAAGAGGTTAATGATGTCCAAGTAGAGCGAAACTGCTGCCCAAATATACTCATCGTAACTGTAACGTTTGATGAGATTGTCGGTATCATAAACTATGTAGCCACAGAATATTATCGATGCCAAGCAACCATAGATCATCACTGAGATCCGACCCAACGGGAAAAAAATCTGCAACCAACACAGGCAAAGATCAAGCTCATATTTTCTTCATTCCAATGTTAGCAAAAACAAGCGATTGTGAGAGATGAGAGACACATGTACGTTTACCTGAATAAGGGCAAAGACCATGAGAACGATGATAGCACCAAACAAGAAGGGACCGAGGAAATTGAAGTCATAGCCTTTTTTGGCTGCCCAGAAGGTGTAGAAAGTTAAGGAAAGCACCACTACGGTTGTTAAAATCGCTGATTCGAGAATCACTTTCCCTGTTTCAACAACAAAGTTCCAAAAATCTCATCAAATAACCTGTTAATTGTAATGTGGTCTTCATTCTTTAAAACCTAAATAGAATAATTCTCTGCATTCTGAAAGAGTGAAACCCTAAAGCGTAAGTTGAGTACTGGGAGAGCCAAAACCAGCTCAAATGTGTTGGAGACCTCATACTAGTGTAATTTAAAGCTTTGGCGTATTGTTCAAGCAGAGTCCATTGAAAGGCAAGAAAACGAACAAAGAGTAAGAGTGTGTCACAAGTAAGAAAAATGTGGTTGAATGAAAGAAGTATTTACCGCTAGTGAATGCACACGTTAATCCGACAGCGAAAGCAAGAGCCACCGTGAAAATACCAAGAAGCAAGTAATTCACCGGATGTTTCTGATGGTAATAGTACAAAGGACACATAACTGCCCCCAACCACCAAAAAAAAAAAAAAAAAAACCTAATTATTTTCAGAAACAATTTCAAAACGAATTAATTAAAAAGTTCGATTACCAATTAAAGGGGTGATGATTAAAAGTATCCAGAGAGCAAGACCGGCACTGGTGGTGGCGAAAAAGACGGCGATCGGGCGGACGGTGACAACGGTGGCGGCGACGGCGATGGTAGCTAAAAGCTGAAAAGCGATAATGGAATAGACCTTTCGGATGAAACCCCATCGGAGTTCGGGGCTCTCCATCATCGTCGGATACAGAGGACTCTCACCGCCGCCGCTCTCCACGTCATCTTTCCGGTACGGAAGGTTCCACTTATGCATCTCTGTTTCTTTGTACAAATACGAGGGAAAATCCGATCCTGCTTGCGTGTTAACAAGAATAATTAGAAGAGATTTGATTTTCGCAGGGGATAAATTTTTGTTTCGTTTGTTACTGTATTTATCTCCGAGAAAAATTTGGGATTTTTTTGGGGGTTGAGAGAAATTTAGGATTTTGGAAGTTATAAAAGCAGTTGCGGGAAGAGTAAGGGGAATGTTCTTGAAGGCACCAAAGTATTGATTGACACGTGGCGTTTGAAAAATTAAAACGTTTAAGATGTTAACGGGTAAAACAAGGAACGACGGCTCTCAAAATCTCTAGATGGCTCCAAAAGGTCTTTCTTCTTTATATAGACGAGAAAGAAACGTCTTTCTCACTGAAATGGTTTACAGGATGGAAGATTTCTTTCGTTTAAACTACACAACTCGGCCTTCTAACTCGCGTTTCCGGCGTTTTGACTGTGATTTGTTTCATAACATATAGGCCTTATATGGGTCTAAAACGTGAGAATTTCTTAAACTGGGCCTACGCATATAAACGAAATAAACTGGGCTTTAATAATATTAGAAGATCCTCTCTTTTTTTCTTCTTGACATTAGAAAGGTCCATTATTACTAATTTAGTGGATTTCGTCGTAATTCGGAAGTGTTTAAATCAGCGAGGGTGTTTTTGCATGACTAATTTTTTTACCATAACTTTGTCTGCTTTTTGTCGGATTCTTTTCTGTCGTCGGAAATGATTTTCATCGTCACACAATTTGTCTTGTTTATACAGTGCACGAACGAACCAGACGATTTAATTAATACACATATCATACTATTAAATAGTTAATATCAAGAACTCAAAAAACTTTTTTTTTACCAAGTTTTTTTTTTGGTCGAATAAAATTTTTTGGTCGAAGTTATTTTTGTTATTTTTTTTCGAACTATTAAATATTTTTTTCGAACTATTGGTCGAACAAAATTTTTTTTCGAACTATTAAATACACATATCATACTATTACATACTATTAAATATTTTTTTGGTCGAACTCACCTTATACTATTAATTAATACACATATCATACTATTAAAAGAAGTTATTTTTTTTACCAAGTTATTTTTGGTCGAATAAAATTCGGAAGTTTGTCTTTAACTTCTGCAAATATATACTTTCTTTTCCATCAAGTTTTCTATATTTGTTTTATGACTATTTACCACCACTTCTAATTTTCTTTGGTTGTTTAGTATAAGGTGATCTCTACGTTTTGTTTTAAAATACCTATAAATACACAATCGCTCAAAATATCTTAAGTTATACTATTTATAAGAAAACAAAAACATCCTACGTTTCTTTTATAGATATATTAATATAATAGCTGAAAATACGTACATACTATGTAGAGCACATTAAACTCAACTTTTTTTCTTTACTTTTAAAATTTTCCAGTTAGATAGTTGTCTATTCAAAACATTGTTCTCCACGACCTAACAAAAATAATCTTCTTTTAATTGATTTCTTCTAAAAACTGAAATAAAACAGATTTCAGCGTTTGACCTGGCCCCTCTTTTTCTTCATATTTATAATTTAGGTTGCGCTATTTTCAAAATTGCGTCCAGGTCCATTTCCCATCCATTCAATTGCCCACCATTCAATTAGAGGAGAAACAGTTTTGTATGAAAATATGATACCACTAGTGATACCAAATTACATAATTTTTTTTCATCGATCAAATAAATTAAACTATTAATTTTAAATAAATTTATACATTTTAAAGCAAAGATTAGTTTTTTTTGGAGGGGGTGCATAAAGTAAAAAACCACTATTAATAAATTTAAGGAGGTTAATATTTCTTTTCAGTATTAGTTAAGATTTATCTTAAAGATCAATAAGTAATTGGTTAACACCTACTGATCTACTCATTTGCGTTTTTTTTTTTTTTTTTAACAACTTCCATCTTTATTCCTCTTGGCCTTTTAAAATAAGCATCATTTGAAATTACAAGTGCAAATGAATAGAGAGAACAAAGGATAAAAGGATACAAGACTTCATACAAAAAAAGAAACTCATGTGAAACAGAGAACAGAGACTTGATGACGATCAGGAAGATAAGGGGCTATCTTTGGATATATTTAAACCAGGTGTAGAGATATGATTCATCGTTAACAGTATCCGAAGCAGACGGGGAAGATGATGCATTGATATTCTTATCAAGACCAGCAAGCTTAGCTCGAAGTTGGATTTGGACTTCTTTCACAATGGTTGATAGAAAATTAAACGTAAATCACTAACATCTCATTCTCTAAGCAAAGTTATTTGATCATTTGTTTACCCAGATACAATACAATTATATAAAAGAATAAGATTATAATCCTCATTCCTCAAGAAAGAACAAGTCAACCTTTGTTACTTCCACGAATGAGACGTCAAAGGTATTCAAATTCAAGTGTCCCTAGTTTCTAATTGTCAATGCCTTGGCTTATTGTCTGCGCCAGCAGTTTAAGAGTACAATAATTGTAGTTGCGTTGCAAGACTAATGGGGTCGAAACAGGAATGAAATATTTATAGTGGATGTAAATAATATAGAACAAAAATACGAGGGCTAATAAAGTAACAAATTTGGAAATCACAATGAGAGAGAGGATCAAACAACATCGTGTGTAGAGAGAGAAAGTGAGACGACTTGAGCGAGAAACAAGGCGCGGAGAGACGCCGTCAACACCCAAAAAAAAAAAGAACAGCAGAAGAACAAAAAAAAAAAGAAAAAAGAAGAAAGAAGGAAGAAAAAACAAAACTTTGGATTTTCTCTTTCGTTGATTAATCTCTGAAAATCTAGTTTTTATCTATTAATTAATTTAAAAAAATAAAAAGCCTCCTCTAAGCTCTTTTTCTTCCTATTTCGTCAAAATCGGTTTGCTCATTCTCGTGGAAGGAAAAGGGATTTTTGAAGTGTTTTGAGGGTAGGGGTTAAAACATCACGATTCGAAATTTTAGATCTTAGATCTTTCTTCTTGCTACGAAACCCTAATTTGACACATTGTACTAGCTCAATTTGATCTAAAAAATAGTTTTTTTTTTTTTTTTGTTGGGCTCTTCTTCTTCTTTCTTTAATTCAAATTCCTTTCGCGTCGTTTTAAGGATATATGTGCTTTTTGTTTTCTTCTGGTGAACGATGAGAGTTTTGTGTTGATCGCATTAGGGTTGATTTTCTTTCTGATCGACGACTCGGATCTGGTGTCGTGTTCGAGACCGAGTCAGGGTCTGGTCTGGTGAGGTCGTCGTCGGATGAAAGTTTCTGGGATCGAAAAGGAGAACGATGAAATGGGCAACATTGCTTAAGGACATCAAGGAGAAGGTCGGGTTAGCTCAATCCTCTGACGCCGCAACCTCCGACGCGTTTACCGTTGACCTTACTGCTCCGCCGTCTTCCTTCTCGTCTCCATCTTGTACTTACGCCCCGTCTATTCTCCATGACTTCAACTCTTCTCCTTCAAGGTATTCTTAGTACTAGTCTTCTCGTTCTGCTTGATCTGCTTTTAGTTTCCGATGTTGTGCACTGTTGCTAGTTTTAGTTTGCTGATTTTGCTTTTATGTTTGTTTTGGGACCAGAGTTTAGATTGTTTAGTTGGTGTCTCTTTTATTGCTTTAACTGAGTAGTCTCTTTTAGATTGTTTTATGGCACCATTTGTGGTGCTAGATTTTGTGATAAAGCGAGAGTCAAAGGCTGCTGCTACTTACATGTAAATTCTTTTCTTGACATGTTTAATTGAAATAGTAAATCAATTTTATGAGTGGCCACGAATACAGTCGTACAAACTGTCAGATGCAATACATTTGAAATGGAATGTAATTTTGTTGACTGATTTCTGTTGGTGTAAGACAGTTATTGATCCTCTTTTTACTTCTCGATAGCAGAGATAACCATGAGTTGGAACTGGACTTCAAGAGATTATGGGAAGAGTTCCGTTCATCAAGCTCCGAAAAGGTTCTTACTTTGATAATCCATGCTCTTGTGTGCTCGTTAGTCATTTTTTCGGAATGTCTTAACTTTAAACTTGGAACAATATTTCGTCTTTCATTTTCTATACTGGATCTGCCTACAAAGACTAGCAAATTATGAGTACTAATCGATCATTTGTCATGCAGGAGAAGGAAGCCGCCTTAAATCTGACCGTCGATACATTTTGTAGATTAGTGAAGCGTCATGCTAATGTAGATCAGTTAGTTACCATGTAAGCTGTTCCTAACTCCTTTTCCGTTCTGGTTGAAGTGGGGTTTATTGTTTCCAAGAGAAAAATAGCATTTCAAGTATCTCCGAGTCTTCACATGATTTGAATTTTAATGGTGGAAATATGTTACTCAACCTGTGTGTTCTTCCCCTGTCTAGCTGGTCCTGTTCTGTACCTCATATTCTATGCTCGTAGGTCAGATATGGTAATATATTGAGAAATTTATTCTAATTGCAGGCTAGTAGAAACACATATATTCTCCTTTGTCATTGGGAGAGCATTTGTGACAGATATTGAAAAGTTGAAGATCGGCAACAAGACTAGGTCATTGGATGTCGAGAAAGTATTAAGGTTCTTTTCAGATGTCACCAAGGTTTGCCTTTTTCTTTCGGAATATTGTGCATCTCGACATGTCACTCTTAGTTCTCTATTTCTAATCCATGATTTCTTCATACAGGAGGGATTTAGTCCTGGTGCCAACCTCTTAACTGCTGTTGAAGTACTTGTATCTGGGGTATCCTTTTGACCTTTTCCAGTTTACCAACTCCATAAAACCTTATAGAGCTCAATTTCACACCATCCAGGATGCTGGATCTTTGATGGTTTTATGTCTTATATAATGTGTTGCCTCCTTAACGCCTTATTTGTGTTCTTTTCAGCCAATCGACAAGCAATCGCTACTGGATTCTGGGATATTCTGTTGTCTAATACACGTACTCAATGTACTTTTAGCATATGATGAACTGAGCAAAAGTAAAATAACTGCTGATTTGGAAGAGGTGTCAGCAGAAAAAGATGCTGGGTACAGAGTTCTTCAGAATAGACGACTTGAGGTTCTGTTTCAATAGTTTTTAGCTGGATATTGGCAGCCAAAGTTTATACTACACCTGTGCTTTATCAGTTAAAATTAATACTTTGTACCCACTCACCCTTGTAGGTGGAGGGCAGTGTTG